TCATTTAGTTCTCAACCCCTATCGTCTTATCGAATAAGGAAAACCTTTGATTACAAACCATTTAATGCTCCCGAGCAACTAAGTTATCGATTTATATCAAATTTATTAGCCTTTTAGAGCTCAATACTTTTCTTATATTACAAATTTCGTTCTTATTCTAAGGAATAGTTTAAACGAATACCTTCCTAACCTTCTTAGTACTACATGCACTATAACCAACAAAACTATAAATGAAGAAGGCTTGACTTAGGAGGATGAGTAGGCAGAGCAACAAAATTTGCAATTTGATTTAGAAAAAGATTACTATAACTTAGGTTCTCTTTCCTTTATTTTTGATCCTTATAATTAAGAAAAAAAACAATTATAAATTGAGATTAGTTGTAAATCATTGTAACATTAGAAAATTTTGAATTACAGGATATAAACTAAAAGTTTGAAATGTTAACTTGGTGAATTTTATGTAAATTCTGGTTGTTAAATGTGCTCATCAAGTTAAGGATTTTATTCTGTAGTATACGATGCAACAAAGTGTTCAATATTTGATAAAACCAAATTTAACAACATCACTGAAAATAATATTGAATTATTGGAGGGCTTTTGGAGACCTGATTACTTATCTGATTTTATAGAGTAATGCTATAAAAACATTAAGTTTTGTAAAGGTGGTTGGGGATATGGAAATTAAATATGTGATATAGGACATATTGGAGCTTTATGCGAAGAATGTGATATTTATGATATAAGAGGAGACGGAAAATATTTGAAAAATTAATAGGATTCTTAGTGCATATCTTGCTTTGGTGTTTAAGATAGTATAATCCCTTTTATAGCAGCATCAATTTGGTAATTTAAGTTAATATGTAGGTCATTTATATCAATTATTATAACTTTAAGGAGTATTTAATAGTCGAATCAATTATTCAAGTGTTTAAAACTACAGTAAAGGTTTAGCAAAATTATTTTTAATTTAGAATAAGGTAAATTAACGATTTAATTTAAGGACATGAAAGTTTTTTAATAAAAATGCTATTAAACTACTTATGGATTTTTTCTGTCATCTTTACATTCAATATACAATTCTCGTTCTCATTTACTTTTGTTGACTCAGCGAGTAATACATCCTACTCTATGACTAATAATCTTGATTGTTATTTATCAGAAAATCAATAAATAAAGTTGATTTACTCTAAAATTATTACTATGCTTGTACTCATGATCTTCTAATTTATACTAATAATCATGGGATATCTCATTTATAATTGGTATTAGAAGATTGGATTGAGCAACTTTAACCTGGAAACTATTTCTAATACACTACTCTACCTTTATGTTTCTAATTATGGTGGATTAGTTAAAATGTAATTCAACAAAGATTATTTTTTAGGTATTTTTCCATAGTCTCAAGAAGAACTGTTTCGAGTTAGAGTTATATACAAGGAGATGTTTCACTTCTTTTTGGAACTGGAGAACATTTAATTTGGATTTTTGCCTTTGTAATTCCAGGAATATGCGTTTTTAGTATGATCATTCCTCTTTCCCTTTTTATTATTATGTACATAAAGAAAGATAAGCATGATAACATTTAGATTAGAAAACATTTTTGTTATCTAATTAATGAATACAATAATAGAAGTTATTTTTGGGAGGAAATTAAGTTAATTAAAAAGACAATCATTATTTTAATTTTAACATATTTTGAGACTTATATTCTACTGAAAGCATCATTGTTGGGATTATGTCTGCTTTTTTATTAGCTATTAGCTTTTAACAAGAAACCATACATTCTCTCCAATTTCAATAGTAAAGATTTATCTTCAGCACAAATATGCTCGATTACAATTTTTCTAGCTGCTGCTAAATATGTAGCTGAACAAGAAAATAATTAATTTTCATCGATATCACTTTAGACTATTATTGTTCTGCTTTGTATTAAACTTTGTTACACATTTGTCAAGAGCATATTAGAAGTTTACTCAAATAAGTATGCTAATTTAGTCTTAAATTATTTATATTTAATTTTGAATAAGATTTCATAAGATTCATTTTTAACATTAAAGTTAAAAGATTATTTGCAAAAATCTAGTTAAAAAAAAAAGAGATCGAAAATTTTGGTCACAAAACTTAAATAATATCTGTTTAAGGCTTCCAAAGCCCAGCTTGAAGGTTATAAAAAAGTCCTAAACTCTCATATAAAGGAAACATAAGCATCTGGATCAGAATAAAAATACTTTTTAAAAGTAGATACTGATTGATTTATTATCATAAGTTATATGAATCTTTTTATTGTATAGCTATAATTATAGCTCTTATTTTTGAAAAACTACCTAGAATAATCTACTTACTTACTATTACTAATCAAAGAATAAGCGATAATTTAATCCTGAAAAACTGAGTTCTCGCTCCATTATATATTATTCGATTTATATTATTTATACTTATGTATTTGAGTTTTCTCCTTCTTCAAAGTTTTTATTCTATCCTTCCTGTTTTTCTATCTATTTATTATGTGAATCGAATAATTAAGTTGATTAATATCAATTTTTTTGATAAATTCTCATCTAGGGTGCCCTAACTACATTTGATAATTAAAGAAAAGTAATATGTTTATTGTAGTGAAACATGTAATTAATTCAACTGATATACAATTTTGATCTTATTCATGAGAATAAGTGAGTGGAAGCAACAAATTAACAATGGTGAGCTTGATTCAAAATAAGTCTTAAATTATACATAAAAATCTGCAGTTTTAATTTTAAGTAAAAAAATATATTTGAAAATAAATAAAATAATGTAATCAGAACTTGAGATTTAGGCAGTGATAGGGTTCACAGGTATGTATATTTGATATATTCAAAGGGAAAATAACTCAAGGATTAGTTTTGCATCCTGATAATGAGGTATGATATAACATAATAGTCCAAAGCATATTCTTTATCCATTAGGTTCTACTATAGTAGTTAGACACATAATTACAAGACAATAAACATTTTTAAGGTACATAAATATCATATATCAAATTAGAGGACATGACAATTAGATCTCCGTAATAACAGTTTCTAGAACTGGAGATTATGTAGCATCTGGGTAGAAAACTTATATGGGGTTCTAGGCTGATATAATAATTTGGGATTTCAAGGAGAGAAGCATGATTCACAGGTTGAAATTGCATAAAGTGTTGATCCAATCTCTCAGTTTCTCATATAATGAATTATACTTGGCATCATTGGGAGGGATTGATGATAAAAACATGTTGATTATTTGGGATATTAAGGCAGGGAAGGCATTATATGGAACTCCAAATCGAGACCCAGTTAATCAAGTCTAATTTTACAACTAATCAGATGAAAAGATGATTGCAGTTTTAAATACTGGAGTTTAGATTTTAACAATTGACAAATAAAATAAAAAGGTATGGTATCTACATAAATATAGATTCAATCCGTGGATGTGAGTTTTGGAAATGTCAAAAGAACCTTTACTTGTGTAGCAATTGATAGAAATGATAAATTTTGCTATTGTGGAACCAAGACCGGTGACGTATTTGAAATTTAAATGGATATGGCTATTTATAAAAGATTAGCTCCAGTCAAGAAACTATTTTCATAAGGAGTTAACTGTTTGGGATTATTGTAAAACGGAGATATCATTGTGGGAGCAGGAGATGGTATGATTGCAAAAGTGTCTTTTCAAACAATGTAGATTGTAGCAAGCAGTGAATTACTTGGAGGTGTGACATCTATTTCGTTTACAAATGATTAGACTCATTTTTTCGCAGGAACAGTTCAAAGCAATATTTATTGGTTGGACACTGAAAAATTGATACCAGAATTGAGAAATACTTGTCATTATGAAAGAATTAATGATGTGGCCTTTCCTCATAATTATTCCGATGTATTTGCTACAAGTTCCTTGAATGATATCAGGGTTTGGAATGCTAAGAATAGATAAGAATTACTCAGAATATAAGTTCCAAATCTTGAATGTTGGGCAGTTGCCTTTATGAATGATGGTAAAAGTATTGTAAGTGGTTGGAGTGATGGAAAGATTAGAGCTTTCTTACCATAGTCAGGGAGATTACTCTATGTAATTAATGATGCACATATTCATGGATGCACATCATTGACTTGTACTTCGGATTGCTAAAGAATTATTTCAGGAGGATCAGAAGGAGAAGTTAGAGTGTGGGAAATTGGAAAACAAACTTAAGTTATGAAATCCTCAATGAAGGAACATAGAGGAAGAGTATGGTCCATTTAGGTTAGGAGAAACAATGATTAAGCTGTGAGTGCCAGTGCAGATGGATCTTGCATTATTTGGGATCTAAAATCATTTACCAGAGTCATGTGCTTATTTGAAAGCACCTTATTCAAAATGGTTCTATATCATCCTGAAGAGAGTCAGTTATTGACTACTGGAAGTGATAGAAAAGTATCTAATCATATTATAAAAGATCACCTATTGGGAAACTTTTGATGGATAAGCTATCAGAATGTTGGATGGGTCTGAAGAAGGGGAAGTTAATGCTTTGGCAATTACTAAGGAAGGAGAGCATTTTGTATCAGGAGGAGAAGACAAAGAGGTTAAATTATGGGGATATGATGAAGGAATCTGCTATTTCAAAGGTCAAGGACATTCAGGTACTATAACAAGAGTATTTATTAATTCTAAACTAGATTACTATAAGTCCTGATCAAAAGACTATCATCTCTGTTGGTGCAGAAGGAGCTATTTTTATTTGGAAGATGCCTGAATCTGTTATTAATTCTAAAGCATAATAAGAATTACCTACTGTTTAAAGCATAAAAAAACAGAATGATATTCAATAATAATCATAATAATAATAATAATCAGTGCCTAAAGATGCATAATCATAAAAATCAAATCAAGTCGCTAAGTCAGTCAAGTCAGGAACTAAGTCATCCAAAAAATGATAGAAGTTATTAATATTCATTATAAAGTCATAAATAATATATTTTGTAGATATTAATTATTTTAAAAAATCATTTCTGATTTTATCTAATTATTTAACCACCAAAGTCATTCTATTTAACCTATGAACCAAAATTCTGTTTTAATTATGAACCAGCATTCTAATTAATCTATGAACCTATTTTATTATTCTAATTGAGTAATGAAGGCAAATTGTTATTGCTTTATAAAAGATAATTGACTTATGAAGATTTATTTGACAATTTCTAATCATCCCCTTTCAATTCACTATTTATATTTTAAATCTTCTATTATTATTAACTTTGCTTTTATTAATTCTAAATTATGTTTTAATTAAGTTCATTTTCCTTTTTTTGATCTTATTACTAATTATTTGCATTTTAATAATATTTATTTATTGCAAGTTCTACTTAGGCAGTGATTAATTATATGTCTTCCATTTTTAGATTTTATTTTTAGAGATCTTCCTTGATTTGGATTTTTATAGTGTTTGTTAAATTCCTGAAATCGTGATTATTCATTAATTAAGTTAACTTTAGATCATCTTAAAACTTATTATTATCGTTTTTAACATTTTCGCCAATTAGTTTTCTCGCTTTTCCAATAAGTGTGTTTTAGCTATCATCTTCCAATTTCAAACTATTGAATAATTTCACTTCCATTATTTCGGCTAAATTTTTTGGTATGGAGGTATTATAGCAAAGATAGGAAATACAATTAAACAAACCCATAATTAAATATACAATCGATAAGAATGCGAAAATTGCAATCAAAATATATCCAGAATAATTGTAGTAGGACTCGATTGAAATAAAAGCATAAAATAGAACAAAATTTAAAAATACTTAAGTTCCAAGTTATTTTTTTTAATCAATTCTTTAGATAGCTGGACTGCTGCGTTTAGGCAACTAAAAAAAGTGCCAAAAGTATGATAACAACGAGAACTTATACATCAAGCGAAATATTCCTGATCCTTGAGTAAAGAAACGGAATAATATGATAATATTAAAAGCTGATGCTATTAATATCATCTCCACTTCAGTTTACGCATTGTTTACTTATTCAGTATATATGAGGATCAAATTAACAATAATAAAAATTGAAACTGTAAAATCTAAGTAATTCTAAATTTCAATTAAAATATTGATGTAATCACTTATGTATTTCAACTAAGGGAATTTATACCCTAAATATATTTCCTTTTTTAATAAATCACCTTTCATAGAATGAGAGACATCCCTTAAATAGTCATCTTCTTAGATTTCTACTTTAATTTAATATCGTTAATCTAATTGTTGATAGTACAGAACATCAATATTTTAAGATTCTGCGATAGCCTAAAAGTTAAAACATTCTTTCTAGTCATCCTTTTGTCCCATAATGGCTATTTCTTTGTTTTAATTCTTATCAATTATTTTGTCCTGAAAATGGTATAATTATGTGAGCAGTATAAACAGCAAGACATTGATGGCATATAACAAAGGTAAGAGAATAGATATTGCAGTATATCCAACTGACTCCCCCATAAAATTATAGAAAACATGATATGGACATTAAAATGAGAAAAAGAAACCTATAAAAGAGTTAAGATAATTAATTTACAGATTGAAATTGCGAAGTAATTATAGAGAAATATCACTTTTGATATGAACCATTGAAGCAAATTCCTACAAGATCTAAATCTGCATTTCTTAAATTAATAGTTAACATTTTGTTTGAACTCACAAAATTAATTGAATACTGTTTCAAATTAATTCTAATTAAATTATTACATACTAATTTATTATGTGATAATCTTCAATTCTTTATTTGCAACTTCAAGCATGAGTTTAGGTAGAATTGCACTATATCCAACAGCCCACATATTCAAAGAGTACTCATTTGTAAGTCTACTTATATAATCCCCTATAAACTCTTCTATTCTCTCCCACATATATATACAAGAGAGGGGATCATGGAATTATTTTAGTTTAAACATGCAATCTAGGTTAAGCGCAATATCAGATAAATCTTCTAACAAATTATCTGAAAAACTCCCTTTGTAATAAATTTTGTTTAAAGATTAAACTCCAAAATATTTTTCATCTTCTTCCAATATTTTAAAAAGCTATAATATATTTAAGCTTTAAAGATAAGTCACATTACTTGGGGCTATTACAGCAAATTTTGGCTAAATAAACCTTAAAATCCCTTAATAGATCCATTTTATCAATTCTAACTTATTTAATTCTCTCGAAAATACAAAATAATACACTATTTTCTTAGTCTTATCATCTACTATTTGGAAATATAAACTATGGTAATTCGAGGTCTCAAACTTTTAATGAAATGGCAGGTATGAAAATTAATACAAGTTTTTAAATAAGTTCTCATTAGATCTCAATAGCTTTTTAAATGCTGTTTTCCCATTGATTAATACAATAGGTGTTAATTTAGTTACATCCTTGTTATATTGAGAGATTTATTGGCATAAACTCTAATACGTTTCTCCTTGATATATTAATATTGAGACATTTGATTTTTGATCTGATTATACTTTTTATACTTTCGCTTAATTACAAAACTATTTGCGAAACTCATATTGCCCTGAATTTGTTTAGAGTTACTTTGGGCCAAACAGAATATAAGGTAAATTTTAGATCATTTAGGTTTGTTGTAAATCTCCATCTTTCTGCTTAGCAATCCTTGCAATTTCTTTTAACTCATCTATTTTTTTCTAAAGTTAATTTTGTTGATATCCTGAAATGCACATTGAGAGACCAACTTTATCACTTGTTAGTGGCTGACCTAGGTATTATTTACTCTTAACATCCTCTATTTCTATTTGTAAAGGAATTTCTTCTTTTTCATCAAAAATGATTATGCACTCCTTTTCTAAATTCATTTATTTAAATTAATAATATAATTTTTAATTGTAATTTATCAATATACTCATCTTAGGATCTTAACGGGGAGAGAAATAGACTTTTTTTTGAAATAGAATAATTTCTTTTATTTTTTACATTTTCTTTCATAAATTTTCTATATATGAATGATAATCAGAGTTTGATATTTAAAATAATTAATTTGAAAATTAAACATATTTTGCAAAGTCTGTTGGTTTAGAAATTCAGAATTTCGTTAATTATATAAATCATAGTTTATATGCTTCATATTATGTGATAGGTTATTTCTTCATGTTCTAAATTAATAATTGTCAATAAATTCCTTGATTATTTAAAATAATAAAGAGTACTTCAAATCTTGATATGACAAATGGATAACTTATTGCAACCAATTCATTTGTCATCCAATACCGAAATATTAAGTTTGACACTCTCATTCTAATTTAATGATTATTAAAGAGTATAGATGAACACAAATTCCATCAATAGTTTGCGTTTCTAATTATTCAAGCAGAGAAGATAAGTATACAAGAAATTATCTAAAATATTAAGTATTTAATAAGAATAATTATAACATAATGATATATTAATAATAATATAATGGCAGAGCAATTAAAATTTACACATCCCTTCCCTAAATTGCTATTTGATGACAGTCACATTCAATTTAAAAAATACTCTAAATATATTATAGATACAGATGCTGGATCTGATGATGCTCATGCAATTCTCATTGCCTCTTACATTCTTAAATATATACGAACTGATGCAGAATTGATTGGAATAACAGCAGTGGCAGGAAATGCGGCACTTGAAAATGTGATAAAAAATGTAAACAATCTAATTTAATACTCGAGGTGTACATTACAACTAGAATTGGACATTTTGGTGATAATCCTCCTAAAATATACAAGGGATGCAGGACAGATACTTTAAGAAGGTTTTACAGAGATAATTACTTTTTGGAAGATGGATTAGGTGGATAACAATTGAGATTACTAACTGAATTAGGATTGTAAGATAAACCATTGGAATTTTTCCACGAAAAACAACATGCTTGCGATTTCATAAAAGACTCAGTCTACAAATATGGAGAGGACTTATGTATAATTTGTATTGGTCCCATGACTAACATTTATTTAACATTGTAAATGTATCCAGAAATTGTTGATAAGCTTGGATGTTTATTTGCCATGGGAGGAACATATATGGGAGTAGGCAATGCAGCAAACTCAGTAGCTGAGTTTAATGTGTAAACTGATGTCGAAGCAACAGCAGCGGTAGCTATGGCAAAGTTTAAATAAAAGATGTTGTTGCCATTTGATGTTGTTTTAGCTTACACTTTAGATAAATAGAATGGAAAAGTCATCTTTGAGAATGGGGCTAATACAAAGAAATCTCAATTTGTCGAAAGCATTTTCAAAGCCGTAAGTCATGATGGAAATTATATACTTTGTGATGGTATGTTTATTTAAAATTGATATTATAGAATTGGCTGTAATGGTAGCACTAGTACCAAATTTAATAATATATTCTTTATAAAAGAACATTTCCATTGTCTCTGATGGCCAAGCTCGAGGATAAGTTATCATAGATTGGTTAACATTGATGAGAGGAAATCAAAAGTCAGTAGTCAGTATTCTAACAGCCTTTTAATGGGATTCTGTTATAGAGATAGCCACTAAAGCTAATTAGGATCAATAATGATATATAAAGATAAAATATTTACATTAATGTCACAATAAAATGGTTATTGGTTGATTAAAAACCTTCATTAGTTTTTCGATGATAGACATCAAATAAGTGAGAATAATATTCGTTCTAAGTCAAAAAGATTTTAGAAGACAACCACATAAAAGAATTGATTTTTTACAAAATATTATATAATCAATCCTAATTTTAAAGTTATCCTGACACATTGCTCTTTGATATTATGTAGGACACTTTTAGTTTATAGGATTGAACTAAAGGAATGTTTAGTTTCATTTCCATTAATTATTATCTACTGTATCTTTTGCAGCTTTCCATGCAAAGGAGTTCAATCAAATGATAAATGATACTTTGATTGTAAATTAAATATAAATCATATTGTCTATCATAATATTAGAAGATTCATTGAGTATTAAAAAACTTCAAAGAGAATTCTTCCATTCTCTAAAAATAATAAATATTAGCAATTATAATTATTTAATATTTTATATTATAGACATCCCTTAAGCTATTTTAATGGTATTGCTAAAAGAAAGTTGTGATACTACATAAATTCACCCCAATTTTATTATATGAGTAATTCAACCTAATTAGTAATTTGGACTTCTTGATTTATTATATATGAATATACTGAAGTTAGCTGCAATTATTATTATATACATTTATTAGGCATAATATCAAAATATTTTTCTAATAAAAATAAAGATTCTCTTTTTATGAACATAAATAATTGGTTAAATAAAGATGATGATATGAATTATAATATATTGAAGAATAATTACTTAAAAGGAGTCTCTTGTATTCAATATTTTTGGGATTAATAAAAAGAGGATCTGATTTTATGTTGTAATACAACAAATGTATAAAGTGATTATATCGCTAATATTATAAATTATCATTATTCGATTTAGGATTATTAATAAAATAAAATTAATGTCAACAAATAAATTAAGGTCGAAGTAATATGAAATACCAAATTAGCATTTCAAAGCTCAAACATAAGAAATGATATTCATCTGCAACCTTTTTGAATGCATAATATAATTTCAGTGTTAACCATTACAAAAATGTAAAAGGGTGATTATTTTTTTGTAATAAATGATGGTATTCAAATATATATATATATAAAAATCAGATCCAAGGGAGTAATTTGTAACCACAACACTGTGAATTTTTGTAGTGGGGAGTTTCTTTGTATTTCATTGATTTTTAGAACTGTTGATATTCTTCCTCTGTGTTCTTTTTATTGAAGTAGTCTATCTAGTTTAGGTAAAGCCTTTGGGGATTTAATAGGAAGGACTTCAACGGTTCATCCAATTTGAATATCCAAAACTCAATAAAGACAATTTGGTTTGGATTAACTTGTGTTCTTTTGAACATTTATCTCTGTTCTATTCGGCATTTGTATTGAGCACCTTCGTATGTATTTATGTACTGTTCAAAATACTAAACACTTGAGATGGATCCGATGGTGAGATCGCACCACATCTTTAAGGAACCACCAATATCAAAAATGGATGGTAGAGTTTTGGTTTCATGCAGATGATGAAACATCATATCGGAAGTCACTCCCATGAGGGTGTAAAATTGATCATTGACTATTCTTTGTGAGAGTGAACTATTGTCCTTATTCACTTTTTGAATTATACATTAATAGGGGTAATCTTTGGCTATTTGTTCAACTTCCAACAATTCTTCATTTGAAATATAGTAATGTTGTGTGTATTCGTTTAGTATGTTGAATCTTTAATTTACAAGTTGGATTGGCAGTTAAGCACATGGATCGTCTTTATGAGAAAGAAGATTAACGATTTGTTCTATGGAATAGTTGGCTTGGTCGAGAAGTTCGAGAGTGTAAAAATAAACATCATCAAGTTAGTCAGTGCGAGTAACTCTATGGTTGTAGGTACAAGGAGTTTCTTTTAGACTTCCCAAGCAGTGATCAGGTATGAAAGAGAGAGCCAACTTTAGTTCCACGTCAGCTTTAATATAGACGTGTTCTCCAACTGATTTTGGCACTGATACTATACAAATCAATTATTTTATGGGTTAGCGCTTACGATGGGTATTTTCTATTGAATATTGATTTATAATTACTCTTTTTGTTTACATTTTTCGTTTATAAAGAGAGCGTAGTTGATTCGTCATGCATGCTAACACGTTGCCTTACAATTTTACTCATTGCAAAATACCAAAATTATTTATTATTATATAAATTCCAAATCATAAGGGATATATTAGGGGTTATGATATTTCGTATTATAGGATTTAAAATACACAATTGTAATTAATTATTATAATATATTTAAGTTTATAAAAATTTAAATATTTTTATAAAATAATTATAATCTTTCTTTAAAATTGGGTTTATAATTCCAATTAAATCAGACTCTCTTCAAAACTAAAAATTCTTAACCAACCCACCTCGAATAGCTGACAAAATAGTAAAAATTCTTAGAGAGAATCATAAAATCAAATGAAGAAATTAATAAAAGTTTAACATCATCTATTTTTATGTGAAATAGAGATAACTAGGTTAAATACTGTGTTTCTAATTCTAAAAATAGCTTATGTTTAATTTGAACTAAGTAATTGGAATTATATTTTTATTTTTTATTAAGTTAAGAAATTAATTAATAATTAGTAAAATTAATGACAATCTTGATTTGCCTAATGTAGATGATCATTTATACAGCTCTCGCGTCTAAAAAATCGAAACAGAAGAATTACGAGTATTTAAATGAGACAGTGATGTATATTGTGCTTACAGTTTTGGGTAAATATCAATCCCATTACAAATAGTTAGTTTTATTTCCTTCTGCATTCTGCTCTTCATTATTATGGCATGCTTACATCAAAGAGGATATCGATTTATTAGATAGGAGAAACTACACTAAAATGAAATTTAACAACAACAATAAATGATTGTGATAGTACCACCTCATGAGAAATAGCAATACAAGTAGTTCTTGTATGATGTCAATCAAACAATGGATATCAGTAGATTATCAGATAATTAATGATGATTATATATTTCAATTCAAGTGTTCTTTAAAAATAATCTAAAACTCAAATTTTGAATCCTTAAAAAGTAGATTTGCATTTATGTAGTAGTATAAACTCAATTTGATTATTGATTGCATCATTAATACCAATGTAAACTGATTACTTATAATTGACTTTAACGAGAGATTAGAAATGTGAGCATTTTAATTCTATTGTTAAATTCAAGTATCCAATAATTAATAAGAGTAAATAAATTATCAAAGAATAATAATAATAATTGATGAATATCATTTCCTTTTGAATATTTTAACAATTTTAACCGATTTTTGAGCTGCATCATCCAAATCTGTGGATGTTGCAATTAATACTTAAGTTTATGATTTTGCAAATTCATCCAACATTTTAGCTCATCAAAATGAATATAATATTTACATTGGTTCCAGTTAATCTAACAATTAAATTGCTTTGATGATAACTTCAGCAATGATGTTGCATTTCATGATACCTCCTAAGATATTGATGAGGATCATTTTGACTTTGGAATGAGAATTCAAGATTTCAAAAACAGTTTTGACTCATTCAATATTGGCATCACCTCCAACATACTTCTTTTGGTGTCTAATGAGTGACCAACTTATTTCTAATCATTTATTTGATATAATCGGCAACTTCTTCTGGAGTTTCGCAGATCTTAACTCCTCATTTCAATCCATTTGACAAAGTTCTTTGAATATTATAGGTTTTGTATACCTTTGCCTCTTCCTCCTGCATGAACTTAAGACTTTAGAATCAATCCACCGCTAGGATCAAATATTATAGCGAATTTGGATGCTTCATCAGCATTCAAGGCAAATTCTCCATTCTACACTAGCACATTGTATCTTCTTATCATGCCCTTACTTTGACATTCATGAAAATAAAAGCATTCTACGACTTCATGTTATAATCCAGGCAACCTCGTAATTCGATTGAACATTTATTTTAATCTTTTATTTCATCGAGGGAATATTAATACTATATAACTAACAAATTAGCCCTCTCACACCTGTCACTATTCTAATTTCTATAAGTTTGATTATTCTCACAAAGTAAACACTTATCTGCTTAAATTAATATTATCTTGTTATAAAATTATTTTCAAGCATTTTAGTGTAATTCAATTTTTTATTATAAATTTATTAAGCATAGATCTCAAATTGACTCTTTTCCTTCTTTTTGCTCAACAAAACAAATTTAAATATCTAACCAAATACAGTTTAATACAAATAAGTGATTATTTATTTGATATTCATATATATATATATATATCTCTTAGTATAAACTATTATTAAATGTTTATAAGTTCATCAAGAATATTGGATAATCTTTGGAAAATAATAAAAACTGTGAGTGAACAAATACAAATTTTATTATTAGCACTCAAGTTTGTTGTTTATTCAAATATGTATTAACTATATCTATTACTACTCCTATCACAGTCTCAATGTCATTTTCCTTATTATCCAATTCTTCTCCAGAAAAGCCAACTGCATTTGAATGGCAGTCTCTTAAATAGAATTAACGTAAAATAACAACTGTTCTATTAGTTTTGCAATCCTAAAATTTCAATAAGTGACTTTAAAGAAAATGGATATTCATATTAGCTTGAGCTAGTATGGGCATATATTTCACTTATTCTATTTAGTGCCCCATTTTAATAGATGATTGCAGCCCATCCTAAGTCTCATTTTCTTTATGGAACAACTTTTGCTTAATTCTTACTCATGGGCTTCCATTTTTTATTAAGTAATATAAATTTAGCATTCTTGTTCATAATTTAATTACAAAAAATTATCAAATCAAATAATATACATATATATATTTTTAATCCTTTAAGGTTTTATAGAAAGCTCTATGAAATTATTTATAACCTTTCCGAAATTACCTCTTATACTATTTCGTGTTATTGTTTTACATATAAATAGAGATAATTTTCAAATTGGATGTTTTTAATAAAACACGCAAATATGATGTAATCATTTTAAGATAGATTTTCTCAATTGCGACTAACACAAGACAAGGGAGATTTTGAATTAGTCGTAACCTTAATGGATAGTTTGCTTTGCTGATGTCGTCTGGCCAGGATAGAGTTATTTTTCATTTCTAACCAATTATCCTGAATTTTTTCAATGTTTGCTGTTTTCTGATTATTTAGCATAATGGGAACATTTGCGATATCTAAATCTTTGTTTTTTTTATAATGAGAATTGCTGTTTACACATCCCATATCTATTTTTTTATTATTAATTAATAAATAACTATTCAGTGAAAAATGGTTATCATCAAAAAAATTTATCCATATTTTATAAATAAACAAAGGGAAAATACAAAAGGGGGTATAATTCAATTCTTGGACTTGATCTCTTTAACTTGATAGTGTTGCTTAAATATTTGCTGTTGAATAGGATTCTTGAAGTTAAAGTACACCGAGGTAAAATGAAGTAGGTTACATTTAATTTCTATATCTTAGTGTTCGCTTTCCATCATTTGCTATTCGAAGCTTTGAGACTGAGGAGAGCATGCATCGGCAATGCCTTCAAATGTGGACACTTTTGCCATGTTATTGTTCTATTGAATAGCCAAACAATCCACATTATCGGAGACTGATAATCCATACTAAACACTGTTTTTGCTGCCTTGTGTTTCCACGATGCTGAACTAAGTATTGCTAGTCCCATTGTCAGAGGATACAATTTATTCCTCTTGAGCTGCAATGGTTTTCACATTTAAATTGATTTGAGTTTCAATTAAGAATGGTCTAACATAAGAATGATGATTTTACCTTCTAATGGTCACACAACTTTGAAAATTGAGATCGCATGAGTTCCTTTGTTTTTTATGGTGTTTCTTTTTTTCTAATTTCATTCCTTGATTGGTCCAATCCAATCCCAACTTAATTGTATTTTGGAGCTTCGAGAGGAATAACCCTCTCAACATCCCATATTTGGGTCTAGAAGTGGGCTTCAATTCCTTCACATACCTCATGTATCTAGTTTTACAAGGGATAGTACTTGAGCATAGAGTTGGGACACCCGAAACACAAGTCTTCCAATAAAACACTTTCCTTTAACTTGCCAATTTTGTCTAATCTTTGTACATCTGTTTTCTCGATGTTCATCCATGGGAGGTGTTGAGTGGTTAGGTAGATGAGAACATAGCCGAGAGATTCTAGGTCGTCTTTGGGTGTTTGTTCGATGCCTTGGTGGGCTGAGATACAGGCATATCTACTGGTGCCGATGAAGGGTAAAACTTTCTTTTTGTGGGTGAAATTAGAATCTGCGTCTTTTGAAATTCCAAAATCGATTAAATAAATCTTATCGGATTCATTCTTACTCAATATATTTTCTGGTTTGATGTCTCTGTGAATTATATTCCTAAAAATAAACAGTCATTCATACTATTTGTGTATCTATTCCAAGATCCACAGCAGTTGGTAGGCGATGCTGTTGATGCAATGCGACGAAAATTGTTTATATTGTTTCTGATAATAGATGAGATCGTGACCCAGCATCTTGGTTATCATGATATTGCATTTCTTGTACTCCCCATACCACATCAATTCAGGAATTTGAGGAACTCCCTTCAATTTGCTCAGCATCTCGACCTTGGCTCATAGGATATGTTACTTCACGAATTAAACTACCAAAGTTGGCCATCTCCTGCTTCTCCACTTTAATCGCTACTCCCTTTTTTGTTTTGATGCTCTTGCCGTAAAAAACTATTCCGAATGATCCTTGTGATAGTTTTTTTAATATTTCGTATTGATTGTCGATTATATCCCCTATTTAAATTTAGAGCATAATTTTATTAATTGAAAGAGAGCCTTTGTTTAATTTAAATAGCCTTATTGGCAGAGATAAATCAAGAAAATAATACAAGCATCAATTAATAATTGGTCGATAACGAATTGCCTTTCACGTACATGATATCATATAATTTAAATTAAAAATGAAATAAAATAATATCACTTCTTAATTGAATAATGATTAAGCAAATTAAGCAAATAACATTATAATGGTAATTTCTAATGATATTTTTGACTTTATTTACGAGCACCAAATGTGACTCATGCATTATTGCATTTGAAATTCTCGTAAAATTCGGATTAATTATTAATAAAAATGGGAAATTGCAAGTCAGCCAACACCATAGATGTGTCCTGCAATCACAACAAACCTCACATTGCAATTTGTCTGGGCAAAGCATGCACGAGAGACGAAGGAGACAGAAGATTATGCGAGGAATGTTTGGTTGATCATATGTGCAATGATCGCATTACCATTGACGATGGTATTTGTTATTCTATAATCTAAGCAATAAAGTTCGATAGTTACGGGATCCAAGCAATAGTAGAGAAGTTCGACAGAGATTAAAATTCGCCACATGCAACTGGTGGATTAACTCAAACATTAGCAAATTTTAAAAATAATTTCTTTGAGAGTTTCAAATCATATCAAGGATATTATGATATCTATTTGAATCAGTATCTCCTTTAAGGAATACCTGATGCGGAAGTATTTGGAGAAGCGGCAAGTTAAATTGTGGAGGCATTTGAAAAAAATGATTTGGGTTACATCTAAAAATAAGGATGTCAGATATTACTCACTATTTACAATAATCCATAATTGGTTAAACAGATCTTGAGCAATTTAGACTCGGCATCCAGAAAAATCTCAGTTTATCAGAATTAAGTCGAGTAGAAGTTGAGAAGATTGCAGGACTCATTCTTCAAAGAACTACTCTCCTTACCATACAATGTTGCGAAATAATTCAATGGTTCCATTCTTAATATAGATCCAAAAACTTATTCATATGAATTCTCAGCATATTTGACAACTGTAGATACCAATAGAATGAGTGGATCATTGATCTCGTTGAATTGCAGTGATCACAATCAAAAAATCTAGGTTATCTGTTGTGACAGATGTCCAAGTAAAGATAATAGATTGTGTGGTCAATGTTTAATAACTCATAAGTGCAATGCTGGACAACGAATTAAATTGAAGTCTTTCGGCCAGGATCAAGCTGCAATAATTGAAGCAGCCATGAAATACCAGAAGAAAGTATGCACATATCTAATACACATATAGAAACAAGAGATATCTGATGCTAAATCCAAAGTGAAAGCCATTTTTGAGGACATAATGAGATAAGCAATCAAGGAAATAGAAATGTTGGGGTAAAATTCGAAACGAGTGATGGCCGAATCTTAATTGGATGGATTCGACTCTTAGATGAAGTAAGAATTGCCAGCTTACGTAAATAAGTTAAAACTAGTACATATTGATATTTTATTAGTGGTATTTGCCAATCGAAGCATGGTGAGTTTAGACTAAAGAGGAGTAGCAATTATTGCCTATTTGATACAACATCCTGAAATAAAAAACTAATTGGTTACCTTTGATGCATCCAACAATGCAGTCTAATATTTGAATAAATTAGTAATCCAATTGGAAGATGTCTCAAAGAGGTTCCTACAAAGTGTATCACAAATCGAAGATAGTACTCATATCTCTTTATAGTTATAGTTGCGACCTTTGAAAAGAAACCGAGTTAAAATCTGGAATCTTCCCATGTTTACACTACTAATATTGTGGCTAATTATGGTGCAACCATAACTCCTGTGGGAATGAATTTATCATTACAAAGATAACCATCTGCTAATTTGAATTTCTAGACTGATCAGTCACTTGAAAACAAATTAGATAATTGTCCTGTAATTAAGGTACTCAAAGATTTTGGGGAAGATCAGGACAATTATGTGAGTGATATAATCTTTTATTAAAATCACTTGATAGTTGCAACTGTGGATGGATTGATCGTCATTTATTAAGGCGTTGGTGAGAATAGGATTGGAGAACACCAATTCGAAGGCAAATGCACCAGCATCTGTGGATTTATATATTAAGGCAAATTGGCTATAGCTGCATGGTAAACTTAAGATTCTATGTTTGTAGCATTGGGAATTTCGAAGAATAGAACATTGGAATTATTACATTCGATAAGACTATCTCCTTTTAAGGTCACTTGCAAGGACATACTGATCCCATTTTGATGGTCAAACAATTGATCAAACCTGAATATTTGGTTAGTTGTTCTGGTGACCATAGCATTAAGGTTTGGGACACATCCTCAAGTGGATTTTTGGAAAGCATTAAGGCAAAGACCATCAACAATCATAAAATGGCAGTCAGAGATGTCATCTTAATTAATAACAATCAACTCGTGTCTGGGTCATTTGATGAGACCATCCAGATCTATGATATCAAGTCAGATCGAGTCATCTATGCCATTCAATGTGAGGATTGGATCTACTGTGTATGACTATTATTCATTTGTAGTTATAAAATATCACTGAGAAGGCTTTTGCTGCAGGCACTGGCTCTGGGGATGTTAGAATCATTAGCACATCGAATTATGGTGAGATGCTGAGAGTCAGAGTAGCCCCGAATTATATAAAGAGTATCATGGTATTCTAAAATCCCAATTATCTATTCTTGTCGTGCAAAAACAGAGACAATTACATCATTCGCATACAGGAATACAGGCAAATTGATTATATTACGAAGACTGAAGAAGTTGACTTTGTTCCTGAGGGGATTTGCTTAGTTGACAATTATATCATATATGGAGAGGCCAATTCTGTTAAAATTAAATATGCTAGTTGATATATAATATTTAATATAATATTTATATGTTTTAGGATAGATATCAATACCTTTTGGCTTCATCTAATGAGATAGCTAGCTTATCCATTGATTGTAAATATTACTCCTATTTTCAAGCCAATTACATCAAAAAGGGCAGTCTTCGAAGAATCTTTAAGAATGTTTAATTTGACACTTTCGAGAATCAGCAATTAAAGGAATTCAAGGAATATCTCGATTCCATTCCAGTTGAATATTTAAAAGAGTATGATTAATCTTATAATATTCGAGAGTTCAAAATGATTCCGTATTATTACGATTCTTGTATGCTCATAAATTTGTTAAAGAAGACACTGTAAACTACTTTGTGGATCACTTAAATTGGTTAAACAATCCTGAAACCATGAATTTGGATGATATTCCTTAATATTCTAAATTAGTTTAATTTATTGGGAGAGATGAGATGCTAAGACCTGTGCTACATATATCTTTGAGTCTACCTCTTGATGATTTATTCATCAAGGCAATCACAAACAAACTTATTATTATGGAAGACTACATGTTTGTGCCTGGCAAAGTAGAAAGCTGGATTATGATTGTTGATCTAAGTTCAACTAACCCAAATATTAAACCTGAAAAAATTGAATAGGCAATCAAACATTTTGTGACTAACTTTCCAATGTCTCTAGAACAGATCTATTTTTTGGAAGTGAATTTAATATTGAAGTAAATTGGAGAGAACGTTTTGAAGCTTGATCAAATAAAAAAGCTTAATTTTGAAGATAAAATTACAATTACAACCAAAGCCAAATATGAGAAGGAGAAGATCCAATTCCTATCCCCAGAGTACATTCATCTATTCGAGAATGACACCTAACTAAATCACAGTTTATAGTAGAACCAGCAGCAGAATCCATTTTCGGTATTACAGTAATAGCCCTCATAATCCTCGTTGCCATTTGCTCAATCTCCAAATCAAGTGATACGCAATCAGCCAAATCAATCTAATCAAATAATACAGTAGCCCTCACATTTGATTCTTAATTAACCATAACCTACTTTATATGGTCATCCTCCTAAATTATCAAATGAGGGAGAATTAATTGGCCCCTTGTATCCCATGATTGTCTATGCCTCTGCCTAACCACAACCTTATGTGCCAGAATATCACCATAAGGAATTCTAAATTCAGCCTGCAATTTAACCCGATCCTCATCATATGATGAACAACAATTACAACAACTTTTAAAATAACCTCACAAACCAGTAGAATTTCGTAAAGACTCAGTACAATCCACAATAACAACAGTACAAAGGCATCTCAAATCCTGATTATTTAGTGTAAATTATCATCTCTCTATCATTAGTCGAACCAAGTACGACGACATCATAGATCAATATAATTGGAACAAGTATGGTGTCACTCCACAATTGCCATCAGTGGAACCAGAAAAAATCATCAATGATGTCACCATGCATGTCTCCTCACCCCTTCAACCATATTCACCCCTAACACCTACTCTACCAGGAATTCAATAAACAATTAAAAAAAATGACCTCAATTTAAATCATGACATCTATTCAACCTATAATAATAATCATTTTGAGGATCCCATCATATCCAACAAAGATCACTTCCCACAAATTTCAGAACACCCTAGCTTGACACACTATGATCATCCCACAGACCCTTTCAATAAATACTCAAACGTTGACCTACCAATGGATCCACTACCCCCATTTAATTAATCAAATAAGAAGTACGACTTTGATCCATTGCCCCATCAACCCTATCAACCATATCAGAACATGGACTCCTACCCTCCCATCCATCATCAAATAGAAAAGAAATATGACTTTGGACCAATACCTAACAGACCATCCGAACACTCCTTTCCAAACTCTTAAATCATCTATGACAAACCCTACATCCCTGATCGCAGCTCCATCGATACTCCAATCACCACCATGAATTACACTCAACCAAAATATCAAAGTTATGTGCCATAGACACTCAGCAACAATCCCTTAAATACTTTACCATCCAATTTTCAAACTATCCCTTTATCGTCAATTCCCCAAAATTCAGGCTACTCCCCATACTATCCCTAATAGCCCTTTAGTCCAATACCCAGCAGCACCAATCTATACACTGCTCCCAATTATCCAATTCCCATTTCCAAACCCTAGCAAACAAGTTTGGAACAGCCTAAAATCGTAGAGCAAGATGGGATCAAATTCTAAGATGAAACCATGGTGGTTGGCGACAATGATCATAGGTAAACCAAGAATTCCAATAGAGACCCCGCCTTGGATCAATAATAATGTTCAATTTATTGATATTTTTATATGCATAATTTTAAATAATTAATCTAGATACGCTCTCTCAATCATTAATCTTAATCGTTCATCTCAATTATTCAATTCTAGACTCAATTACACGAATATTAATTAACATAATTATATTAATTTACTGACATCACAACTACATAGATTTAAAAAATTTCAAATCCTAATATCACTTTATTATTAAAATAAATGGGTTGTTCGTAAGCTAAGGCCAAATAATCGATTTCGCTCAAGCTTATATAGTTGAAATCTGCTTCGAATCAAGAAATGATTCAATAAAGTCTCTAATAGGAAAATAAAAAATTTAATGTCACGAAGAATCCTATCATCAAGAGAAGAACGCAAAGGAAAAACAACATGTCCCAAACTACAGTCTGGGCCTCAACTGTGATTTCGTGACTTTGTATTACACCCACAATTATATAATAAATCTCTAACCTAATTGATGAGGAGAGATTGAACACGGTTTTTTACATTTTTTAAATTTTGATTCAGAATTTTGTTTTGCTTCCTACTTCTTGAGAGTTAAATCTCATATCCAAGAATACAATGTATTCTGAATTATGTTATTGTGAATTGGAAAAAGTAATAAAAAGTAACATAACCAATTTCCCTTTATAGTCAATTTTCTAGAAACTTAGACTATCTCGAGCTTAATTGAACTTAATTCTCTGTCTAATGAACGTTATGAATTTAATAGAACTGAAAAAATTTGGCTTTAATAATTTCGACGAATTTAATAACAGATTTTATAATAACATAGTAATAGATTGTTTGTCCATAAATGTAATACTGCAAAAAATCATATTATTAGTATATATTATAGTAGATATGATGAAATGAACAATATTTATAAAATAAAATTTAAGAATTTAATGTCAACTAATTTTTACATAATGTAGATAATTAATTTAATAAAAATCTCATCAACAGAAAGTTTATAATAAAGATACCTAATAAGAAATATCGATGGCCATATGGAATTTATATTTCGAATTAATAATCATCAAATTCACTATATAGTTAGGAAACAGTTACTTTAATAAAATACTTTATATAAGTTAATTCTTCAAAAATCTACTAGTATTGCTTATGAAATTAATTACAAGTAAAGAGATAATAGAGACTTCTTGAGGCTTCTTAAAAAAAACAGCCCACTTATCTTAAACTTTGAATTCATTTGATCACCAACTTTAATTAACTTTTACATAAATGCCACATCACATTAATTTGTTAATAAAAATTAGCTAAAACATAATAATTTAGATTAATTTGAAAAAAAAACAATTCATGAATATTATTAAATAAATAAAAAATGAATATTAATTACACAATTAAAGCTTATTTAATTTAAAAAGAATAATGTAAATTTTAGAAATGTCTAAATCAACTACCAATTTTGTAATCCAATAGGTAGAATTAATCTTTTACTTGTTTCTAAAATAGAATGGATTAGTGTAAACAAGATAGATTATGATAACATTTGAAAAACTATATGAAATAATATCCTGATGTCTTTATGATCAATTTTTCATGATTTATTCTAAATAATGGCTTTAATTCTCTAACACAGATTGGTTTGAAATATTTTTCTTCAGAATAATTTTAATAAATATATTTTTTAAATTACTGAGTAGGCGGTTTAAAGATACTTTGTGAGATAGTAATTAAGATTTAGAATATTGCAAATTGAATCCAAATGTTTCTATAGGATATCGATCAATAGAAGTTCTTATATGATAAATCAATTATTATATTTATGACTCTATTATTATAACATTCTCTTATTTTCTAAGACTGAGCAACACCTTGAATAATAATTGATGAGGGGATTGCTAATATAATAAAGAACTTTTGATTCAAGGAATATTAATTTGAAATTTAATTTTTTTCATAAATCACAATATGCTTCGTCCAGGTTCCTCAATGAGTAAGGCCAAATAAACAAAAGGTGCAGCGCCAGTTTCTGGTGGAATGGCTGCGAGGGTTGTTCAAGAGAGAATGCCCACAATGGAAGAATATGTTAAAAATAGAGATTGGGTAGGGGCAATCTCACTCTTGGAGAATGAATAAAAGTATGAGTGGCTATTTATAGATTAGTTTTAATGATTCAAGAGCTGAACCCAAATTGTGGCTTGCTTATGCATGTTTTCATAATGGAGAATATAAGTAAATAACTTTATACATTTGAAAATAGAAGGGCCATCTAGGTGTATGATCAGATGATGACCAAGCCTGATTACAACAAGGAGATCCATATCTACAAGGCGTGTTGCTTTTATGCTCTATGTCAATACGAAGATGCCAAGAGAGAGTGTTCTAAAGGTCCAGAGACACCTCTGTCTGTGAGATTGTAATTGAATATATTTTAAATCATAGACAATTTCACATAGCTCACAAGAAAAATGATGAGAAGAATCTCATGACCTATCATCACAAGATATAAGAAACCGTCCATGATTAATTATGCTTGGCAGCAATTCACTATCTCAGAGGACACTACGAGGAAGTAACTGTTGCTTTAAATTTGATAGGCAACTGATGCATACAAAAAATTATTGCTTGAAAATAGAGAATATACAGCAATCAATGTTTACATCGCATTGTGCTATTATAAATTAGAATATTTCGATGTCTCTATTGAAATCCTATCCTCCTATCTAAATTAGTTTCCACAAAGTGTAACAGCCATAAATCTTAAAGCCTGCAATCAATTTTAATTATACAGTGGTAAATTGGCAGAGGAAGTATTCAAGCCTTTGCAACAATAATATGAAGGAATCAATGTTTGTGAAGATAACGATTTGTTGAAACATAATTTAGTAGTGTTTAGAGCTGGAGAGAATGCCTTAAAAGTCTTACCACCTTTAGTTGAAATTTTTCCAGAGGCTAAACTCAACCTAATAGTCTATTATTTGAAGAATGAAGATATTACAGAAGCATTTAACTTAGTGCAAGATCTATAGCCAACCAACCCAAAAGAATATATCTTGAAAGCTGTTGTTTTTGCTATGAAAGGATAATCCAGTCCTGATTAAAAGGAAGCCTTGAAAACTTCTCAATAACTCTTTTAACTTGTAGGGTCTTCAGCTAGTGAATGTGATACTATACCTGGGAGGTAATGTATGGCATCTTGCTTCTTTCTTTTGAAACAATATGAAGACGTTCTGGTTTACTTAAAATCAATTAAACAATTTTTCTAAAATGATGATGATTTCAATTGGAATTATGGAATTGCATGTGCTGGTACTGGAGATTACAAGGAAGCTGAGGATGCGTTAACTTAGATTCAATCTGAAAAATACAGAGTAATATTTTGATTCTATTTAGTCTGATGATATCTACATCAAGTGGATGACTAGAACATACATCATGAATGGCAAGGCCAAGTAATATATTGGAGTTATTATCATTTAGGGAAGCATGGGAATTGTACATTAATATGGAGACTTCAAGTGAATCCTTCTAAATTTTGGTGTTGATTGCCAATGATTGTTATAAGATGGGTCATTTTTATTATGCTGCAAAGGCTTTTGATATTTTACAGAGATTAGATTCAGATAATGGAGAACATGAGTATGAAGATGCTTTGAGAGGGGCAGTGGTAGGTGTTTTTCAAATGGTCATTACATCGAAGGAGACTCTGGATCATTTGATTGAAGTGATGAATATCATCACAAATACAGGGGACAATCCTTAAGTAGAGTACATTCTGAAAATAATTAAAAAATGGGGCAAGGAAAATAATTGGAAAATATGAAATATAAGTTTATAAATTAATGGTTATTACTTTAAAAGATTTCTTAAAGGATTGCATGTTAAAATAGATATAGAATATATATATATATATTGATATAAAATGTCACATGGTTCATCTGAAATAATTCATTATTATTAGGATAAAGAAGACTAGATTATAAATCATAATACATACCTAGTGCAGCTAAAAATATTATTAATTCGTAGCTCGACTCTTAAGCGAATTTGACTCTAATTTTTTGTCCATTTTCAAAATAAACGTCTCCTTCAGTAGGTTCGTGACACTGACTAAAATCAAATACAATCTCAACTCGACCTTGAGAAAATTAGGTTGTGATCAATCCTTACAAATGGTTATCTTGATAGGTCTTTTCGATGTTTCTATAGTAAGGAATACTGAGAGTTTAGATTGGCTGGCTATTTTAAATAAATATCTCCTTGTGTGGAAGATAGAATTCTCTTTCATAAGTGATTTCTTTGCTGCCATCCAATTAAATGAACTGATTAGAAATGAATGCATTAACCTTCACCTTCTTAGGCATGGGAGTATTATCTTAAGCAATTATGGGTTTGATATTATATTCATAGAGATTGTCAGTCTTTACTAATTCAAACCATTGAGGTTAATCGACTTCGATTTTGATTTCAAAGTTTGGATTGACTGAATCAGATTGCTGTATTTTTGGATTGACATTTAATTTGATGTTCAAATGATTATCTACTTTACTGGACTCAATAATTATATGTGATGGTCTGATGACCTCGAGTCCAGCTTTGAATTTGTTACCTTGATCATTGACCTCCACAAAACATTCATTCAATTCCTTTTCGATAGTTAACTGATTGCCCTTGAAACTACCACAATTTGAATTCCAAATGGGTTTCTCTGAATTATCCATCTTGTAAGTGATTGTGGATCCAAGATATGCTTTCTTTTACAACAAGGTGGCTCCCACTTTAACAAGGATGTAATCAACTCTGTCATTCCCACAACTTAACTTGATCAATGCAAATCCTTAATCCAAACCCTAAATTTCAATTCCATTCTTATTCACCTTAATTTACACAACATGTCTAGTGTATCCTAGAACTTCAAGTTTATTGTCTTCAATATCTTCAAATTGATATCCCTCCTAATTCAAGTACGCAATCTGAATTTCTAACTTTTCATCGACTTTCAAATTCACGAATTCCGACATCGGATACATTTGATAGATTTCTTCTACTTGTATTAGCATCGGAGTTGTGGCTACTAATAATTGAGGCTGCAAAGTGATGCTATCACTATCAATAATATTAGGTGGGTTCATATTCAATTATCCAACACTCTTTATTTCTTATCCCAGAGCTAATCTGCTATTTGTAGGAACCAGAAGAGGAACATGGTACAAGGCCTTGGTATTAATAAATAGGTTCCTAGTGTAAGAATTCAATCTCTCCACCTCCAACACAGTCTATGCTTCTAAATCATAAGCCTTGATTTTAATAGTAATTTTTCCAACCACAACTGTGGAAACTGAAAGTCCCAACGAATTCGGAGCTGTCTGAACCAATTTCTCATCTAGATACCAATGTATTTTGTGTGTTGGACACAAACAAAGGTTCATCTGATGATCCTGTATCAAGAAATCAGCCACTATTCTGACTGATGAACCTAATTCAATTTTTCTGCCGTAGTGTAAAATGGCCCTATTGGGTTTATTCACTACTACTGGTATATCGACTGAATCTATCAGAATATTAGACTATCTTAAGAACACAGTGACAATATAATTTCCATTTCTCTTTTTAGATTTGATAGTGACAATGTTCTAGCTAACTGAAGTTTCCAAGTCCTCATTGGAAATGGCTGAATAAGTGAATTAAGAGTAAGAGGGGAATAGCACATGAGTTTCACATTCAGTTGGCATGTAAACTGTTTCAGCTTATAACTTGGGTATAACCTTCAAATCAACTTGATTAGAATTGATTGAGTCATATTGTGTTTGTAGTTTGAATAAGCCTTCTTTATTTGGAGTGATCAAAAACTAATTATTGGCTTAGTTTATATTGGCGAATCCATGGGAATCAATCAAACGAAGAGGAGTCCAAGTTGTCACATGCACTTATTTCTTATAATAATGGAATGTAGAGGTTGCATTGATTGAATTTCCCACTACAGTGATCTATTAACTTAATTCCAAGTTCAATTGAGATGGGTCAATTACATTAAGGGTTGCTGACACACTGTAATTTAAGGATAAGTCATAAACTACTAATTAGAATTATCCTAATTTTTTTGGTGTTATGGTAACTTAATCCTTCTCACAACCAATGATATTATTGTCGTATTGGCATTGTATATTGTTGGTTGATGATTCTATTCTGAATAACACACTTTAATCAATCAGAACATATTGTTCTCCACTTGGAATCAATTTTAAAGTATGATGAATGATTAAGTCTAATTCACTCTTAATAGTTATGAAAGTGTCCTTGTGATTGTTGTAAGAATTTGAAGCTACAATGAATTTACAATCAGAGATTCCAGATTAAATATCATATGATAAATATCTATTTTGATATTTTAATCCTCTAGTCGAATAGTCTAAATGCAAACTGCTGGAATTATAGAATAGGAAAGTCTAATAGACAGCCACTACACTAATCTACACAGTTTCTTCTTTGAATAACCAATTTACTTCTTGATTCTTTTCATTATAAATTTTGAATGCTTCTGGCAATAAACATTTAACAGGTAGAGTATTGCTAACTAATTTTGGATTAGGCAATAAATCTGATTGTTTGTTGATTCTAGTAATTTTGAATTCAGCTTTGCTCTAGAAACAATTGAAATGGTATTTTTCCATGTCTATTTTGATGATGCCTTCTGACAACTTCTCGTTGTATGGTGTTTAATCCCAAGTTGTTGGTCCTCCCAAAACCTTAGTTGTTATAGTAGAATGAGGAGTCACATAATAAACTGGTTTTTCGAAATGCAAGTAATCATAGACTCTTACCTATTGTGTTACAGATATCTTTTGAGTGTTAATTTAAAGATTATATTAACCTGGTGTTGCCGATTGCAACTTTAAACCATTACAAACTAAATAGTTAGATAGATCTCCAGCTATTTGTGTTGTAGTGAAAACATCAAAATTATCAATTGTAAACTTAACTGCTCTGCATTAAGTATAATTTCCCACTTTGGGATCTCCAATTGCTTAATAAAATGTATCATCAGATTCATTCACTATCAACTCTTTTCTCCTCTCAAATGGAAGTATTTAAGTGACATCTGTCACGTAGACAGTTACTTCCAAGCTGTTATAGACATTAAATTCATCATAGATTATCAAGATATTCTCTCCCAAGTCTGAAGCAACAAGTGTGCGGGGACTTTTGATTTCAAAAATGGTTGGTGATTGATATCTGGATTAATATTTATAATTTCCTGACCCTCCAGTCACCACTAAGTTATATTGTTCATGAATCGGAAGGTGGATGTATGTCCTAAAGATTGTTGAGATTTGGATAGGTTGGACAAAATGGATGGTAACAAAGGATTCCAATGTTCCTCTTTGGAATGATAATTTAACATTTTGTCTTTCTACATTTGATATGACAGTCTGCTCTATCAATGTTATGTCTTAAGAATCGTAGGTGAAAGCATCTGTAGAATATATTCTTTAATGCAATTCATCCTTGAGATAAGCTTAAAATCTATATAATTTGCCAACTATCAAATGAGTTACTTTTCCTTCTCTCTTCTCTTTACCATCTTCCCAAATGTCAATATCAATGTACTTGGGAATGACTACATGGTAGATTGCTTTGATTTAATTGTAATTGGAATTAACTACTGTGAGATTCAAGTTCTTCTCAACAGTCTATGTTTTCAAAACACCATTTTGTTCAATTGTTGATAGTTTAGAGGTAGTGCTCCAAACATGAGCTGCACTTGGTATGCTTATTTTAGTTTTTCCATCTGCTCTCAATAAATGGAATTAGATCACAGAATGTGTTGGTAAGTAATACACTGGATAATCAGGGTGAAATTGAAATTTTTAAATTACCACTAAATCTACATTAGTTTCTATTTTGTTTTCATAATATTTCTTCTCTATCACTCTAGTAAAAACAGTTTCTTTCCCTTCCTTCTTTCCTTTGACCACAATGATATCACTATTGAACTCTAATCTTGCTCGTTTCTCTGATACTTTTAATCCTGATTCAGTAAACTTAACCATTTCCAATGAGCCCGTTTTCCATTCAAATTTAAGACCTTCCAATGTCGTGAATGTGTTTCCCTTATCATCATATGCTTAAACATGCAACTCTTCTTAAGTATCCAAATCCAATTATTTTTATTTGGTAATTATGCTCAAACTGCTTATTGCTTGCACCACTACTTCCACTATAAATTGAGATGCATCTGAGGACTTCGATTTCACGTAGATAAATGTTTAACTTGGCATTTTAGTCACAACTCTAACTTTTCCAATTGACTTCGAGCATCCCTATTAATCTTGCACAGTGACTGCAATAGCACTATTGGAAGCACTCCAATCGAAGCAGCCACCTTCAGCAGTGATTTCATACTCTACTTCGATGTCTGCCAAGGGCAATAAGATGTTTTTATTGCTGATTTTTGAGCCACTAATTGTGTTTAAAATTGCTAGCGCCAATATTAAGGCAAATTTCATTAATTAAATATATTAATCATTTTTTTTAACTCTTCACCTTCTTTGGCTTCTGATATTTCTACTCCATCTATTATAGCAACTAATCGAATGTATTCTTCGGTCTTTGTCGTATCTATTTAGTCAATTAATCCATATCGATCTATTATGCCTCTGGGTCCTCTCTCAAAGTCTTGATCTTGTTTCGGCTGGTCTGGTATATTTTATAATCCGTTATCTTCTTTTGCTTTATCATCTCGTCATAAAACTCTAAAAAACGAGGGATGTCCTCATTTTTACTCAATATTATATTCTCAAGCAAACACTTCACATTCCCACTATTTCTATCGAGAATATGGCAAACACTCTTACTTATTATAGAATTCAATCAAGTCGTTCTCCTCCTCCTTACTAAATCTATACTTGACCTCATATTTATCAATATCCTCTTTGCTGATCTTCGGATAAAGATTACGATAGAACTCATATGCATTTTTAAATTCATCCATCCCCTCAATCATCCCAGTTTCATCATACATCTTTCTTTTCTCCTCATTAGAAAGAATCTAATAGGCTTCAGATATTTTTTAAAACTTTTCTTTTGCATTTACATCTGCTTGATTCTTATCTGGATGTAATTACAATGCCAATTATCGATAAGACTTTTTCTAAAAATATAATTAACTTCCATACTATTTCATTTTGAGTTGCTTTCGGTTCCACATTCAGTAACTTGTACAACGTAAATTATTCTTCCCGCTATTACATTATTTTAATTTATAAACACAAAATTGAGCTGCTATTAATTGTAAATTATTCGTTAAAATCAATTAACAATCTGATTCATTCCAATAAATGCTATTGATAAACTGAGAAATGCCTTGATATAAGTCTATCTAAACTCTTTAAGGAATCGTCAAAACTTATAACTCTTTCAATATTTTTAAATATCACTTATAATTATAAAAAATCATTAAAATAAATTTATCAAACTACAATATTTCAGAAGGTAAATACTTAGTTTATTTTATTATCATGATGTTACAGTTTAACTATGAATATTAGTAAGATTTTAAATAACGCTTAATAAGTTAATTGTTTATTGGAATATCATTACATTAAAAATAAATAAAACTAAACAACTTAAGATTTTCTACAATCAATCAAAATTAATTGAAAATAACAAAATGGTATTTATTTGTCATAATTATACTTTGAATTAGTGGTAGCTTCCACTAACACAACCATATTTTGTTTAAAATTTAAATACCTATAAAAAATTTAAAAATACTCAGTCACTAATTAAGTTATTAATTTACAATTTCAAATTATAAAAAAACTCCTATTAATTAGAAATAATATGTTCGAAGATAATTAAAAATAATATGATTTATCAATTGATATGTTTACGCTCAGACTTAAGAGTTAAACTAACATCTAAATTATATAAAGATCAATATACATTGATTAGTAATTTCAAGAGCTTGCAAGCTTCTCTAATAGTAATGAAGCCTGGATGTCAGCTTCTCTTTGGCTCCTTCTATGAAAATCCCATAGATAAAAAATTTAGTAGAGGATTCATTTTTTATGATTCTTATATGAATTTGTTTGGATATCATGATTTCAAAGACCTCCATCAAAATCAAATAAAATTCATCTTTATGTCCAGAGATTTTGGATCTTTTGTAGAAGTTTTCAAGAGTTATTTGCTTCTATGGATAAATTAATTTGAGCTACTTTAGAATTTTGTCAATTTTAATAGAAGCAATAAATTATTTATCAATTTTTTCATGTAGGTAATGATATACTGTAATCTTAAATATCGTATGTAGATTAGGAAATGGTTGTTAGAAATTCAATCTGAATTGATGTAAGATACTTTTGATTAAGATTTTGTATTTATATTAGTATTTATTTTCTAATTCTGACTCGTTTTCATTTTTTTAACATTTTAACGGCTTAACTTTGATAAGAATGACAGGGGATGTGTCTGAGAGTATAGAGTAGTAGATATTATGAGCTTCCTTATGATATAAAATAATAAGTTTTTAATTCCATGTTTATATATTGTCCTTATTTAATTATTAAACTTTCTGAAATATAAAATCTTCTAAATTAATTTTATGACTTTGATTGACTTTTGAATTTCTGAGGAATAACTTCAATTCTTCAGTTGAGTCCATGGGGTAGATAAAATCGATTGACTTTTTCAATATAAAAGAATTTTTAAAGTTATTGTAATTGAAAATAATACATGGCTCAACAATCATATTTTAAAGAATTTCATCCCATTTATTCTCTATTATTGTAAGTTTGAATTTTGATCTTTCCGCAGAGGCATTCTCATAAAATGTGATTATAAGTAAGAATGAAAGTAAAAATGTTGCCATCGTTAGCGAAATGGAATAATCTGGCTAATACTCCATGAAATAAACCAGGTAAAATGAATAGAACGAAATCACCTACACCAAAGTATCAATAAATTCTCCAGTATTCATCACTATGAATTAATAAGATACTATCAAAGCTGAAGACAATTAATGTTTGTACTAAGTCTTGCCCTCGTCAGGTTCATAATAAAAAATTAAAACCCCATAATTGATGATTATCAGAACCCATCTAATCAGTCGAGGTTGAAATTTAAGAATCAATATAAAACCAACAGTGACCATTAAATAGCCAAGAGTGGAATATACTTCCCTCAAATTAAAATTGATCAATAGAGCAATTGATTTCACAATTACAATAAGGGATGTGATCTTTATGACTTTTTGCATCATTGGCTTCCTCTTCTAATTTAACTAGTATTCCTAATATTTTTATTCGACTGTATTATCTATAAATTAGAGGGTATACTTATTTATCATTAGAAAATATAAATAATAAAAAGTTTGCTGTCAAATTGACATTAAACTAATAAATTAAATGACGAATTAGGAAGGATGTAAATATTTTTAGACCCCATGAATAGTCTATATTAGAAATTTAATTTTATTAATTAAAATAAAATAAATTAACAGAAATGCAAATTATGGTTTTTTTTCAAATAACTTTAAATTATTATTCAAATTTTGATGCCTAGAGTAAAATAAAAAATCTAATTCGTATTTAAAACTTTGAAATATCAATAAGTGTTTCTGGAATTACAATTCATTAAATTGAAATTAATTCAAGTTTATGATATGAACATTCATGTCTGGAGCATCCCTCTTCCCCAATGATGCCATTTAAGGCTAATTATATGTTATTTTTGAATACTTAAGTAAAATTACTGGATATAATTTTAAAAGCTAAATCTATAAAATTTGATTGTTAAATATCAAACAATAATTCTTAAAATTAAAAATCTAAATAGAAAAGATGAAAAGAAAATCAATAATCTAAATTTAAACTTAAATATCCTTTCAACATATTTCTACATATTCTAATTTTTTAATATTATTTTAATATTTTATTAGTTACTTAATAAAGGTTTTTGATTATCATGCTTAATCAATAATGCCACTGAAAATATTGAACCATAAAGCATGAAATGTAATTTTAAAAAGAATAATGCAGGTAATTCATTTAAAAAAAAAGTTGTGCGAAAATTTCTAAATAATGTATAAACTGATTTTATATTTTTATATAAATAATTCAAATTTTCAAAGCTATGCAGTAGCCAAAATCATAATAGTTATCAGTATAGGCACAAAAAGAGAGAGGTAGGATTGTATTGCATCTTAGATCGCTTAAAGGCTTAACGAGAAGGATAATTAAATAAAAAAGAATAGGCTTTGAATAAATTAAGTGATGAAGAAGTAGTGGCTTAACTTAAGGCTAAAGGATTGGGCGTGTATGGAACAAAACAAGAAAAATTAGAGAGGTTAAAGAAGGCAATTGGTAATTGTTTTTTTAATTTATGAAAGGGATTGAAGTTAGCAAATGCGAATAGGTACCATAACAACAATAAATACCAGTTCCGTAACCGCCATAACCTCCAAAAGGATCAGTGGTTGATAACATAAAGAAAATGGAATAGTAGAGGGAAGAAAGAAGAAAAAACATGCAGGAAATGAAAAGGGAAAAGGCTGAAAGAGAGGAGTAGAATCAAATACTAGGTAAAAATGTGGATATAGAATTTGAATTGATGATTGATAAAAGTAGACTTAAAGGAGGACTGATATAAGAGCATCAAACGACATAAAATATTAAACTATGTGTATGTGTTAGGAAGAGACCCATTTTCAAGAAGGAAGAGGTGGCTGGGGAAATAGATGCAATCAGTTGTGCTAATCCAATGATTCGAGTACATGAATCAAAATTAAAAGTAGATGGCATTACAAAATATGTTGAAAATCACGATTTTTAATTCGACAACACTTTTAGTGAAGTAGAATAAGGAAAGGATATATATGAAGTAAGTTTGGCACCATTAATGGAATTGTTGTTCAATTAGGGTGTAGTTACATGTTTTGCCTATGGATAGACAGGTTCTGGTAAGTCTTACACAATGAAGAGCATTCAAGAATTATTAGCAATTGATCTATACAAGTTGATTAATGCTTCTCCATAACTCAAGATTGTTGTATCATTCTTTGAAATTTATGGAGGAAAATGTTATGATTTATTAAATAATAAGGCACCCTTATAAATTTTAGAAGATAAAAACAATAATATACAAGTTTAAGGGCTTATTGAGAGACCCTGTGAATCTGAAAATGAATTGTTCTAACTCATGGAACTTGCCAATTCTGTAAGAACCACTCATGCAACTGTAGCAAACGATACATCATCAAGATCACACTCCATTTGTTAGATTATGATAAGATAGGGTTACTCCGATATGGGAAAACTTATCTTGGTAGATTTAGCAGGATCAGAAAGAGCTTAAGATACTCAATCAAATAATCGTCAGAGGAGGTTGGAGGGTGCTGAAATCAATAAAAGTCTTTTAGCATTAAAGGAGTGTATAAGAGCTATGGATTCAGGCTAAGGTCATGTCCCTTTCAGAGCTTCAAAATTAACTTTAGTTTTGAGAGATTCATTCACAGCAAAATCCAATAAATCTAGAATTATTATGATTGCATGTATCAGTCCTGGAAGTTCTTCAGCTGATCATTCATTAAATACACTTCGATATGCTGACAGGTTAAAAGATAAGTCAAATTAAGCAAAAGTATAATTAGAGGAAAGGGAAGTTTCAAATGAAGAATTATTATATCGATAATAATAACAAAATTTGTATGATAATAAATCATAAGAAAATAGCAATAATAATAATAATAACAATAATTATAATATTAATAACAATAACAATAATAATAATAGATTAGCATAATAAGATAAATAAAATACTCCATTATAATTACCAAAAATTAATGATGCTCGAAATTAGAATAATTAAAATGCTGCTAATGTGAAAAAGAACTAATCTCAAGGGCCGGAAAAAGAAAAGCCTAAATCTCAACCTGTTCCACCCCCTAAATAATCCAAAAGAATAAATTCAGTGCAAGAGGATTCAGATGACGAAGTCGCTTAGGAAGAGTTAGTTAATAAAAAAAATGGTTAAGTTAAGGAGGATGTCAGATGCATGAAAGAAACCATGATGAAAAACGAGTAAAATAATGGCAATGGTAATGGGAATGAATTTTTTGACTTTCATGAGAAAGTGAATACAATATTCGAAGAATAAGACGAAATTCTAAATATTCACATGGCTGCCATTAAAGTATCAACATATCCTTATTATCTAATAGGAAGATGCTAAATTTTTGTAACAGGAAAGCGAGTTGATTCATTCAGTATAGGGATTAGGCTATGTGGATTATGATGTGGATGCATATGTTGGTAATTTGGAAACTTTTATTAGGAAGAAACTTAAAATCTATAATTTGTTAAACAAGAAATTGCAAGTGTTCAAGTACAATGCTAATTAATTTTAGGACTCACTTGAAAGAGGAGGAGGAGATCAGTTCAAAGATGAAGAATACATTCTATTATTGAACATAATACATATATTATATAAAATCTCAAGCATACTGGTGTTAGCTAATTAAATTTAATTTTTTTAGAATTCAAAACATGGAGGAGAAGAAAGTCACATAAGATAAATAGGCTTAGAAAAAACCAGGAAAATAGGCCGTTCAGTTGGTAATCATGAAAATCAAGCATAATTTTAGTCAGAATAAGATCTTGAATTGAAAAATAGACTGGAATAATATGCGGAGGAGATCATTTAAAATAACACAGAAAGTTTGGAGAAGTTGAAGACCGAAGTACGTTCAGCTACAACTTCAATGACTTCAGTGCCAAAGCCATTCAAATTCTTAAAGGAATCTTACGGGAAGTTGGTTGAGTTTTACAATGGATTGGAGACATCGAGATTCAAAGTATGAGTGTAGTATCTAAAATATAGAAATAATTGGCAGATTTTCTATCTGTGTTGGCAATGACTTATGGAGGCGATAGAGATTCATTGCTTTATCTATAGGAGGGAACATTAGAAGAATTCAAATTTTGGGGACATGAGTATCTAAGTCATCTTGCTGCTAATATTGGATCAGAATTTTAATTAAGGTTACAAAAGGTAGAGGGAGCTGATGATTTACTGGCTTTAGTAGATGAAATAGTTCCCTATTTTATGGATCATAATTCAGAACATGATGCAATAGATTTATTAAGTGAGGTGGATCAATTGTAAAAAATAGAACAAGTATTAACACTATATCTTATCATTAGTATGTGAATCAAGCAAACATATAAAGAATTTTGGTTTACTTATTGAGTCTTGTTCCATTTTGTTCAGATTAGGATGAATTAGATATTTTACTTATTACAGCCTTTAATATTTGTTTGAAGGTGAATGAATACACTAATGCCTTGAGAATTGCATTACGTATAGACAAACCAGGAAAGGTTGAGGAAGTATTTAAAGCCTGCTAAGATGAAACCATAAAAAAACAATTGGCTTTCTAATTGGCTAGACATAGATATCAAGTTGAAGAAGGAATTATAAATGATGAGACTTTGAAAAAGATTGCAGCAAATCAGTACTTGAGTCAATTCTACATAAATTTGGCTAAAGATCTAGAAGTTCTGGAACCCAAGACTCCAGATTAAGTATACAAGGCTCATTTAGAAGAGAAGAACAAGGAAGCCAACTTTGAATAAATCCAAAAAAACCTTGCAGCTACATACTGCAATGGATTTGTGAATGCAGGATTCAAGAAAGATGCATTGATGAGCAATAAAGAAAATCCATGGTTGAATAGTGTGAAAAATGATCATACTGCGATTGCAGCAGTTGCAAGTATTGGGTTAGTCAATTTATGGAATATTGATAATGGTACAGAATAAATCTCTGAGTATTTTGATTTAAGTGACATCTACACAAAGGCAGGAGCATGCATAGGATTAGGCTTATTTTGCAGTGGAATTGTCGATGAAAATTAACCAGCTTAGGCCATATTATTAGCTTAGTTGGAGAGTCCTGAAGTGTAGGTGAAGATTGGAGCTGTAATGGGATTGGGATTAGCATATGCAGGCTCAGCAAGAGCAGAATTATAAGAACAATTGATAAGTTTAATTGTAGAGGCAGATAGTGTTGAATTGGCTTCTATGGCTGCACTATCTTTAGGTCTGATATTTGTTGGTAAATGCAATGATGAAGTTGCAAATGCTATCGTTTAAACAATGATGGAGAGACAAGAATCATAATTAGATATATCTATATCAAGATATTTCGCAGTAGGATTAGGATTACTCTATTTAGGATAAGCAGAGGCTGCAGAAATAGTAATTGAATCACTTGCTTTAATTCCTCACAAGATCAATAAATATGCAAAAGTCACCTTGACTTCTCTTGCATTTGCATCGACAGGAAATGTTTTAAAGGTTCAAGAACTACTTGGCTATTGTTCAGAAGTGACATCTGATGACAACGGCGCTAAGATTGACAAGAATTATGAGCTCTAATAAGTAGCCATCTTGGGAATTGCCTTAATAGCCAGCAGTGAAGATATTGGCAGTGAGATGGTATATAGAATTTTCTAACATATATTGCAATTTTCAGATGTGGAGGTCAAGAGAGCCATTCCTTTGGCTGTGGCTTTGATAAATGTATTGAACATATATTAATTATTTTAGATATCAAATCCAAAGATTCAACCGATGGATCTTCTTCTTAAATTGGCTCATGACAGAGATTAAGAATTGTCTTATAGAGCAACTTTGTCTATGGGTTTATTGGGAGCAGGTACAAATAATTCAAGAATTGCTGATAAATTAAGAGGGTTGGCAGTTTACTTTATGAATGATTCAAATGGTTTGTTCCTCGTGAGAATTGCCTAGGGATTATTACATATGGGCAAAGGATTGTTGACACTTCAACCATATTATTCTGATAAGTTCTTAATGAATAAGGTGGCTATTGCAGGAATTATTTCATTCTTACATGGATGTTTGGATATTAAGAATTTGATTTTGGAAAAGAATCACACATTACTCTACTATTTGGGTATTGCCATGTATCCAAGAATGTTCTTTACAGTAATTATTCTCTCTTAAATGTAGTTAAATGACAATCTTGAAAATCTCCCTGTTCAGGTACGTGTAGGATAGGCTGTAGATGCAGTTGGGTAGGCTGGTAAACCAAAAAGAATTACAGGATTTTAGACTCATACAAGTCCAGTCATTGTTAGTGCTGGTGAAAGGTAATACTAAATATAATCTGTAATAGAGCTGAATTAGCCAATGATGAATATATGCCAGTCCAAGATATGATTTTAGAAAACTTTGTTATTTTAAAGAAGAATCCAGATTACAAACCAGAAATTGAGTAACCATAACGTAAAAAGACTAGTTTTAGCATGTGATTATATATAATAATATGCAAGTATGTAACTTTTAAATTAAACTATATAAATATATAGAATTAGTAATAATATTAAATAGTCATAAAAGATCATTATTTAGTTATTGAAATATTTTCAATTTAGTTTGTTGATTTCGTATTTTGGATATTACCCCCATGATATTGCCTAATTTTACTTAGTGTATTTTCATAGGTTCTTGTCTAATCAACTTTTCTCTTTTCAACATCATTTCCAATTTGGTAGATATGACATTTTCTTGCTTCTTCTTTTACTTCATTAATATGATTTTTGTGTTAGGTAATTGTCTACCAGAATCTATGGATTGCTGAGATATGCTTCTTAATTTAGCTATTTTCTACATAATCTCATCAATTGATTTAGTATGATATGGGTGGTCTTTTAATCTATGCTTAATTCCTGACATTATTGCAATGTTTTTATCTGGCTAATGTCTTGGCAATGATTCATTCAGCTATTCAAGTGAACTGGCATCAACAGAAGCCTATTATTATTTTTATAGAAGATCAGCTATGCTTTGGTTATTTGAAATTACTAATTCTAATTATTTTATTCATTTATAAAATACTTTTCAAAATGATTTTATTGGGACTAGAAGAATTGATAATTGAATTGTGATGTGTTAACTAATTGTGCTTTAGTGTGTTCCTTTCTGTAATAGATTTGATTCCTTAATTTGATAATTGGATTATTTTTTATTAAGTACATAATACTTTATCATCCCTTTCAAGTGTTTTATCCCTATTTGAAGTTACACAAGGTTAGCTACTAGTGTGGTTTTTATGCTTCATTCTTTTATCAAGAAGTGCAATTATTTCATCAACATTTCCAGGATCAGTACAATCGATTGACTTGTCCTTGGAATTCATTTTGGCAATTGCTTATTGAAATTTTTTAATGTTCATTGCAACAGCATGCAAGTATAAAAAGTAGTCTTACTAACTAGTATTTGATGTCATATATTCTAAATAATTCATTCTTTGCAAGGATCTTTGAGTCAATCCCAATTTTTTCATTACGATTTAAGTTGATTCCTAGTTGAAATCTAATTTTTGATCCAGATATTACTTCATTTCTTGCATCGGGATTTTACTCATTTTTTATAAATTATTAAACTATAAGTAATCATTTTTAATTATATTATAAATTTCAATTATTTAGTTTATTCATTGTTGTCCTGCCCTTTCATCCTTTTAGTTTGCAAATAATAACACTGTCAATTCTTCAATGGCCTTTGAATTTTGAACAATCACACATGCTTTATTTATATTACATTTCAATTTCATGTCTATAAGTGAATATAGATAGGATAATAGTTTAATGTCCTGATTGTCAGTACGAATATGCAATGAAAATGTGGGTTGCAATCTGCTATTAACAACTACTTAATCCAATAATTTGGCTGCTTTGTCTGCTGCTACATGAGTTTCCACTGCTGTTTTGAAGAGAGGCCAATTATCAGCAAATAAAGGCTGATATTTAGATTTTACTAGATAGCAATACAACTATTCAGGCGCCTCTATTTCCACTTGATCATTAACCTGTTTGTCTTCTTCAGCAAAGATCTCTTGTGGTACTTCTTTAAGTAATGGCTGGAAACTTGAACTCAAGACATCCACATCCAGACGTGAAGTTTCTTCAGGATAAAAAATCAAGAGTACTTCTTCATGAAATGGCTTCTTTCTTTATTCACTTGTGAAAGGGATAACTTAGTTTTCAGTTTTGCATTCATCTGCCCAAGCAAAATTAGGAATTGAAAGTACTTCATTTAAAGGTTTAAGCATATCCTCATAACGAGTATCTTCCAAGACCATATAAAAATGAGTGATTTCTGCCTATTTTTCAGGATCAAAGTCATGCAAATCACTCCATGTATTATTCCAGATATTGAGTTTTGCCTTCTGTAAATGTTATCTTAATTATGGATAATAACCACGAAAACAACCAAATCCCATTCTGACTGATAATTCTATAATCGGTTGACTTTGAGTGAAGAGCAAGGTTTGAATATCCTCACATTTCTTTGATCGAAATTATCCACAAGCAGTAATGACTTTACATCTTTTACATCCTCTAATAAACATACTAGATTCAACAGCAGCAAAAAACATCTGACAATCAAAACAATCATCAATTAGAATTTATGCTGAGAAGTCTGCTATGAAGATCTTACAACGGACACAATTTCTTAATACAAAGGCCTCACCATCAACTTCACCTGGCTTTTTTACCAATATTTCATCTTGTTTGTCATAAAACCTATATTTAGAAGCATCCTTTTTTCTTAATTCCCATGACTTAGGCTTGCTATTGTTTTACATTTAAAAGGAATATAAAGAATTTTATCAAAATTACAAAATTATTAAAAGAAAAACAAACAATCATTGATTTGGAAGTGCTTCTATCTCTTCTTGAAGTATATTTTGAACACATTTTGGATATTCGTAATTTTTATACCCTCTAAAAAGAGGAGTGTACTCTTTCTATAATAATTTAAATTAATGAACGAAATTACCAAATAAGCTAAGATGTTTTTGGCCATTTAGTCTTTTTTAATTGTGAACGAAGGGATGATCAATTCTGGCATGACAGGCACGTTCTCCCTGTTATAAACTCTTAATAAATGTTCTTGAGGATCCAATTTACCATAACCTTTTGTAATCTTGTTCCTTGCAGTAATATTGAGAATCGGAGGCTTCTTTTTTAGTTTCTCTAATTAAAATTATCATTTACAGCAAATAATGTTGGGTTCTACCTTTTTTCATACATTCTTTATAAAGTATGATCATAGGTCTATTCCCTCTTTTTTACTGCCTCTGAATATGAACATTTATTATCATCTCTATTTGCAATCACTTCCTATTACTTTGGTTCTTAAACTATAGTTTCCATTTCCTCCTCTTGTGCCTCTTCATCTTGAATTTCCACTCCTTGAATTTGAGGGTTTGTCATGAAATCCAAGGCTCTTCTCTAATCATCTTCGTTTTCAAGCAACCTTTCTTATTCCTACTGCTCTCTCATCAACTTCTCTTGTCTTTCCTTCTCCATCAATCTTCTATAAGCCATAATCTTCTTGTCTATCTATTTTATGGCTTCTGGGATTGGAGTAGGCTTTGGAACATACTAAATGAATGTAAATATAAATAAATTTACAGGATGAACATACTAAATTGAAGGTTGTGGTAACACAATCAACTCTTAAGTAGTTTTTGGTTTACGACTTGCTTAATAGACATTTCAATATTACAAAAACCGTTATGCATTCCTCATCTGAGGTGGATGTGCAGGGTCTTCCTTGTCATTTAAAAATCTAGCTTTCTATCCTTAAGATTTAGCCTTATGCTCAACATAATGTTTTTAATGAATTTGTTTTTCTGACATTTTTAATTAATATTTATACTTCGATAAAATTAATACCTTATTTTCAAATCACAAGCTTATCATAAATAGAACTTGGTAATAAATATGTTACTAGAATTCATTTTACGATTAGTATAAAAATACCTAATGAATTATGAAATCCACTTATTATATAGAATTAGTTAGATTTGAATTTAAAATGTATAGATTTATGAATAATGCATTAAAACCAAAAATCAATCAACTGAGTCTATACAATATAAATTAATCGTTTTTTCCATAAACATTTTCCAAGTGATACGAAATCTTGATATCCAAATGTCTTGGATTCTAAGCGTTCTTTTTCACAGCTATGCTGCCTGAGATTATATCATTATTTTTCACAGCCAATGGTTCTTCAATATAGAATACAGTTTATTTCCAATGAGTACTTTCTGCATAAGGAGATGTTGTCAATCTTACTGGAACATGGCAACTGGAAAATTGAACATCAAACCTTTTATATTGATAGATTAACTACATACCATCCAACTAATGCATGAACATAATCATCCTTTTAAATCTTCAACATATATTAATGACTGAAATCCAAGTCATCCACTTTCACTGTCTTGATATCAATCTCAAAGATTGGACAGGAATTGGAATTTATTTGTTCTGGATTACAGCAATCCACTAGAGGTTCTCGAAGTGCCCATTGTTTAATGCAACTCATATTTACACCATATACATTATCCCTATTAAATTATAGTATGTGATAATTACCAGAAATCAATTTTAGACTTTCTGTATTCATCATCTTCAATCGTGGATAGATACATGATAGCCTTGTCTGGGAACATATGGCCATCAGGAGCCAAATATTTGTCTCTTGCATACAGAACGCAGTCAAGCATGGATTCATAAAGAAGAAAATAACTAAATTTTAGTTTATTTTATATATACCCCATCCATTCAGAAATGATGATATCCACCTTTTCAACAGGTAATTCGATTTCTTCTATCTTTCCTTTTACAATGGTAATTTGATCACTGAATCCATTATCACTGATAATCTTTTTTGCGTGGATTGCAATGTTAGCATTCTCAACTGCATAAACATGTTTTGCTCCAGCTTAAGCGGCAAAAATAGAGAGAATGCCTGTTCCTGCTCCTACATCCAAAACTATTTTATTTTGAAAAAGTTGCTAGACTTGTAGGGGAATACATATTTACCTTGTTCTTAAGTATGGCATTTTAATAGGCTTTTGTTCTGATCTTGTCTTTAAGCATTTCTTCATGGATGCTGAAATGAGAATAGGAATCAAAATAATAATCAGCATCCTTTATGTAACCGTCTTAGTGATCTGTCTCACTTTTTTAGAAGCAGGATTCAAGATCAAATCCTTTTTCTGTTGATTTTTTAATTTTCATGGTCTTGTTGTTGTTCATATTATTATATTTATATTATTGATCACTAATAAATAGGTTTAATTTCATAAATTATACTTACAATTTATATTATTGTAAAATCATTATTTGAATTTTACAATTGAAACTCAACTTTTTGAATCATCGAGTCATGTTTAATAGTACTCAACTTGTCTGTATACTAATTCTACGCAATTTATCTAAATTTTTATTACTTTATATGATATTTTTAATATCTTTATATAATATCAGTAGTGATATCCAATCCTAATCTTTCTAATAACTCATTGGATAATACATGAATACTACGTAATTAGTCTTCTCAATTGTTAATATCATTATTACAAATTGTATAAAATACCTTCTCTACAAAAATAATGATAGAATTCCAAAAGGCTGAAGTTTTAAGCGATTAATGTTCAAGGGATTTTGATTAAATAACAATAAATAATATATTAGTTTTATTCCTGGGATGCTTGTACAATAATGATTCTTGCTTGAATTTTCAATTTTATGAAACTATTAAGTATAACGATGACTTAGATTTTCATAAATCGGTTAAAATTATATTGATTAAAAAATTGATGATTGAGAAAGCAAGGAAGGAATATAGGAATTCTTGAATTTCTATTGGGGAGTGAATACTGTAGGTGATTTTTAAATTATTTTGAAAGTTATCATAACACTAATACAATTTATATTGATTTAATTGTTAAAAAATGTAATATTATTTAATTTTGATTAAATATTATTATACGCTTTTTTTTAATCATAGTTAATTAAATGTATGAAAAAAGACAGTTGTTTCAATTTGTTGGAGGTCTTCAAATTGAAAGGATTTAGTATTAAATTAGGCACAGAATTTCTCCAATTAAATTAATTACTAGGATTCTAAAATATATGCTTTATTTTAATTACACATTTATTAATTTTGAAATGATTTATTCTCAGTAAACATAATAAGAATACAAAGAAATGGGATTACAAGGATTTGATGCATCTGATCACTCCTTAGCTCAACTACAATAAGAGAAAACCAGATTAAACCAGGTATTTTGTGGAGTTATTTTAGGAACGATAAGAATTCATATTTTTTATGCAAGAGTACATCGTGGATTGTCTTACTTATGAAAATCAAGAGATTGATGATGATGTACAGACATTCTATAATATCAGTAGGTTGTTTAAAAGATAAAAAATATATGTTAAAAAATGGTACTTAAACCCTTATGGAATTACGAAGATTTTAGTGTGGAATTGGAGCAGCAACTGGAGACTTTAACACGTAAGCACAAACTTTCTATTTTGAATATTTTAGACGATTATATCGTATTGAATTAAGTCAAATTAATCATTTCCAGTTTCGATGCATATAACTAAACCAAGTTTAATTAAATAAGTATTCACTGTCTTTAAACATTGAAAAACCTAAGTTCTACAGAGACAAAGTAATTAAAGAGGATGAATCAGTACATTGAAGGTATTTATAAACAATAACCAAAGTACAAGAATTGATTCCGAACTAATCGGATCGAGTGGAAGAGATTAATTAGCTGCTTACAATTTTGATCTCGTATAATCTTATTATTTTATATTAGAATGCAAGATAATACACTTTTCATGGAATCCTGGAACTATTCTTCTAACTAATTTGTGAACACAAATTAACAAGATTTATAATACTAGGTCAAAAAATAGGATGCCGATGTTATTTTGATTGATACGTATGGGATCAATCAAGAAGTGGCAAGAACTCTATTTTAATTGCTGCCTGATTATGAACTAGTTTTGCCTCAACTCCTATCCACAATTAACTTAAACAAGGGTAATTTGTAACATGTAAGAAATTCTACATTACCTATTTAATTAGGCATTGTCCAATTTGTACGATTTGCAATCTAAAATGATGGATCACCTGAACCCTCTCACTTTAAAGGGCAAGGGCATGGTTTGTTGTGCAAATGAAGGCTTTGCAGGGAATGAATTTATATGTTTTTACTTTGGTGAAGTATACACCCCGTAGAGATGGTTCGAGAAATAAACAATATTCCACAAGAGAATGTAGGATGGCAATCGAAAAACATGTTCTCAAAGTCCATATGCCGAATTCTTCATTCATGATGATCTGCTGGTAATGTTTGAAAAATAAGTTTAAGTTTATAGACCCCTCTAGGTATGGAAATATGGCTCAGCACATTTCATATTCATGTGATCCCAATTGTAGACTTACCACGGTGACTGTTCACTAACAGAATTTGTTGGCAGTTATTGCATCAAGAAAAATCAATTGCTTTGAGGAATTGACCTTGCCCTTCCCTTAAACTTCCCAAGATCAATGTCTATGTGGATCAATACATTGCAAACGAAAATAAAGTCTAGAATTAGAAAGTGCTCATCAATTTAGCATTTACTCAAATTATATAGAAAGAAATGTAATTTTGCTTCAATCCACTTTAATGTCTAACCAAAACACATAAAATGATATCCCTGAATGGTTGGCTAATTGGCAGAAGCTTAACCATTAATAGAATTACATTAACATTTTATCCTGCGTTGATAAAGTCAAATTTGTTTTATAACATTTAAAGACGATATAACCGCCCATTTTTCTAGTAACTAACATTTTCAATTAATTCTGGAAGAATTCAGAAACCAATACATAAAAAATCCAAATGGAGTCCTCAATTATGAATGAAATTGTTGTGTTCCTAAAGAGACATTCATAATTGCATTAATGCTAAATAGGATTAGAAATAATCAATCAAATGAGGAAGATTATTGACTAAAATAATGACTATGCTCTGCAATTGACAAGAATGCTCTTTTTATTATTGAGCGAGATTATTTTGAATATAGAATCCTGTTCATTCAATAACAAAGCCTTCTCCACTATTTTGTACTTCATGTCATTCACTCACACATACTTCTCATCCACCTAATATTAGGGATTTGATGGAAAACCCTTCGAAGAAACCGAATTTGAATACATTCCTTAACCAAAAAATAAATCGAAATTGACATTATCTAAATAATATACACCTTAATTCATTTGGGGTTAATTGATCAATTGGAATAAGTAAACACTATAAAATCCTTAATCTTCAATGGCACAAGAGAGGAGAGGAGTTTTGTGCTATCCCTCCTTGCTATTATCATTTGATAATAAACATAAGACTTTTCCATATTAATGTAAGACCAGAGAGAAATATCTGGAGTATTTTTAATCCAAAAAAGAGATTCAACCTGATTTATCAACTTGGTCATACAAAAACTAACATAAGTACTATATTTTAACCTATTTTAGCATATATGGAACAATATTTTTTGAATAATACTTCTCCTTAAATAAGGTTGGAGAGGAGTTTGTTAGTCAAGTATGTAAACTAGGCACGCAAACATTTGAAAAAAAATTTCAGTATTGGTTGTATATCGAAAATTGTTTCGATATGAATCAATAGCTAGTAGATGATTTATAGACCATCTTTTCAGAGTATAAATTTAATTAAATTTAATTAGAAACTTTTAAGCTTTTTTTGATCAAACTCCAAAAAGCAATTTATCTACAGATTACGATGATAATTAAAGAAAAAAAGTTAAGTACAATTAAGATACAATAATTGCCGAAGAAACTCAATTTAGTACATATTGATTTAATAATTTTTTAAATTTGTAATCTCAACCTCATTATATTCCATCAATTTGAATAGAATAATATAAGATTGTAATTTAAGAATTTTAATTTACAAGAATAAATAATAATATTTATAGTTATAGATAATAACTGCTAAAGTTTCATAATGGTTGTCAATTTCTTCCTTATTTTAGAATTTCTTTATTGTCATATGTGTTAATTTCCTCATATTTTTTCCCCTTCTTGAATACGTTAATGCCCACCTGCATCATAAAGTATGTCCAATATAAATGCATTCCAACCAAGATGCACATTTGCACAATGAGATACTTGTTTCCCCAAGCTGCCTCAGGACTTAAATAATAATATTATAAAATACTAATTTTGGTAGTGCATAATTGCTTCCAAGATAATTTGAGGAAAGATGATCACTCGGGTATATATCCACGTGATTAGAAGCAATACGTATTGGATATACATGAGAGACTTGATTGATTTCAAGTCATGTTGAGCTCTTGAGAGAGATAAGATGATATCAGCAACATCATGAATTCCCAATACGACAATTCCAAATCGAACTAAACCATAAATATGATATTCTAACATTGATTATAAAGGGCTGAGAAGATGAGCAGACAAGTTGCAAGAGTGTGATGCAACATGTATTCCCAATATTTGGTTTCTACTTCCTTCCTCTTTATTGCCAAGTGGACCAAGGCATATAAATGATTAGCTGTTTGAATCATATAAAAGGGGATTGCCCATTTATTCTAAAATATTTTATAAACTGTTACATTTATCATATTTGGGAAGTCTTACCAAATACTTGTGTAATTGGTACCTCCCAACCCAGTTGGATACCAAGGCTCTTCATGGAAGAGATACCAACAGAGTATCTAAAGATAATAAAAATGATTTATATACAGAAGTTGTTGAATAGTATACTCCATCAAATAGCCATTTTAAAATTTTCTTAACTCTTATGTCTCTAAACTCCCCTTGATATTCTTTTGAGATTGTCCTATAGACAAAACCATGGCACAGGTGATTCACAGTCCACTTTGAGTACTAAAAATTTAAATTTCATGTTACGTGAACAATGATTAGTCCCAATAGCATGATGCTGAAACTGGAATATGGTATTACAGCAATATCAGACATGGTCAAATATGATCTGAAGCGTAATGCATCGAATACAAAAAAGGAGAGTATAGCTAAGTCTTAATGGAATAGAATTACATGCTAAGAGCTTGAATAAGAGTCTGAATGTCTCTTCGTAGGAGAGATTTAATAACCTGAAATAGTAGAAATTGGCCTTTTAAACGAGGGACTTGCCATTTGATTTCAAAATGGGATTCATTTTTTAAATATGATATGTTTAATTAATAATATTATTGTTAGGAGTATATTTCATATAAATCTAGGAAATGTTATATAAATTTAATTAAAAATGACAAATTATGAAAATATATAATAATAAATTTCCTTTATACATATAATTATTGAGAGTTTTTAATCAAAATTAATTGTATAGTTGAGTCCTTTCATAATTAAAGAAATTCTGATCATCCTTCAAGTCCTTCTATTCCATCCTCTCCTTGGATTCACACAGCTTGAGTTTTAATCTGTGAATGTTCTGGTTGTTCTTAAACTCCTTGAATTGAGATTAGTCAATCTTTACTCTATTTTACTTCCCATAGTACTTCAACTATTTGCTGTTGAGATACATCTGTAAGTAGACCTCGTGAATTTAGGCCTTCTCGAAGGTGTTCATTGAATTGCTCACCAGCTCTATGATTTAAGATTGATATGATATCATATCCCTGATGATTAAGTTAAAACAGAAGCCGAGTTTTTAATTCCTTTGTCCCTCTATAATTCGTAATCCCATGCACTGAATGTTCTGAATTACGAAGCAATCTATTATGGGGACTCCACTGTTCTATTGCATACACACTTTTTTCAAATAGGTGTAATAGAGCTGCAATATCTATTAATAGTTGAGGGGGTCTCTCAATTGCTTAAACTCAATCTTTTTATCTGTCGCACTCTTCTTCTATTCGGGACTTGCCCTGAAGAAATTATTGTGGATGTAGGATTTGGGTGTGCCATCCCAACTGGGAGCCATATTTACACTTCTTGAGGCAGTCAAATTTAAATCTGTTTATAGCCTCTCCATAATGGCGTTGCCTTCCTAAGAATTCGTAATGCTGAAAATATGGCTATCGACAAATTCGTCCTTCTATAAGGTTTCCTCTTGAATCATATAATGAAAGACACTAAGCAATTTGATCATATGTTCTGGGAACAATATTTATTCAAAAGGTTTGGACAATTCATGGAATACTTTTCGAATACCTCATATAATCATGACTCGATTACCAATATTCAATAGTTATCTACTAATATCTTTAAGATTTTCATTGTTTTAATTTAGTATGTGCATCAGAACAGATTTCTTCATTAATATATAAATTTTATATGTAATTTAAATCACAATAGTTTCTTACATTTCTTCCCTTTGAATCCCAAATCACATCTGCATTTGCCATTAATTAATTGTCCTCTGTTATTGCATGCAGAATAATCGTTGCAAAAATCTTTGAACACAGGACATTGAATAATTTATCCATCGAATGAGATGGTAGCAAAATCAGATTGACAATACTGAACTTCTCCGTTGTACTTCACTCTAATGCCCAAACTCGTGCATTTACTCTTAAAACATTTTGCCTTGTGCAACAAAGTAGTAGGGTCCTAATAGTTGAAGCACCTCTTCATATTGCAATCTTTCAAGGCAGTAACCAACCCACATTCAGCCAATTTTTGGGAAGGTTTGCAAAATTGGATATGCTGATAATTGTAAGAACAAAATCTCTCATTTTTAGCCAATTTACAAATTGTAGGAGAATCACAGCCTCCTTATGCTGCCAAACAACCTTAATTCATTCCCCATTGATATCTACCAGCATTAGCCAAATTGGCTTGGTATATTCCTGTATCCTGTAAGACTAACATTGTAAATTTGCTATAGACAGTATCTCTGCTTGCAGTTCCTGTCATGATTTCTTGGTTGAAGGTCATTTTTTCAAAATGGGAATATTGTGAGGCTGGTCCTCCATCATCTTCCAGTGGCAAATATTGGAGTGACGAACAATTGAAATATTGTTTAGCATATTCCATGATTCCTGGACTTTTCAAATACAATTTATCTTAGATCATCTCTGTCATGTTGAAATGATTCAGCAATCGACTATGAAATCCGAGGGTATGAGTAAATTCATGAACTATAGTTCCCAATCTTTCGTATTTGTCTAATTTGCTCATCTTTTTTGAGAAATGATGATTATTCAATACTATTTCTCCTGCAACAGGTCTATAGTTTTGATCATATAAACATGGTGATGATTTTGCAATCCAGTTTTCTGCAACGTCTGTTTCTGTAACATATAAAACAAAATCAGCTTTTTTTATTCCTCTTTTTCTATGTTTCTTGGGAACCTTAACATGATGGCATTCTTTGACATTAAATACTATATTGTCTTTAGATCGTCTCACTTTATAGGTGTCCTAAGTGAAGAGCGTGGCCGATTTTATAAATTTCTTAAACAATTTGTGATTTGGATTGTCTTTGTCCAATTTTTTTGTATATACCTTGATTCGAATTGAATCGAAATCTTGATTGTAATCCAACACCTATATAAACGAATAGTCAGAGACTTAACACTCGATCGCCCATAAAAGTAGTAAGAGAAGAACTTTCATCAATTATATGAACTATTGCTTCTAACTGAATAAAGTATTTATTATTTATTATATATTATATAAGTTCCATATATAAACATACAACAAAAGATTTGATTTATAATAATATTATTATGGAGGGATATCTTAAGAAGTGGATCAACATAGTTACTAGATGGCAGGACAGATACTTCATTTTGAATGATCACATTCTCCATTACTGTGAACATTAAGGAGGGCAGTCGAAAGGTTAAATCCATTTAAAAGTGGCTGCGATCATATTGGTTCCTGAAGATCCTCTGAAAATCATCATAAACACAGGGACGAATGAAATATAGGTGAAGGCTTCAAGTGTACCAGAAAAAATAGAATGGGTGAATGCCTTGAAAAGAGCTCAAGAAAGGTGTTAGGAAACCATTCCTAGAGATTGTGTCAAAGAAGTAAATGATATTCTAACAGACATTTGGGTTACACAAGCAGCATGTACAATTACTCATATCCATCATTAGTTGATGAAACATTAAATATACTTGTACCTAAATTGGAAAGACAATCGAAATATGTGGAATTGGCTGAAAAATTAAGTGAGTTAGGTTAAAAGATTAAGATGAATGTCACCATATGTACTTAATTGTTGGAAGTGGAAAAGGAGAAGCTAGAATCCCAATAGTCAGGTATTTTGAAATAATATTTAGGAGATAATTAAACTTTATTTTAATCATTCAGAAATATAACAAGTGGAATTGATGACTTTAACCGATAAAGCTCAAGTATTAGTTCTAGTAGTTCTTTGTCAATCCAAGACATTTTAGAGTCTCTTAAATATGAGCAACCAATTAAATATGTAACAATATTTATTGAATCTAGAAAAACCTTATTAACAATCCGGTTTTCTAAAAAATTTAATTCACAAATTCCTAAATTAGAGCTGCATTGCCTAGATCTTAAGATCCAAATGAAAAGTTGAAAGTTTGGAGTTTTATTAAAGACATGATAGGCAAGGACCTTTCGAAATTTGCTGTTCCTGTATATTTTAACGAGCCTCTATCCATGCTATAAAGATTAGCTGAGAATTTAGAATACTATTAAACATTAATTGATGCTAATCAAGAATAGGATTAGTGGCTTAGAATGTGCTATGTAATGGGATTTGGAGTCAGTGCTTATTCGAGTAATATTGATAGACATAAGAAACCATTTAATCCTATTTTAGGTGAGACCTTTGAAATCTCAAATAAACAATTTAGATTTGTAAGTGAATAAGTCTCCCATCATCCTCCTGTTTCAGCTGGTTACGCAGAATCAATTGATTTTGAAATGTAGATGTAAACTGATATAAAAACCAAAATGTCTCCCAGATCTATGGAGGTGTAACCTATAGGAAATGTATATATTAAACTAAAACAATTTAATGATCAAATCTCCTACAATAAATGCACTACCAAAATTCAAAATATCATTTTTGGCAACATGTATATTGAACATATTGGAGATATGGTTTTTAACAATTATTCCACTAATGACAAAGGAATTCTGACTCTCTCTGAAAATCATCGAATGGTTGGTACTGTTTATGATAGTAATGGCTAAGAAAAGTACAAATTGAAAGGATTATGGAATGATTCATTGATTGCTCGCAACGTTTAAACAGGAAAAGAAACTGTTGTTTGGAAAAGGTACGATTTGCCTCAGGATTATAAAAATTACTTCTTTTTTACTAAGTTCGCTCTTAATTTGAATCTGCTTAACATAGATTTAATCAAATAGCTCCCGTGTACGGATTGTAGATTGAGACCAGATCAATTAGCTTTAGAGTATGGCTTCATTGATTTGGCTGCTGATGAAAAACATCGTCTTGAGTAGAAATAGAGATAGAGAAGAAAGGAGATGCAAAATGCAGGTCAAAAGCATTTGCCATAATATTTTGAACTGATCAAGGAACCATGCACAAATGAAATGATTTATAAATACAGGGGGAATTATTGGAGGAAAAAAGGAGAGGGCTTAGACTTGTTTTGATTACTTATATATATGCATATAAGATATCAATTAAATAACTAGATCCTTTATATGAGTTTATCCAATTAATTGTCTTAATTGAATTCCTTGATTAATTAGTAGAAATGTTCATTCTTAGGATTTATGGTATGAACTATGTTGTAGATTTCAAATTATTTACTTCTTAATTTATCTTCAAGTTTGATTTGAATGTGAACATTCTGATTGTATTCCAGCTGGATGTCAAGAATCTTTTGATGATAGTCATATTCCAAGTACACTCCAGTAATTTGCTATAATTATATTATCAATTTCTCCTTCATTTCTCGTTCCTCCTTTAGTTGATTGATATCATTTTAACATTCTAATAAATAGTTGTGTTCAATAATTACTAATGAGTTTCTCTTATAACTTAATGTAATTTGAATTCTCATTGCATGATTATTCAATAAGAGACTCAATCTTTTGGTTTTATTCCTATTGGTATGAAATCAGTTAACCAATTTAAATCTAAACAGACTCTTTATTTCCTTTAGATTTTAACTTCGATTGCTGTTCTTCAACTACTTTTTTGTATTAATCAATTTATTTTTATTGCTACATTTGAATCTCTTTTTGTTAAAGGATCTTGTCATTATACTATTTCTTTTTCTAATCCAATAAAGCTAACAAGATCTTCTTGGATTTGTCGATCTCATTTTGGACCGAATTTTAATACTCAAAAAACTAGAGAATTTAAATTTAAGTCTTTTATTCAATATTATTATTCATAATATTAATTTTTAATCATTAGAATATTTTCATTTAGAAAAATAATAATACAATTAACAGTGAAAATTTATTCTAACCTTCTATCTCTAGATGATTTCAAATATGTTTCACTAAGCGATTTATAAATTAGTATATAAAAAAATATATAATGTCAAGCATCAAATTATTCAATTATTTTTGTATACTCTTCTAATTTTCTTTATCTTCTCAATAAATAAACAATACAAAAAGAGATAATGAACAATATGGTTATTTCTACACTAATTGCCTAAAGTAAAAAAGGAGCTGCGTGTTTTTTTATTTTTGGAAACTATAATTTTAGATTAAAAAATTACAATTAAACATTCATCCTCGTAATTCTTAATATTTTAGAATTAAATTATGGCCCTAAACTCCTCATAATCACATTTGTATTTATTATTACAAATTGGCATCAAAGTGCCATTATACAATACTTAAACATAATACTTATTCTCATGACCTAACTTTCTATACAATTCGAATATAATATTGCTGGCATAACCGGGAAATGTGTAGATACAGTTTTTATTTTATACTTCCTCCTTGAAATACACCTATTTTACACATTCAACTGATGTTAGATTAAGAGCATTCAAAATCAATTAAACAGTTGCAGCATGAGCAGAGAAGATTCTAAACTTATGTTCTGTTTGATTATTAATCTTATTCTCCATATTCAATAACACATTTGTAAAAAATGGAGTAGCCAAAAGACAAGTTTATCTAAAATATGTGTCTCAATCAAATACTCAAAATCTATGTTATGTTCAAGAGAGAAATAGAGATACTATAGAAGTTGCATTTATGACTTTGTACTCTCCTTTAGCTTCGGTAAGTCATACCCATTTTATTGACAAGAATCGAAAGTGTCCTGATAATAGTATAAATCTGTTATGTTCTAAATGATATTCAAATATACTAATTGAGATGCAACAATCCCTAACTATTATGCAAAATCCGATATTAAAGATTGAGCCCTATCATTAATTTCGTAGTATAGTTTAGAATTGACATTGCTGATTCTGAATTCTTCATTTCTAGGACAAGCCTAGGCATCATACCCTCTCAGATATATATCTTACTACTTCTCTCTTACATGCACTGGAACAGCTTGTTATAATCCTGGAAGGGCTTCATCTCCAAAATCTTCAAATTCTTTCTAATTCGGTGGAAGTAAGTAAGAGTGATTCAAATTTGTATTAATTTTTGGACCTGTTCCCATCGGGTACATGCCTTAAAAATTGCTCAATGCACTCAGTATCGTTCTATTTACATCTGTGCTCTCAATGTAGATTTCTGCTTCATTGTAAAACTAACTCAATAGTTTCATATCCTCGATATATCTCTTTCTTAGCCATTATCCTAAAACATAATGTTATCTTGTTCCTATGGGTGTCAAATATCCATTCAACATTCCCTATTATTCAAATTCCTTGCATTTCCAATTGCAATAAATTGGTGTACATGCACCATTTCTCCACAAGATTTATGTTAATACTATTTAATCGCCTAAGGCTTAAGATATAAGAATAAGCATGAATAGCATGAAAATTAATATTTAATGATAAATAATATATTAAACAAACAATATTTCTTAAAATCTAATAAATGAAAAGGACTTAATTACTATGTATCAAAAAATAATAGATATTTGTTTTCCAGCAAAAAATCTTTTCAAAAACAATTTATTTAGATAGAAATTTCTTTAGACTATTTAAATTATTGATAAATTAATATAACTATAATTTAAATGTAAAGGTACCATTTAAAATTACAAATGTTCAAATGTGAAAATACACGCCTCGCCAATACCATTAGGAACTTGGCAAAAATTATATAATATAATATTTTCACACCTAATTAATTACAGATGAATAGAAACAAGTAAAGTCAATATTTGAAAATAAACACTAAAGATTTTCTTCATATAACTAATAAAAACAATTTATCAACTATATGATATCAATAATGAAATTTGAGATTAAATGATTATAGGATTATACAATTTTTTTCAAAAAGCGGTGATAATATATTCTATTACTGGACGAACGATCATATTTATAATTATAGATATCCATAAATTGTGTTTCAAAAATTCATAAAATTCAATATTTGTTTTTCAGGTAAACCTTTGATGAAACCAAATTAAAATTAATGATAAATGACTATTCTTAAACGATTGATTATCAAAAGTTGTAAAGTAATGGCAAGAATTGTTTTATCAGCTTCATAAGAAATTTCATTCAGTATTAATTTTTAAGTTGATAATTAATTAAAAGTAAAATACATAAAAAATTATTTTATTTTACATATAAATAAATTAATAACATGGTAGAACAAATATTGGAGGAATTATTTGATCAACATGGATCTGTTTTGATCTTCAATTTTCCATATTGAATCCCAGCAAACTCATTCAACGACTCCATCTAAACTTTTATTTGTTTTCTATCAATTTTATTTAGTTTATCTAAGTAGTCTGCTGAATCTAACAAATATTAGTTAATGCTCTTAAAAGATTGAACCAAAGAAGGAGGCTTATTTAGTTTAAAGGACTTTCTCCATTATTAATAAAACTCTCCTTATAATACGAATTTTTGGATGTTTTCTTTTTATTTTAAATCATTGATAGTAACACTTTAAAAAATATCGGGCAATTTCATTTATTAAAGCTCCCTCAAAGTTTATTATTTAACTAACTATTGATCGCTTTTTAGTTGTTAATTAAGTTGCCTCATGGTTTCCTTTTTTCGTTTTATCTGATTACTAATTGCAACTTTCGGTAACAGCTAGTATCCATGAACAATTTGCTGTTCAGATTTGTGTTTTATCATGGGAGGAGCTTTCTTCAAGGTTGTATCTTGATGATGAGTATATTTGTCGAGATTTTCTACAATCAATTGATTGAACGAATCTTAATCGAACGTCTCTTTCTTGAGTTCCAAGTAAACGGAATCGAAATTTATATTTTGCTTTCTGGCTGTAATTATTTCCTTAGCCCTGTGGAGTACTGAAGAAGATTAAAGTGGTAGCGATGCCTGTTGTGGAGGAGACTCCTCTTCAGTGGGCAAATTGGAAAGGATCGAGTCTAGAGCATGTAGCTTAAGTTTTAATTGGAAGTCTGGCTTTTTTTATAGAATCTTGGTAATTCTGGTCCTTGCGAGACTCGCCTTGAGAATCACTTAAGCATTCTGATTGTCTTTATTCATAATTTTAATTAATGCTCAGAAAGAATGTGAGACTTAGAAAAGAGTACCTCATGAGAATAGAGGATGAAAAACGAGCCAAGCAGAAGTATGATAACAAAATGAGATTGCTCAATGCAGAAATAGAGAGGAAGAATGTGCCTACTGATCTATATAGGGATGAAGAGAATCTGAGAAAGGAAATCAATGCTTAGGATGATAATACCATAGGTTGATCAGTATCCTAATTCGTTAGTGCCAAGAACTCATATAGATGATGAATATGCTATGAGTTTTTATAGAGAACCCCAGATTGCATTGACAACAAGCAGATCTCCATCTCAGAGATTGGTTACTTTAATGAAAGAGATGGGATTGATATTTCCAAATTGTACTAGAGTCAATAGGGGAGCATTGGTAGTGAAGGATCTAGTAACTCATTGTTAGCAGAAAAATTACTCAGATTTAATAATTGTACATGAACATCGAGGGGAACCTGATGGATTAATCATATCCCATATGCCCTTGGGTCCTACTATTTATTTTGGAGTAAAAAATGCTGTTTTGCGTCATGATTTAGATGTTAGAGCAGGTTTAATTATCATAACTATCTTAGACCCTCTTTCTGAGTAGTATCCTCATTTGATCTTCGACAACTTCTCAACCAAGCTAGGTGAAAGAGTGATTACAGTATTAAAGCATCTGTTTCCAGTTCCAAAAATTGACAGCAAAAGAGTTCTTACATTTCACAATGAAAATGGAGTCATTCAATTTAGACATCACACTTACTAGAAATCATTCAATCAAGTTGATTTAAATGAACAAGGCCCACGATTTGAATTAAAACCTTACAAAATAACCTTGGGTACTATTGGATAAAAGGAAGCCATTGTAGAATGGTAATTAAGAACTTTTATTAACACAGCCGGTAAGAAAAGTGTATTATGAAATTGTATGTAAATAATTAATTTATTAAATGGACTCAAAAATTATTCCACTTCAAAACATTGACGAATTCAAGGCATCTATTCTCATCGAAGAAAGAGTGGCCATCTTAATCTTTACTGCAGAATGGTTTGTATAGTCATTATTTCAAGGTGTCAACCAAGTTTGAACCTAGTTACTTAAATGAAAAAAGAGTTGGATCAACAGAGAAAGAGACTAAGTTAATAGACAGGTGCCATCAATATCTTTGTTGTGGATCATGAAAAAGAAGGATGTTATCAAATAGTCAAATAGTTTGCTCCAACTACATTGCCATATGTATACTTATTTGAGAAAGGGAAATATATTGCTCAATTTGGAGGCCTTGATGTTTTTGCTATGAATAAGTTAATCAAGAAAGCTTTGGAATCTTCAAGAGCACTATGAATACATATTATTGCATTTCTATTTGTATTTTCTTAGATCATTCTTCACTCAATCAGCAGTATAAAGTTAGAGATATATATATTAAATTTCATTTAATTTTTTCATATTTTATCCTATTTTTTGATGTCTTGTACAGATATGATCACTATTTTAACAATGAATTAGAGACTAATCAATCTGCTTTATGATAGTAATAGCAATAGCGATATTTATAATATTATAGTTTTATAATTAAAATTTCTATATTCTTTAGAAGTCTTCCTTTTGAAAACATCCCCTTCAATTGAATAACCAATATTAATATCTTGAAGCTTTTATTATTAATTTGAGTTAAATTATTCAAATGGATTGCTTAGTGTCATTATGTAGTTAATGATTGAACCATCTTCAATAATTACATTTTTGTTTAAAAAGTTGTTTATCTACACAAACTCATTCTCTTTGTCTAATAAGAGATGTCATAATGTTTTAGATGCTTGTTAATTATTTTAAAGACTATACTTCGAATATTCCTAATTAGCCAATCAAATTGCAAGAAAGGCACATTAAGTTTTGGTTTATAAATATTATTTTCAAATTAATTAAAATGGCACCATCAAAATCACCAAAGGCTGATGCAGCTAAAAAGACAGTCAAAACAGTCAAGACAAAGAAAGGATCAGATGATAAAAAAAAGGCAAGAAGACGATAAGAGACATTCGCTTTGTATATTTACAAGGTTTTGAGATAAGTTCACCCAGAAATTGGTGTTTCAAGAAAAGCTATGAACATTATGAACTCATTCATCAACGATATCTTTGATAGAATTGCTCTTGAAGCCAGCAAGTTGGTTAGATTCAACAAGAGAAGAACACTCAGTTCAAGGGAAATCTAAACAGCAGTCAAATTGCTTCTTCCAGGAGAATTGGCCAGACATGCCATCTCAGAAGGAACAAAGGCAGTCACCAAATACACCAGTGGTTGATTTATTCAATTTAATTCATAATAACATTAAAATAGATGTTAAGTTTTATTATTATTTTTTTACATTGTTCTACTAAATGAATAAAAAAGTATTGTTATTCTTTTAAATAATTAGATTTGAAGATCTGTAATTGATTCTAGATTGATATGTAGTAGTATGTATTATGTGTGCTCCTTATGTGTGTTACTATGGTACTATTCTGCTTATTCAATATGAAAATAATTCATGAATTAAAAATTTAATATATAATTTAATGAAACAGGTTCCTATTGTATATTTTTTTCAGAATGAACCAAAGACACAATTTATGTTCTTTTTCTAAGGAGAGGAAGTATAGAAATGATGTAATTTATAATGTAGCTTGTTGTTAAAAATATACTACAGCAATTCCCTTTTAAAATTACTAGTCACCATATTCGATTTAAAATATTTGTTTAAGACATTGAACCAAAAACGTAATTGATTAAATTCATTCATAGACATGCCTGGTTTGATATCTCTAATCCAAATGCCAAAGTGCCAGTTGTCAATGATACTGTTTTTGTTAAAATATTGACTCTCTAAGATCTTTCGTATAGTAGGATAGCCAAAAAAATGGTTGAAAGTGTGCAATAAGATTAGACAGTAGGAGATCTAAAGCTCTCAAAAAATACTATTCAATCATCACCATAAACTCAAAATAGGGTATATCAATAATAATCCAATTAATCACCAAAATTGCAATAGTATTAAAATTCAAAATAAACTCTACAGCCTGTTGCATAGTAAGGTGGTGAGAGACAGAGCAATAGACAATTGAGTAATTAATCAAATGGGACTAGTCAAAGTGGAGATCTTTTGGAAGCATTCGAGAAATTTGATTTCAAACCAAATAATCTTCATACTCAATCCCAACCAATCAGTCAGGCAGATTTAGATATGAGCAATTAAAATAATACTAACTTTTAGAATTTCCAACAATTCTAACCAACCATTCTCTAAAATGACTAAGACTAATTTCAATATTCTGGATTGAATCCTCAACCAGAATAGAATGATGCTCAATTTGCACAATTCTAACAAAAACCATCACAGTAATAGGCAAAAAAGGGAGAGGATCTATTTGAATTTGAAGTAGAGAAGAAAGTCAATCCCTAAAATGAACAATCTCAAAAGAGAGATGGGCAAGATTTGTTTTCATTTGATGCTCCAAATTAATAGGCATAATCATAATAATCGAATGATTAATACGAGGGATTGACAGATAAACAAATTGTTGATATGAGAGTAGAATAAGCAGCAGAGGGTTTACAAAAGATCTGGTAAGATGAGGCAGATTATAATGAGTAAAGACAATAGGCTAAAGAGGAAATAGAACCGAAAATATTAAAATGGGCTTATAAAAATAACGTAAGAAATAATTTAAGATTGTTACTTTCTACATTGAACGAAGTCTTGTGGGAGGGAACAGGTTGGTAATGTTCATTTGGTGATTTGATGACTGATGGCAAAGTTAAAGTACTTAATATCTATAAATATTTTAGTTAAAGTATCGTCAAGCTTTATTGATTGTTCATCCAGATAAGCATAACTAGACTCCTCCATAATAGAGGTACATTGCTGAAAGAGTATTTTACGAACTTAATTAAGCTTGGAATGACGATAAAAATAGAAGTTGACAGATTTTAATATTTTAAATTGTTTAAATTAAAATTTTAATAAGAAATCAATTATAGTAAATATTAGTTTTACAGTTTATTCATACTCATTTTTTCTATCTTTATTTAACAATTTATTGTATTTTTACTGATTTTTGAATAAAATATATATAAGCTTGATTATTTTATGATAATCTATTATATCTCCCTTTGTTAAAATTATTTATGGCAATCTGAGAAATTCTGTTAAATTGATTTAAATTCTGTTGCTACATTAAATTTAAGAGTTCAAAAGAGAATATCAAAACTATATTTAATAAAATGTATTATTAATGTTCAAAATGTAGAGAACTGGTTGTGGACCAATAGCCCTGCAAATGTGATAAAAAATGGATAATTTTGATTTGTTTTGTAGTTGTAAAGATATCATTTATAGCATTTTGCTATAATTCGGTTATTCGTAGTAATGTCTACGGAATACTCACATTTTCTGTCTTTGTTTTAGGGTTGATAGCCTTGATAGCAAGTTTCTTCTTATGTAGAAGTGATTATAAGGATAGGATCCCCTTAAATATGACCCTGCTTTAAGGATAACATGTAATTAATAGTATTAAATTTTAGAATCCTCAAATTGTACAATAACATCCATTTGTACATGTTAATTAGTTTCAAATTCCTTAACCAAACATCCAACAAGCTGGATATTACTAGTATCAAAATTAAATCAATGTTAGTTAAAATAATTAAGTTTAAATTCCAATTAAATAAAATTGATGAAAATGATTACAGAATTTAACAAATTGATTATTAATATTATTTATTATTATATCTCAATAATAGTATCAGTTCTGTATCTTAAATTGTAAATATCTTGATTTTAGATAAAATATTGGTTTTGAAAAATTCAGTATAATCTTAGCTTAAGATACAACATAAATATATATAATGATGAACTTAAATAACAACAGTATTATTAAATAAAAATAGAAAAAGTTACTATCCTCATCAAATTTCATTTGATGAATTAGTTTATTATTCGCTTAATTCAATATCAGATTTAGTTTCTGTGATTACTAAATCATTATTTTTTAACTGTGGCTGTAATTCAATGCCTACAATGGAAGGTCTAGAGCTTTCGTCTCCATCGACTATTTCCACTTCGACGGGCTCGTCAGATTTCTCGTATAGTGCATCCAAGACAACAGTTTTCTCCTTCTTCTTGAATTTGCTTTTCTTGAGAAATGAATCTTGTACCCAAAACTATAATAACCTGTTTTGATACGCAAAGAGCATTAAATATTAAAGGGATGATGACTAGTACAATAACAAGCTCGAGTTCTGGATATTAGTTTATAGGTTGAAACATCCATGATACTGCCGTCAATAAATATTCTCCCAAGAGTAGTTAGAAGAAGTAGAGGATTATTTTGCTCTTGTTTATTGAGTGATATCTTACTGCAACAACGATTAAAATCCACAATGTTAATTAAAACACATACACTCCATAAGCAACCTCAACTTTCGGTTTGGCTTTTTTGGCTTCAGTCTAATCCTCAGAACTTAGAGAGTAGGTTGTAATTTGAGGATAGGTTATAGTGTAGTAATTTCCAGTTTGGAATTGCTAGAAGAATTACTCAAATGCATACCGTCTAGCCCAACTTTTGAAATAGTTTTTCAAAGAGAGTGATCAATAGACAATTAATGAGCATGCCTAGAGTGCAATCCAACATGTAAGTAATAAAATACCTACCTTAACTATATTATGTACCATTGACATTAATCTCCACTATCTGCAGAACTCAACAATAAAGCTAAACCAATATTTAAGAAATGCTGCACAACAGCACTAACAAACTATTTAGCAGTATCCTACCTATGTACTCTAAAATTACCATTAAAAATATTTTCCAAACTCTCTTAGGTTTCTCAATGTGTCTCTTGACTATTAAATAAAAATGAACTCATTACAGACAAGGACTAAAAAGCAAAGGAATCCCAGAATGGATTACACTAGTATTCCAAACCCTCCCAACAATTCACATCCCTACGCTTCAGGTTCTTCCGTTGACATGTAGAATTGAGTTAAATTAATTAATAATACGAAATCTGGATATGCAATTAGTTCAGGCAGTTACCAACCAATAAAACTGTTGTTCCATTTTATGAGTCACCATACTAGTACTTAAGAATCGAATTGATTATATAGAACAATTTGGGAATTCATAACAATAAGATTAATAAAATATAATGATAATTCAAATCCGAATTCCGAACTTCTTTATTCAACAAATAAAAAGGAGTTAATAATGAATACAATCGTAATGGTCCATTAACATAGAATTTATGAGATATTGCTAACAATTAGATATAATTTTAATGCAAATATATTAATTCAAGCCTGACTAATTCAATTTAACTCAATATTTAAGTCACTTATTAAGTTCTATTCATCTTCGATTAACAGCATATCACCATTATTATCCATCATTCCAAATTATTAAACTTTTCGTCTTGGTTGAGGTGGAGAATCAGTAACATCTTCAGATGATGACTCTCTTATCTATCTCCTTGGTGGAATTATAGTCTCAGTTTCATCCATTTCCTCTATTTAAATCTCTTCAAATGGCTACACCTCTTCTACCTATTCTGGTGCAATTGGGTTAGTCTTCTCCGAACTGATTTTACCAGATTATTCTTTAAGAAGCAACATCAATCGAGCATTATTAATCTCCTAAATCTAATCAACTCCTCCACTTGAAAATTCTATACAACTCTCAAACAGGTCCAATCTTTCAGTACTACATTTGGTCGAACACATTCTACTTGATTTTCTCATTAAATTTGTTTCTTTTATGAATATGGAATTATACTCTCTCTTTTAAGTCTCCTCTACAGAAATAGCTCATCTTATCGCTTAAGATCATCCTCAATCACCTTTTATGTTTAATCTGAAGCCTTTTGATATCCACTTATTAGATGCTACAAATCGTTTTAACTGCCCTCAATCTTATCTTATATTTCCATGGCAATCTTTGCCTTAGTTTAACGTTCCTTCTTTTTTTGTTCCACACATATTGTTTACTTATTATAAGATCATCTCAATACCTTTGCCTTTGCACTTTCTTGGCTGTTTTAATTGATGTTAGTCTCTTGTATAATTAGACTTTGTGTATGAGTAGGCATTGATGGAGGCTAATCTTAGTTTGTCTTACGAATGCTCTTCAGGGCTCTTTGACAGGCAAACAATGATTAAAGTTTCTCATTAAAATAATACCCCACTGGATCCTACAATCACTCACTCAATCTTACCTAAATACTGTCATAATGTTCAATCAACAAAGCATACAAATCAATTAATTTTTATATAACATCGTACTTCTCAGATCCTTTGTGGTATCTTTCCTCAAAGTCAAGTAACTCCTGATAGATTTCACCTAATTATATATAATGCAAATTTACTCGTTATAGGCATTCTGAATTTGTTAATTAATTTAATTTATTGACATCATCATTCTTTAACAAACTTATTTTTGTTTTTTTCTATATGAACACAAATTCGAACTTTCTTAAATAAGAATGAAAACCCTATTGATAAAGTAAATTAAGAAATTAGAAATCATAACACTAACACTATTCGTTACAATTCTATTGACAAATTTCGCATATTTATCTACATTAAAAATATTCGAAAAATAAAATTAATATTATCTATATGACTCAAAAATAGATTGATAATTGTTAATTAACTACTCATATTAAAATAAATTGGTAGAATTGATTATAGATATTTTCAATATTTAATAAATAGAATATCCTAATATTTCATATTGCCATTCTATCAGGTTCATTTTTGAATAGTTTTAAAATACAGCTGATGAATAATCTTGTAAAAATGATTGTAGAAAATGGTTAAGCTCTTTATTAAATGAGTGTCATCAATATTATATAGATAGTAAAAAATATTCAAAATATTTATGTATTCTCATTAGACAATCAAAAGAAAGCTAGAAAGTTCAATGTTTTTATTAGAAATGAAGTTTAGATGGCTTAATTTATTATAAAATTTATTAATAATATTACAGATGTAAAAGTTTTAAAATTTATTCAACTTATTAGAAGATCAAAGAAAGAAAACATCCTCGCGTCATTCAAATTCACCTAAAAGCAGAGTTACTGCCAATCATGATGAATAATTTCTTAAAGCAAGTATTAAGGCTCACGATTCCAGAAAATACTTGTTAAATAACAATCCAAAAAGTATACATGATCGATTGAGTTCATTGATTAGAAAAAAATCATCTCCCATTAATAAACTAAGAAATAAACACAATTCTTTACATGAAAACAGTTTTATTAGCAACACCTATACAACATAGGATGAGATGCCATAAATAATTTTACCTATCAACGAAATTTAGATGCCCCAATATCATGTCAATTAAACATTTTAATAAGAGTAAAGAGTAAAAACAGACAATACCAATAACGAAATTATTAGTCTCGAAAATTAGTTACAAAAGTATCCTAAATTGCAAAATTATTTTCAAATTAAAAGAATTCAGAAAGAACTAATTAAAAAAGAACAAATAAAGTCAAATGCATCATTGGCCAACACAAAACCTCCCCAGGATAATTCTAAATATCAATTAAAATATGGAATCAAATTTGATAATTTTATTTCAAGATTGTAAGACAAAGATGCTAAAATTAGAATATAAAAGATATATGACAGGTATATATTAATAATCGCTCTAGGTACACTTATCAAAGAATAAGCACCAAAGTATACACAGAAATCCCAGATGTGACAAAATATACAAAATTAATAAATACTCAAACAGAAATATTTCAAGATGTAATTGAAAATAGGAGATTATCAAGATCAAATTAAAAAAAATTGGAATCAAATCTTAAAGAAATTTATAGGTAAGTACTAAAAAATTGATTACTATGATTACACAGATTAACTAAAATAATATAATATGTTAATTCCTACTTTTATATTAAATATCAATTAAATTGATATCTAATGAATAAATAGAATACAATTTGTAAAATATATTAAATATCTAAGCTAAAATAGAACGAATAATCATTTCGATTATAATAAATATTCTTATTTATGTTTTTATCGAATATCTAATTGATTATAACAATAATTAATGACTATTAATATACATTTTATTATCATGGAATTTCAAATCTGTTGCTTATGTTAGACTTTTATATTTTCTATTATTCTATTTTTTGATGCCTTTTTAAAATTTTTGTGCCATATTAATTTTACAGTGTATTATTTAATCTAATATCCTAATCTTTCAATTAATCTCGATTTGATTCTTCTAATTTTGGTAGCTATATGAAATCGGACGTTTTAATTTTTTCTATTTTTTATTATTGTGTTTCTTCAACTTATTGCTTTTGCTACAAACTTTATTCCTTCATTGATTAAAATATTTAAGAACCGAGTCCATCATAAAATACATTTAACAACTTGAAAGGAGACTCACAAAGAAACTGCGATGTTATTTATTCAACATTTTCATTTCTATAATTATTTTTGACAACACTTTTATTTTGATTTTCGAATTTCCTGATGTTAACTGGAATCTGGACAATTTTTAATGGTTCAACCTGCAGACAAGGTTGAATTTCCTCAATTTATATTTATGTTGTATTTATTTATTCTTCCTATATGATATTGACTATCGGAACTTTCTCATCAAATTCTAACAGTACCTTTAAGAATTACCAGAGATTTTCTTTAATAATTTCATGAATATATTTATCACCTCCCAATTGGCTTTTTAATTCTTAGATTGAGGTAGGTTTAGATTCAACTAATTTGAATAGGAATGGATTGGGCAAAAAGTATCTTGGGTTTTGATCATATTAAATTCCTAATTCTTCTCTTAATTCCAATAATTTAACCATTAAATCAAAATTTTTTGCCTCCATTCGTCTGTCTTATTTATTCAGAATTGTTTGCAAAGATTAATCTTAATCTTATAAAGGTTTCTTGTAAATCTTGAGAGCTGTCTCCTTACTTCTTTTTAATACACTTTCAATATAATAATTTGGAATGTTATTTAAATTCTCGTTTGGCTTATTCAACTTCTTAAGATCTTATCTCATTCTGTCATAGATGTAAAGTAAATAATGTGTGTCAATCTAAGCATATTTAATCATCTCATCAGATAATGGTCTTTATGTCCAATCAGCAGTTTAATATGTTTTATCTGTGGATTTCTTACAATATTCTGAGAGCAAAAACTAAAACGAATTTTACATAAGCTATAATTCCTTTGAGGCGTGGAATGTATCGAATAGATTTACAATATATAAACCAAAATCTCTTTACAGCCATTGTACATCATTATCAGCTCCATGAAACACCTTTACTATTCTGGGGTTGCTAAATACAACACTTAACATGTCTCCTACTTATTTCCATAAAGGAAAAGGATCAATAATGTAATCTTGGGTCCTTGTGCTTAATTGGATCAAACAGGTTACTCCCAAATAAGATATTGAATGATTATGTTCTAAATCTACAGCTACCTCAGCAAAACCATTCTAATCCACTTCATTCTATATTTTAAGGACGAGTTCCCCCAAATTATCAGCATTATTAATCATAATGGGAGGTTCTAAATCTCGATATCTATTAATTTTAGGTGGTACTTCAAGTACAAAATCTTGTGGTGTTAACCTTGTTATTTCTTCATAATAAGGGTGTGTAAATTCTTCAATGGCATATTTTTCAAAAAATTAAGTTGGGTTATTTTGAGCTTCTATTATTTTTTAATCTAATTCTGTTTGAGCATAATGCTTATATTTTAAAACAGGAATAAAAGGTAATTTATTGAGTTAGATTACATCAGCAAATCCATAAATATCTTTTGGTTTAGCTTAATTAGTTTTTTAAACTTGGGGCTGTTTTGGGGCTATGCTTAATTTATTCATTTTGTCAAATTGAATGGCTGCATTTTCTAAGAATTAATCCAATGTTTCTTCTATTTACTATATACTTATGAGAGAATACTTTAAATGGGATAGTGGTTGAATTTGTCTAGACATCTCCAATCAAAGATCGCAATCCATTAATGACTGAGATGAAGGCTTGATTAGTTTCGGAAATAACCTTTTTGTTTCCTGGTTGTTTTTCTAAGAATTTCAATTCATCTTTCTTGGGCAATTGATTGATTAATCCAACCACTTATTTTGCATGAGTTTACATATTATAATTAAATTGTGATTATAATAATTTTACAGCCCTGTGTATAATTTTATAAATAACTAGAAATAAATGCAGAAAATTCATTCTAAATGTTATCTTAATTATTGATTATACATTAAAATAAATTGATGCATTGTTATATATATTCTTTACTCAAATCTTTAATTATATTTTTTCCCAAAATTCGGTTTATGATTAGTGATATTTGATCTAAAAATCTGAAAACACTTTTATTAATCTTAGGTATTTTTCTTTTGTATTTCTATAAAAATTGGGGATCTCTTATTGGGATATCAATTTATTTATTAAAAACAGAAGCTATTTCAATGATTCAACAGTGGATTACTATTGTTAAATTTAATTTTGGATGGCTGCCACCTTTTCTTCTTTCTTTCCAAAAAGCAGAGTTTTTGAGTGCAATTCCTGTAGTTGAATATTCAACTTATATAATTTCTCATCTTCTTCTTTAACTTTTTATACAATGGTGTTTCTATAAACCAAGGCATCCTTACAGGCTATTAATTCTCTCTCTACTATCTTTGTGTATTCAAAAACCTTATTGTACTCATTTTTGGTGCAACATTTTTTGGATAATTGAAACTATTCTTGGGTTTCTTAATTAGAAAATACTTATAGTTAATAATTAAAATATACCTTAATGATTTTACTATTGTAATTTTTCAAATTATGGTAAAAAGTGTTCTACAAACATTATAAAGCCTTAGTTTTAAGATTCCTTCTCCTTAATAAGGTTCTTGGCCATAGCCGAGAAATTTTCAATCATAGGGATTATATGACAAGTTGAAGAATAAAATTAATCAATGTCATAAACTTGTTAATTCTCGTTGAAAGTGAAAGTCTCCTCATACTTGCTTATAATTTGCTGTAGAGTTTTATTTTTCGCCATTTCTTGCAATTATTCAGTCGTCCCTTTGATAAAAATACTAATCTCTTCACCTAACCAAAGATAAGGAATTTTTAATATCTTTTTCAGAAAATACGATAGGTATTTCGAACGATAAGTAATAACATTGGAGTCTAAATTGCCCTAAAAATATTTTACAATTCAAAATACCAGAGATTTTTTTTGTGGAATTGGTGGAATGAAGCAACCTGGCCAAGTCCTATTAAATACTTCCTTCAGAATAACGAAATCATTATATCTCTTATTGATCAAAAACTCCTCTCCCTTTCTTATGCCTTTAATTTGGTACTGAGTATAGTTTATTAGAGACTCCTCCATTACTTAAGCATCTATTATTTTTATATAATCCTACATAAATTTAATTTATACTTTTCCTTCTTTACCAACCAGAATTTTTAGATTAGACATCCACAAAGAGGACGTAAGAAAGTGTTGATTAAATAATACTACGAAGGAAGAGAGAGAAAATAAAAGTCTACTATAAATAATTTAAAGGTATTTGATTAATTGTAAAAATACTCACCCAATTATACTTCTAGTTAGGTTGACAGGGTTATAGTTTCTCCCTCTAACTTCCTGTTCTCTCAAAAAGACCGACCTCTGGGGGTTGACCTTGCTTTGAGAGGTTTCTCCAAATATTCTATTTTTGGTATCTATCTGTTATTCAATCAATTTTCTCTTCATCCATTAATCGTGGAATTCAAAGTTTTGTAAAGGGAAACTGCTCTTGGCTAATAATGGATCTTTTTGTTTAGAATTAATGGGTTGATGGGCTACATTATTAAATTCAATAGAGGGATTACTGGCATTAAATCGTTCAAGCGCTATTTCTTTAGATTAGATTAATACATTTATATCTCTATAATGAGCTCCTCACACTCTGTTATTCCAATCCCCTCAATTTTGCATTCTCTTCCTTATATAGTTCAGTATTGTCATTGAATGGACTATCCAATCCATATAAGCCACTTTTAAAGCATTGTTTGGCTTTCTTGTAGGCTCGATTTACATCCTAAAATTCTGATCTCCATTAATGAAATTTCAATTGATTTTCTTTGGTGACTAGCATCTCTTGAAATTGTTCTTTGGGTTTTTTTAATCCCACTTCAGTTATGTAATTAAGTTTAGACTCGTCAAATGGCTTATCGGGGACGGAGAGGAGTTTCTTCTACAAATATTTGGTTCCACTTTTCATCATTGGATGATCACTTATTATGTGGTTGATTGTATGTTAATGTAGATAATCAACATGGTCATCTATAATTCGAGGTTATTAACTTCTAAAGAAGAAGCTTTAGTTCTTCATGCTGTTTTAAAAGGGTTCAGTATTTTTGAGAGAGTTTCCACCAACAGAAGCAAATTAACTTTTTTGAAGGAAAGTTCCTAAATGCTTGGCATCCCATGTATTGCCTATCATTTTTAATGAACCATCCAAGGCTAACGGAAGTGGACTAGGGATTGATGAGTGATGTACCTTAGTTAAGATTTGGTCTATTCATTGGGAACAGTTTTGTGTACAAATGTCGAGAGCTTCATCTGAGTTTCCTAACAAGAATCTCCTTCTCTTCTCATGAAATCACGAAAGTTGTCTCTTCCAAGATCAGGGACCTTTTCCTTTTATCTAAACAGCATCGAGATATAATATCTAAATGTATAAATTATTATTATTTATTAATATTTCAATTTATGTTCAATAAACATCATTAGCTTCCTATTACTCCTGGACATCTTGTGGTTCATCAAGATGTTGATTATTTTGCTATTAGGATTCTTCAACCTACTCGTTTAGATTATCTGATTATTCTTAATGATTAGATTCAACTTGTTCTTCTTACTATGGTACAACTTATTATTCTTATTATTATTCTTCTTATTCTTATTATTAGTATTCTTCTTATTGATATTATTATTGTTATTCTTGGGCTTAGTCATCTTCAGCCAATTATTGTTCTTCTTAGGATTCAACCTTTTGATCTTATTCTGGTTCTTTTTATTGATTTTCTTAGTTTTCATTTTGATTTTCTATTAATTATTCTTACTATTCCTGTGTATTTTCTGATGATGTAATAAATTATGATTCAGCTTTTCTAATTCCCTCTGAGTTCTATTGCTCTCTGATTTGCTATGTGGATTATTCTATAGTTTTTCTGACTCTTTATTTGTCGAAAACACTCTTTTTATCAGATACGGTTGTGAAAACTTATTCGGTGACTATTTCAGCCTACCCAGGGAGTTTTTCTTAAACTTCTTCCCTTTTCACACTTGGTCTGAAGGGAGCTTCATTTGTACTTTACCCTTTTTTATTCATTTAAGCAATTCTATCTTTTACGGAATGGACCATCATTGTTTCCTGAACAACTTCTACAAACAATATATATATGTGTAATACCAGCAACAGCTGTAATTTTAGTTTATGATTAAGTCTATTAAGCTGGCTTAGATACTTATGATTTGGGTTGATAAGCTATTTAGCCCGCTGTGTCAAATGTATGATATTTTTTGTCTATTTTGCAATTGCCACATTAATGAAACTATCCAACAAGGGCTAATACAAAGTTATTACAGGCTTTGGCTTTTAAATCATCTTCTCCAACTTAATTTTAAGCAGCCACTTGTTACAGTTTTTCCTATTAGAATTTGGCTAATGAATTAATGGAAAAGCTGATACCAGCATTGTTGTTGTTGTTAGTCTTTTAGACGTACTCAATGTTGTTGTTTTCGAAGTCAAGACGATGAAACTTTTTTTCTCGACCACAATTTCTGCATTCATGGAAACTACCTGTCAAGGACAATGCAAAATTGGAACATACATTCATTTTATGAAATATATATGTAAAAATGATTTATGATTATGTAATTAGATTAAAAGATTAGTTCTTAATTGAGAAAATGATTTTTGAATATAGAATATAAATTTTTGAGGAAGTTCCCTATTGTTTAATGAGAAGCAGGAGAAGCCATTGTTTTACGGAGTTGATTTAAATTATTATCGATCAAGAGAATAATATAATTTATATAATATAAAAACGGATTTATGAAGATAGCAGTTCTGATAGCTATATTATCACTGGCGCTCTGTTATAGAACGCCACAATTCGAGGCAGCACAATAGGTCATAGTGCAATATGCTGCCGGTCACATATTGGAAGCCCAAGCAGGAGTTCCAAGATAAGTGGTTGTGGACATAAAATTCAAGAAAGCCTTCGAAATTCCTCCTCAGGTGTTCATCTCCGCATAATTGCTTGATTGGAGTGTTGGTTTACCTCATGGGTATATGGAGAGAGTTAGCGATATCACAACCACAGGTAATAATATAAAATTATCAATCCTAAGGATTCAAATTGAGTGGAGTAGCTGTAGGTCCCTCTCCTCTCTATTCCCTATTCGTTGATTGGTATGCAATTTATGATCCCAGAATTCAAGTGGTCACATTCGAATCAACTGATGTCAAAGAATTAAAAACTGGATAAGGCGAAAGAAAAGTATCATACACAATTGAACACAGTCTCAAAGATGCAACAAATGCAATTGTAGGTTTGATTGGTTGTAAACACTTGTTAACAAATCCAATAGTGGAAGTCAAAGTAATCAATGTTTTGCATTTTAGGTTGAACAAGTAACACCAAAATCTGTTACTGTCTCAGCTAGAACATATTGGCAAGCATAATTGGAATTTGTAAGATTCAACGTTCTTTTGGGTACTGATCAATCTTTGTGGGTCTCACCTGCTTATGTTTTCTACAATGATCCTGCTTCAAGCCATCCCTTCGTCAAAAGAGCACCAAGTGCAGCTGAAGTTTAACAAACCATTGAATTACCAAAAGTATGGTAGAGCGGTCCAAGAGTTCCTATTGTTACACTCAGAGGTTATGATGTCGAAAGAGCTAGAAACATGAGATTGCAATATAATAAAGTAGTACTTGAATCAAAATTGTAATACAATCTAGTGACATGTACATAATCCTATTATTCCTTAAGGGTGGGACACCTAAATGTATGGAGTTTTCCATTAAGCAGCCATTTTTGTTGCTGACACCACTTACAAAATTTTTGATCCAGATTGTGCTGAACTTTTCTCAGAATGTAACTTCAAAGGAGACTCAATTACTGTTTGCGACAGAATTCCAGATCTACCAGGATATGGATGGTCTAAACCAATCAGATCCTTAACAGTCCCAGTATCAAGAAGATTATATCTTTTCAATAAAGAAAAGTATGAAGGTTAGAAAACTTCTTTCATTGCAAACTAGCAATGTATGGAATCAATAACATTTTCATTTGCACAACTCCAATCATATGAAGAAGATCATCCAGTTCTTGCAAGTTAGTGAATTTAATATTAACACAATCAATGAATAAAATATATTTATTTATTCTTAATTTATTACTGTTTATACTTCATAACCTTTAGAATTTTGATAATAAACTGCGCTATTTCATTAGGATGAAACTCTTCCATTATTTGAAATCAAAAGTAAGGTCTATTTCATTTAGATAATAGGAATACTTATGCTCCATCTATTTTCTACTACTTTGTGATCTAATTCCTATTCCAAACTCAAAAGTTACTTTACCAAAAGATCAATTAATGTTTAATATTGAAAATTAGTGGTTACTCCTCGAATGAGTTGAATTGAGACAGAAAATAGGGCAATTTTATAAAAATTAGATTTAGATTTGAGAGCAATTTGATTACTTTATGATATAATGTTTACAAATAATCATATTACTCATAAGTTATATTTCCATCACCTTAGAGATATTAATTGTAGATTAATTCTATGATATATATCTTTGACACAATTATTTAATAAAATGAAAAGACAAAACCTTATTTTGATATGCATCAACTTCTTCATACTAAATATTACATTTTGTATCAAAAATGCAATTCAACTTGTTCTTAAAAATTGAGATAAAAAGGAAAAATTTCATTAATTTAATAATTTAATAATTAAAAGCAACAAAAATGAAAGAACCATAATAAAGGCAGACACGATTTTAATCGAAGGCAGAATAATGTGGAATATGTTATAATGCAATAGAATAATAAGTAAATTGAAACAAATACATTCAGGGACATTTGGATAGTTGCAATCACTCATTTTGTTTAACATGCATCAAAAAGTGGTCAAATGTACTATAATCCATAATATGTAGATTGAAAACACGTGCCCTCTTTGCAAATAGAAGTTTAAATAAATCGAATAAAAATGGAAAAGAGTATTTTTTTAGTTAAATTAGGTATATTATAAAAGCCATAAGATATCAAAGTAGAAATGTAAAGAGAATAAGTAAAACATGTTAATTATCACTAGAATTTTCGTGAAAGATAAAACCCAATCTCAAAAGGAGGAACATTTTAATGTTTTGCTTGAACTGTTGATAGAATTCATTTTGGCTGATAGTACTTATAACACCTATCTCATAGTTAATGATTGACTTTGTTTAGATTATTTAAAATTTTGTATATTATATAAAATATTTATATCTTTTTTAAGATCAAATGGGATAATCGTCATCCGCTTCCGGATCAATTACTTTAGCGCTTTCACCCTTCATAATATGGTTTATGACACTTTAATTATTGGCAATCTTCTCTTCATATTATTTCTTAAAATCAGGATAATGATACAAGAGAATTTCCTCATAAATCATATCTAAAATAATAGATTTAATTACCTTTCAGTTATTCATTAGTAAACTCATACATTTCAAATTCAAACTCCATGTTGGATACTGGAGATCTGGTAGGCTATGTAAAATGAGAACAAATTGAGTACCTCGTCACTTGGATTGTGTAATTCCTTTAAATATGGATGTTTTAAAGCCTCAGCAGCTGTGATTCTTTTCTTATAATCGATTTCTAATAGTTTCTCGAGAAGATCATATCCTTCAGGAGGTAAACCTTTAACAACTTTATCCCAAGGAACTCTTTCTAGAGTACCTAATTCTGAAACTAATTCAATTAGTTTAGAAGATACAAAAGTATCTTGAACTTACATAATCTTAGTCTTCGAAGGCGTTCCAAGAGTTTCAAAAATCATTTTAATTTATTGCTTAGCTAAAATAATGAGTATCAATTACAATTTTATCCTCTCCATAGGGTCTTGCCTCTAACTATTTCTGCGAATATACATCCTACACTCCATATATCCACTGCTTGCGTATAAGTTTTAAGTCCTAGCAATAATTCTGGAGCTCTGTAATATCTGGTTTCAACGTAATCTGTCATGATATTAGGATTTTGCTGTTGTGTTTTTGTTGTCTATAATAAGGCTCTTGACAATCCAAAGTCACAGACTTTCAACATGCAATCCTGTTTATTTAATAACAGATTTGTTGGTTTCTAGATTAGATTTTAAGTTAATACAAGATCTCTATGCAAAATGTTGGCTGAATGCATGTATTTTAAGGCTCTGAGAATTTAATACAGAAACAATTTAAAGTGATCTTAATTCAATTTTGCATGCTCCTTATCAATTACTCGTTTTAGGTCAGTGTCCAATAGTTCTGTTACACAATAACTATTAATACAAATAAGTGTTGTATTTACATATCATAAAAATGCTTTCTTGACTTCGGTAACTGCAGCGTGATTAAATTAACAATCTAAATTCATTTTATTACAAATTTACATTTTCATGCCTTAAGTTTCTTAAAATCTTTAACTCTCTCAGTGTTCTTTTAGCATAAAACCGATGCTCAAATGTTCTTTCGATTTTTTTTATAGCCACCATTTTTTATTCTGGTGTATTTGCCTTTGTATCTTCACAACCAATCACTATACCATAAGCACCACTTCCCACTGAAATCATGAACAAAAATTACACTGCTATGTTGGTTTGTATCTCTTTTCAATAATAAATTCAGATTCATCCACTTTAAATACATTTGCTGAGTATGCCTTTTAAGCATATTAATCATAATTATAGCTAGCGTCCATTTAATAAATTATTTTATAAATATATAATCTCAATAAGAAAACTGTGAGCAAAAACAATATATTAACTCAAACCCTTTCAAGCATAAAATTAATTTCCTAAGTTCCATAATGTTACTTAAAAACTATTTTCAGCCCTTTTTAAAACCAAACCTCTGATTCCATTATACAAATTCTAAATTAAATAGTATTGAATACTTCTGTATTTGAATTAAATTCCTTAAAGCTTAAAGAGTTTCTTTAATCCTTCTTAATTATTGACTTATCTCTCAAGAGATTTCCAAAATGCAATTGAAGCAGAAATACAATTATATTTTAAATAAATTTATCTAATTTGATAAATTACAATTATTAAAAGCCTTAGAAATTGAATTTCATTTATTAAATGGCATTTACTTGTAAATCAAAAAAATAGCATATATTTATAAACAACATAGCTCTCTCCTCCTACATTTATATAAATAAAGCATTATATTTGTAGAATGCATTTAACAAAGATTTATCCATCATTTTCATTCTATATTAGGTTTCAAATAAAACTCGTATTAATACAACCCTTTATTCATTGTAGGGAATCAAAATATTGTAATTTTCAATTATCATTCCTTAAGACAAATTTAGTAAGACTATTTTTCACTAATAATAGTGTGGTTGAGAATATTGGAGTGTACCTAAAAATTAAATCCAAATTAAATACTTTGAATAATAACACATATTCTGTTATAAGTACTTTCGAGGTGATGAAGTTGTTCCTTATTCTATAAATTTGATATATGATGTGACATATTTTTTATACTGGGTGATTCACTAACTACTTTGATCTACTTTGATCTACTTTAATTATTTACTGTGCACCTCACTTCGCTCGCATATTTTGAAATAAGTTCTTTATGGGGGTAGTTGATTTTGAATAATAACAAATAATAATATATTTTTCAGATATCCCCTCTTTCAATTCTCAATTCCTGTTACTTACAAACCTAATTTGATATGAAATATTTTAAAAATAATGTTGACCTTAAAAAAAACAAAGAAAAATTGAATTTCGCTTCACTCAAAAGAAAATAGGTACTAGAAATCCTATCTAATGATAATATTCCCCCCAAAATCCAGATGTACACCCCTTTTTAAATTATGATCGCTTTGATAATTCGATAAGATTTTCTTATAAAAAAGTGAATTTTCTAAAAGAAATTTAATCCAATTTTTTGCAACTCAAAAACACTTATTCAAATTTAAGAAAAAAAAAAAATTTTTAAATATTTCAATATATTATCTTTTCTTTAATACTTTTCAAGCATCATGTAAAATCATTAATAAGAAGAAAAGTAATAATAAAATATGATTCGATTAATATCTAAAATCTTATCTCAAAACTATTATAAATAAAGATAATTTAAGGTGAAGTAATTAACTAGAATTTTTAAAAAAACACTAACTCCACAAAAGTATCAATAAATAAAGCAGTAATTAGAAACAGTATGAAATAGAACTTACTGAAGAAATCTAAATTTTGAAATTATTATGTATCGGGTCTAATTAAATATATTCAAAATAAATCCAAATTATATCAATAAAGGAGCAATTAGAAAAACTATAAAGAGAGATTCCTACATTCACTAAATTTACTTAAAAAATATTCATAATAAATCAAAATAGTATGGAGCAATTAGAAAAACTAGAGAAGCGAGAGATTACTAAATTAATCTTGACTATTGAAATAATTATCTATTGCTCGCCTTGCTTAGCTCGCCTTAAAAAACTAAATTTATTGGAAAAATATTCAAATTAAATTCAAATGGTATCAATTAAGGAGAGATAATAGCCAAAGTATGAATATTTTTAATTGGATTCTTTTCTAAGTTTAATTACAATATATATTTTATGACATATTAATAGTAAATTCATTCAATAGGATTGATGTTGCTAATGGTAAGCTTGGCATTAGGGCAAGATTTTACTCCTCTTGATGATTATGTGGAATTATAAATAGATTAGAAAATATTTCCAGGAGCTGTCATTGGAATACAAAATGGAAATTCTCAATATACTTTTAAATATGGAAGAACTGAATATCCAGGGGATCCAGAAGACTAAGCACTGTTGAAAACATCCATTTTTGATTTAGCAAGTGTAAGTAAAGTTGTTGGATGCACCACAGCAGCAATGTTGCTTTGGGAATAAGGTTATTGATTAATTAATCAATAGGTAGATTAAATATCGAAGAGTCAGTTTAATATTACATACCTGAGTTTCCTCATCCCACAGTTCGAATAAGACATTTATTATTACATAATTCAGGCTTGCCAGCTGATGCCCCCTTAGGAAATAGAATATGGACCAAGGAAGAAGTGTTGGACTGGTTATACACAAAAAGTACTTTGTTATCAACACCTGGCCAAAAATACCTCTATAGTGATTTGAGTATGGTGACATTACAACAGGTAATCGAAGTAATTACAGAAACAACTTTAGATGTCTATTTGGAAGAGAATATATTTAAACCTCTTGGTATGCAATCAACTATGTTCAATCCTTCTGCTGAATTAAAGTATTGAAAACTCATAAATTAGATATCGTATACCTCCAACTTAAAGAGATGAAGTAGTCAGAAAAAGATTGATATGGGGAGAAGTACATGATCCCACAGCATATTATTTGGGAGGAGTATCTGGCAATGCAGGGTTATTTTCAACTGTTTATGATCTTATAAAATTCATGTAGATGATGTTAGGAAAGAACTCATTGTTTAAATATGAGACATTACTATATTGGACCAAAGTGGAAGAAGGTCTACCCTATGCAAATAGCAGAGCATTAGGTTGGGACACTGTTCCAATTTAGACTTACCCACCTTGTGGAAGTAGATTCTCAAAAAATTCATTTGGGCACACTGGGTACACCGGAACCTCTATTTGGGCTGATAGAGATGCTGATCTCATCGTTGTTATTCTGACTAATAGAGTCTATCCAGATGATAAAACCAGTGTTGTATAATTTAGATATGAAGCTACAAATTTAATAGTCAATATTTTAAAATATTAGCATGAATTAACATAATGATATTACATTAATAAAAATTATTCATGTTTAATTTATAATATTAATAAAAAAATGAAGAATTCTTAAATTGACATATTCAAAACTCCATTTCAAAAGTTTAAACAGATCTTTACTTGATAGATTAATGTAAAGTATTTTGAAAACACCTAACAAACCTATTCCCTCTAAAACTGTTTAATCAATTAACTTAGCTTATCCTACTGCAGCTACTGCCTTTTAATTTAATCCACTATCAAGCCCTGGAGCTCACAACCCATCCCCAAATATAATCTCTAATTTTCAAACTTAATGCTAAATTAGTTCCAGGCAGTTTTTAACCAAAAAAAATATCAGCAACTTCTGTTAAAATTGGAACAGCAAAAGACCACCATTGGCAATTCCTACTTGTGCTCCTTTACCTGGAAAATATAACTACTAATCAAAAATAATTGCATCTTAAGGTACCCATTCTTGAAATCAGGAATCATAGTATTTGTCAGCTATGCTATTTTGATTCTCTTATGTTGATATTTCCTAATTGTTTTTCAACTTTTCATTTAATATTAATATTTTGATATTTTTCCATTTCTAATCTTTGTAGTTAGAGTATTTAATATAAATAGAAGATTTACAATTAAGTAATTTGATTATATCAATTAAATACCGTTTACAGCAATATAAAATTTACAGAAAAAAATATAGAAATCACTTTTTCCTTATTAGCATTCTCTTCATTTCTACTTATTAGAGTTATTCGGTTTAAATTAAATTATGTATGGCAAACTCTACAGCCCTTTAATTATTGAATCTATCCGATAATTCTTGAATCAATCTGCTTGCTGGCAGTTTGGATCCTATGCTAATTCTTCTAAGAATAGAATCCTCAATTTTAGCAACTAATTATTTTAAGTCATTAGATAAGTCAAGGCCAAATTCCCTAAAATTATAGAATAAGAAAATACTTAGATCCTAATGAAACTGCCGTCATAGTAGAAGTTTAGAATAATCTATGAGCTTCTTTGACGTGTTCCTCTTTGACATGCTCAAGCAATTGCATTTTAGCCAACGATTCACTGATTCTAATAATGGCTTCCAATTATCTAACAGTAATGGGTATGTGCGATTTGCCTCCACTTTTTGAATGATGAGGTTGTTGACTTTTCTGTCTATCTTCGACATATAGATTCTGAATCATTTAAGCTGCTTATTCTGTAAGTAAAGGTTTAACAATAGATTTTGCATATTTAATGTATTGTTTTAATTTCATGAGATCCAAGGAATTGTTGTTGTCCTATTCAATTTACATTCCTTCTTAATCAGCAAATTATCCTGTATGAAGAGAAATGATATGATTTGCTAATCTCTAATCATTTTCAATGGATCTCACATCCCTAATAATGAAGATGTTGTCAAAACGAGATAAGATAGTAGTTTGCAATTCAATTTATTCTTAGATGGATTTGTTCTCTTGATATCTCCCAAAGATAGGATTAGCAGCAGCCAATATTGAGCATTTAGCATTTAATCTAGTAGTAATACCAGCTTTAGCAATAGATATAGTCTATTATTCCATTGCTTCATGCATAGCAACTCTATCTTCTGACCTCATTTTATCAAACTCATCGATGCAACAAACTCCTCCACTAGCTAATACCAAAGCACCTGCTTCCAAAGTAAATTGTGATGTATTGTGTTGATATGTTATTGTTGCAGTAAGACCAGCTGCACTACTTCCCTTGCCACTTGTGTAGACACTAATATCTGCTGCTCTTTCAACGAATTTCAGTAATTGAGATTTTGCCGTACTGGGATCACCAATAAGTAGAACATTGATGTCTCCTCTTAATTTCATACTATCTGGAAGGTTTTTTGATGTTCCTCCAAAGAGCAAACAGGCAATTGCCAATTTAATATCTTCATGACCATAGATGGCTGGTGCTATTGAATTAGTAATGATTTTATAGACATCTCTATTTCTGCTTAAGGATTTGAATTCTTGTCTTAAAGCCTCAGATAATCCTTGTTTGATATTCACTTTATTGGTTTATACTCCGAAAACATGAATGTACGGGAGAAGTAATTCGGCATCTATTGCATTACTTTTAATAGTGGCTGACCCTTTAGGAGGCACTTAATAAACTCCTGTGATTATAACCCTTTGACCAGGAATTAGTTTGTTGACTAGATGTCTATCACAATAGACCATGAAATTTCTTGGAACTTCTCCTGTTGGGATTGCTTCAGAAAGCTCTTGTATTCTAAGAGTCTATTAATCAATAAATTGGCATTCTTCTGGGATTATTACATAAGGATCTGTAGGACATTATGCATCTGTTTAAGCTCCCTTTTATTGTGCCTTTCCTAAGCAATATCTTGGTAAATTGACTGGTTTTGGTCCATATCCAAGATTGATATTTTATTCATCTTGGCATTCTCGGCATCGTATTAATAATTTCTTGGCCTTCACTTTAATTGATTTGGATGCTGAGATAATACATTTGATTGTAACTAACTTTCCAATTTATTATGCTGTTAAATTACGAAGCAGATCTGGATTTTATTATGAAATTAATTGCAATTGAAAATCTGGACAATCGCTCTTGTTTATCATCTTTTCTTAAGAATATAGCTTGATTTTAGGAATAATTGATTACTTCTTTTATTTTGTCTTCAAAGGTCTCTTGTATGTCTTGTGGGCGATCCAAAATAAACGAGTATAATTCCTTATCAGAATTTTCAATATCGTTAATTTCAACTCTCAAAATGTATTCATTATTGGCCACATTCTCTTTGAGTTGGTCTCTATATATGAATTTGTCTTGGAAATGAAATTCCTTGAGAAATTTTAAAATTCTTTTTCCTGCATCGGTAATCGTTGATTCATGATTGAATTCTCTATGAAATATGTAAAGAAAAATGGATACTCGTCTGTTGTGAATTTCTGATTGGTGTAGTATATTTTCTCTCCGTCGAAGGTGGTCATTCAAAATATATATATATATATAAAACAAATTATTGTGGTTACGCGCATTTATTTGGCGGAATTAAATATTGATTAATATAATTTTATTATATGCAACTAAATACTCTGATTATATAAATTAACAAAATGCAATTAATTCATATTTAACTGAATTTGAATCTCCAATCGTCTTTAATTACTTTTATTACATAATTGATTTTGCATATAAAATTTATTTTTCCATGGATGAATTCAAATCGAATTCAGAGCGTCCACAAACCTCGCACATTCTCAATCAATTGAAACTCTTGCGACGCAATCTTATCAAATAACCATAAAAACCACATAAATCTACAAGGTCACACTTCGTACCAGCTGACATTAATAACATGAAATATGTATAATCCCCTAAACAAATCTTCGGCAATATCTCTTCATCGCAAACATCCTTTAAAAGCAAAGTCACATCTTAAAGTCAAATATCACATGACGAATCGTACTTGAATAGATTGCTCCCCAAAGAGACAATCAGGAATATGAATAATTAAACAAGAAAAACGAATACACTTTTCCCATTGTTTCAACAACCACAAGGAAGAATGAAAACAGATTGGATAAACTCAAAATATAGATTATTTTGAATTCGACTAGGCTAAATATGAAAAATGATCGAATAATTATACAGAAAACATAATCACACAGATATTATTTATTTATAAAATATTATTTCATAATATGTCTAGGAATGTTATATGACTTAATTGTATTTTATTGTCATTTGATCTTTAAATTTAAAGTATCAATTTTACTCTTTAAACTTTGGAAGTATATTTATAATGTAAATTAGATGGGATTTTATTTAATAATTTGGAAAGGTTTGCAAAGTGTAATTTGAAAATCACCGCTTATAATTGATTTATATGGTTGACATCCTAAGAAAAGAGGAATATTTTTTAATCAAAATAATTTTATAATTAATTTATGAGTCATTAAGGAGTACTGTCAACAAAGCAATAAGATGCAGCTTTCTTGAAAATACTTAAAAAGTAATGCAACTCGATCTGTGCAGATTGTTCATCAAAGTCTCCTACTTGGGCGTCTTTGGATTTCGGAGTTTTTGTATGCTATAATTGCTCAGGTATTTTCAATATTATATTCTTTTAGGATAACACAGAGCCCTAGGTTAAAATATAACTAGAGTCAGATCAACTAAATTAGATTGTTGGACTCAAGAAAATGTTGATATGATGGATGCCTTGGGAAACGATCAGAATGAGTATATTAATAAGAATAAATATAGGTATTGGGAAAACAGATTGCAAAAGAATAATAAGATTTAACCTTCTGCCACTCCAGAGGAAATCAAATTCTTTGTTTAGGAAAAGTATGTAAGGAGAACTTGGGTAAAGTAGGGACTAGCTGATCCAAAAACCAGATATACCTAATGTCTAATGAGTGGAGTACCTTTTAGAGTTGCAAAAACCAACACATTTTTTAGTGAAAATGGGAGTCAAGGTCAACAGGTAAAAGATGATATGAAGCAATTTCTTTCTACTTAACAATAAGGAATTCAAAGAAATAATAGGCAATTTAGTATAGACTCAAAATCAACATAAAAAGATGCTAATCTAATCTCACCAGATAAGGGAACTCAATTTGATTGGAATTCATTTAATCATTTTTCCACTGTTTCAGGGGTACCCAACAATCATTCATATTAAACCAACCAATTGTCAATATTTCCTAAAAAGCAATAATTGAATGAAGATTAATCTCCCACTTTTAAACCAAAAAATAATAACTTAAATGAATTTGATTTATTAACCCATTCAACCTTAGCTGATAATTCATAATTCATGGCTCACAACAAAGCACATCAACCACCATCATAATAATAAACTCATTAACATTTCAATAGTCACAATCCATAAAATAATACTGTAAATTAATAATCGTGGGAATAGGCTTAAAAACAGGCTCAAGTGCAATAGTAATAGCAAGTGAGTTAGTAAATGAATTACTAATACCAACAAAACTAAGGAATAAACCCTACAATTAATGGTTTCGGAACTAATAATTAATAATAGGGCTGGGGATCATAACCTATATAGTAGACTTAATAAGTATAGTAATAGCCACCATTGCAGTATAATTAAACAAGTAGCAAGCCTCCACTTCCAGGAAAATAAAACGGTTAAAATAATTATTAAACAACAAATTTTGCTTATTAATAATAACCTTAAGTCTAATAATAAGTAGCTAATCAAATTAATTTTTAAACAAATTAGTAATAAACTTAGGTATAGCAATAATAATCTGCGAATAAATAGTAATCTGCAAATTATTAATAATAATAATAATAATAATAATATCAAAATACTAATCAAAATTACTAAAATAATATATAAAGTTTCGGATTTGACAATTAAACTAATAATGCTGCTAATAATAATTAGTAGATATATTAAGGTTTTAATAATTTCTCCTTTTAAACAAATCAAAATAATAATAATAATACTAATAATAATAACACTAATTTTTATAATAACTAATAATTCAATAGTTTTGATGCAACAAACTAATTTTAAAATTAAAAATACTAAAATAATCCATTTGCAAAAGATGTATCAGACATAAGGAACCTTTATAATACTCAATAGCCGAGCAAGTATGATTAATTGAGAAACAATCCTTTTGTTTGATTAATATAATTATGTTCTGCTTGATTTTAATAGTTTCATGTTATGCTATGTTATGCTCATTTCATTTTACAAAACCTTGAAAGTTTTAAATTAGCTGAAGAATCTACGCATTTCTTAGGCAGCATTGTACAAATCATAATAAAAAAGAAATATGATTTTATACATGTTCTAATGAGGGAGTCTAACTTTTTTTTATCTATTGGCAAAGAATAAGTCAATAAAACCATGCGTAATTATTTAATTATCAAGTTAATTACAACATTACTTTGATATTGGATCTCACATGGAGAATTGGAATAATTTTAGTAATCAACTTTTTTCTCTGGAATTACAAATGGTGATGATAGAAAAAAAAAAGAATAAAAAAATAAATCTAAAATACGGGGTTCTATCTTGATAATCAGATAAAGCTCTTTTGATAAAATTTTTCTTATTGAGCAATTTGGAATATATTTGCATTAACATTTGGATATAAAAATAAATGTACATAACTTTTGGATTTATTCTTAAATAAAGTTTGCCATATTTATTGAGTCTTCCAATTTTTCCATTTGAATGGTATATTAATTTGCTAGCTTAGTGTAGAAAATTAAAAAATGAGAGATATTATAACTTTTTTTTATAATTCAGTTTGGAGTAATAATTTATGAGTTAAACTCCTTAGAAAATAAGTTTTTATACTTTTTAATCATAATCCCTTGCTCATATGATAAGGTTTTTGGAAATGATGAAAAATTTACATTTTTATAATATCTTAATAGCAACAATGAGCAATTTGAATATTGGCCAATATTTATAAGGAAAATTAGGAAACTTCTCTAATTACTTTATTACTCAATTACAAAAGATGATTCCATTTACTATTCATGGGAATTATAAAAGAATTAGAACATATTCGAAACAAAATATTAGTTTAATAATTTGATTCAAACATCTTAGAATATTTAATTTAATGCAAATGCTTCTTCAAAAATTCCATATCCATTTATTAGTTCACATATGTTATGCTTGTTGCTTGTATGGATCTCAAAGCCTCAGATCTCAATTAGAATTGAATGGGACAATATATTTTAATCAATTGATTAATAAATTATGATGGTTGATCTCTTTATCAGTTTGTAGAAATAGCAAGAATATCAAGAACAAGCCAAATGATGTACAGATAATGTTAAAGTACTTCTATGAATTTAATTTAATTTATTTTAGAGAGTATTATTTGATTTATATTATTTAATTAAAATGGGATCATCTTGTTGCGCCTAACAAGTTGCAGAAGAGTAGGATCATGAGCTAGAAAATAAGTACAAGTACGATCCTCACAAATAACCAGCCAAGGGAGCTTTTAAGAAATAACATGAGGACAAAAAAATGGTCAAGTTTCCAACAAGAGTACGATAGGAGGATGACGAAAAAAATAAGGATGAAGAAGACAGTCAGGTTGGGAATCCTTTGATCGAAGAAAGCGTTGTTGCCCCTGATGCTAAATCTCATAAGTCGCAACACACATAGAAATCTCATTAAAATAATAAAAGAGGATTATTTAGCAAGTAGGTAAGTTAATTTGTAAAATGCGAAGATGATTGATTATTTAATTAATTTATATATCCCGATAATGATAATCCACCCCATAATACTTATTTTTGATTCTTCTCTTATTTTTTGTATTGTGAACTGGCAGCAACATCAGATTTGGCAAAAAATGTATAAAACTCTAAGGTTCCTATCATAAAAACTTCATTTTACTTGAAATTACTAAAGGATTGTTATTCTGTTTAGTATTAAATTAAATGCGAATAAAAAGCCAAAATAAATAATCAATAAATTGCAACATCAAAAATAGTATTATGGAGTAATTTAAGGCAATGCAATCGCATAGACATGGGGATGACTAAGAAATTAAGTATCGTAAGAAAAGAACCAGCATTTAATTTTTTCTAAAAATAATTTTATTCAAATTTTAGTAGTCTAAACAATTGGGATTTAAAAATATTTAGTAAAAGAGTCACATCAAATGAAAATTAAATCGCTTTTTGATAGAATCTATGATGGGCTAAAATATTTAATATGGGAATGAGTGAATTAGAAGGCTAATTTATGATTTTATCAATTAATTGCATTTCTTTATCAAACATTAATGATCTAATCATTAAACCAAGAATTGATGTTTTATTATTTAATAATTTATATATATTATAAATGACAAAATAAAAATTGAATGTTACTGAAAATAATTTATAATTTTCTGATAAAGATTTATATTATAAAATAAATTTTATTTACAAAGTTAGGAGCAAACAAGAAGTTACCCAACATCTATTATTGTTAGAGTTAGTAGTTTACATTTAGAATGCAGTTGCCATATGATATTTATTACAGACCAGGGTAAATAATTAAATGTCTAAATTTATTATCTTTTGCTATAACAAATATTAAGCCATACTCTTGAATTAGATATGCAATGATTTGACTCATATGTTGATATGCTTTTTTGTTATTGTAATGAATCAAAATTTAATGATAAAAGTTATTTTATTATGGTGAAGAAGAGTAGAATAAGATTATGTATTTAAATCACTAATCATTAATTATATTTTTTTATTAGTAGACTTTAAACTTCCTCATATGCTATTGGATCACCGCTCATCAATTTTCTGTGAAGTAGCTTAATGTTTTTGAATGACGATAATATTTAAAGTGTTTTATCGTCAGTCAAATTCAGGAGCTGTTTGATCTCATCATCTAAACATAAAGGCATTCTTACATAAGGGCATATTTGCTTGATTCCAAACCTTAAACTATTGTAATTTCATTCTCATCATATTGAAATTGAATTAGTTCTTCATGATCTCAGTCTAATGCCCTTTGCCTATATGGATGAAGCCGTCATTCTTCCTAAAATAGAACTTATAGGGTTGATTGGTTTAATCTGAGTTTACGTGCACATTGCGAGTGGAAATATGTCTCTTGATATTCTTGCTCTATTTGATAATTTTAAAATGTTTGTCTATTTGCTTGTTATTTAATTCTGACTCATTTTCTTCATGGATGGTTGTTGGAGTGGCTTGTGGTAGCTCTTTGATCAATTTTAGATTCAGCGTTATTCGTGTACCACTAACAGATACAAACTAGGAACAGCTTTTCTTTAGTTCATATTCATTTGATTAAGGAGGTTGTGGGGTAGTTTATTATGGCTGCAAGTGTTAAATGTATGGGAACTAGTAGTACATGAAGGGAAAAAAGATTTATTGGGAATTCATAAACTGAGGAATGTACAATGGAAATGCTAGTGATTGAGTATTCATGTTGACTGGGAGATACTCATTGTGATTCATAAAAAAATTATTTAACTTGAAAATACAAAACAAGTTCAATCATAATACTCAGTCAATAATTTTTTAAGAAATTATTAAAACTTGCTTTTTAATGGAATGATTAGGAACAGTCATTTAGACATAATGATTTGAAGCCTTCTTGGATTTATTGAAAATCTTTGGACTCTTTGTTTTTTATTGCCAATTTTTTGTTCATCCTTTTACGAATTGATTTCTTTTTCGGTAATAGATGTTGAAGCAAAGGTTCGATACACAACTGACTTAATTTCAGTTGAATTTAGGACTCATTATGTTCATAGTCAAGTGATTATTATTCGATTTCGAAAATGAGCTCTTATAAAAATTCTCCTCTTTTAGATTACATAATAATCTTTATACAAAACTTTAGAAAGAATATAAGCGATGTTTAAAATTCATTCAAATATTTGACTTATATTATTATAATGTACATATACGTATTATTTATGTCAATATGAGGCAACTGACTGTCCGAAATAAACCTTTTATTGAGCTTTCGCACTCCATTCAATTGATGTACTTTCAAAAATGACCACAACAGTAGATCCTAATTAAAATGTTCGATGTGAATAGTACCCATTTCGAATCTTCCTATTTCCTGCCCCTTTTTAATGTGAACACCTTTTTCACATGATGAATAAGGAGCATTGACAGTTAGATTCGAATAATTGCGATAGCCACTTTTATGATACGTGTTGGTGTTTGTAGCCAAATCAGAATCGAAATTGACCTTCATTGAACCAACATTAGTTGCACCAATGAATATAATATACATGAGTCCTTGTTCCCATTCTCCTTCGAGAACCACTCTTTCATTTCCTTCATACAATCCCTAATTGAATTTGAAAATACGAATATACTTATTTGAGGCTGCTTTCTTTGACAGGTGCTAATTTCCCTGGAATATGCAACCTGCTTTTTGCAATAAAGTCAACAGGACAATGATAACGATGATAATCCCCAGGTGCAAGATAAAATATACATGACCAAAGGTTTGAAGATTCCTGTCTTTTTTTGAATTCCATCTCGTATCCCTTGATGCCTGTCAAAAATTATCCAATTTAATATGTCACTCTTTTCACAAGTAAACATTCATTCTTTGTTACTTTACTGATGGATAAGATCTTAGAGTCAGCTGGACTGATCATTCCATGTTCGATCTTTCTCGGCTTAATTTATCTAGTAAAGAATTTATTGAATGTTTGGTAGTAACTCAAGGGGTGGATCATGTCTTGTCTTCTCACTTTGTAGATTTCGCTGAATATTGTGTAAATAGGTATTCTAACATATTGATATAATGTTACCTCAGAATCTTGGGAATGTACAAATTCATCACGTATCCAGTGGTTTATGACACGTATCTAGAGATGGGCAACTCCAGGACTTTCTTAACGATTACTATCAAAACTAGAAGTTTTAGATAATAGATCTAGGATTGGTGAGATGTAGTACGTTTTAGAATTGGGTGGTGAGCAAATCGACTACGTAATTAAGGCCATAGAGAACGAGGACCAAGAGGGAAAGATTCTTAAAGTGGGTTTATTTCATCAATTATTAAATGTTTAATAATTCATTTCAATATTGAGTGTGTTTTGGTTTTAATGATGTACTTATTTCCTTATATTAAAGTACACGAAGAACCCAGTGATAAGCAAGATTGTAAGAAAAATACCTAGTAAGACACCCATTGTTGGATGGACTCCTGCTAATTGTTAGTATAGTTCATTTCTATGATTGGTAACGGATACGTGAGTTCTTCGATTTCATTTTCTATTTACAATTACACTTTTCCAACGACACTTAAATACTTGGCCTATTGATCCTTTGTTGCAAAAGTAACAGTTGTTATATTGCTGAAATTGCTTTGTTCCACAACCTAAGTATATTTCCCATAAACATTGGTCTTGTTGTTCACATAATTGGATTCAAACATGCAAGCAAGACTCTTTTCACCAATGGCTTATTGCATTCTAACAATAAAGTAAACTTGGATTAATGTGATATCTTTTTTAACTTAGATTAGATTTGGAATGTGAATGATCAAATTGTTATCTACCTTGTACCAATCGATGGATTTGTTACTTAATTAAAATGAAGTTGATGGAATTAATTCCCCTTAATCAAAAGTTTGTTACTTAATATAATATGATGAAATTTTATTTTTGTTATCGTCTTAAGTATGAGCTGATATCAATTTCACTAGGAAATAGTATGTACCTGGTTCAAGTGATAAGATTGTTTGAATGTGTTCTTGGGATGAGTTCATTACTTATATTTCAAAGATTTATTTGGCCAGATTGGTTTGGTTCTTTGTCCCTTACACTAAGATGGATCCTGAGCAAGTGAATACTTCCAACAGGAGTTTTGATCTTGATTGTAGGAAGATCTCGTAATAGTTCGGTTATCCAATTTTGGTTAATTAGTATTGTGACACACTATCAGTCAAAGCATTTAATTCCCCATTTGTGATGATGACTTTGACATAAGTGCTGTTATGCAAAGACTTGATTGAAATATTGTACAAACCAAACTGATCGTACAGATAATATGAAATGGCTTTTGGATACTTGTTAAAATAATTAATAGGTTTGATGGAAGAATGAGTAATATCAAAATATAGATTGTCAATGGATTGATGGATGTTTTAAATTTGTAAAGTGATGAATTATTATTGATTATTGGTTGGTTGAGTGATTGATTGATATTACAATTGGATGGTCTCTTGTGCTTGTACGAAATAGGTCATCATCTGACCCAAATGAATAGTGAAAACCTATTTGTACAATCTGAGTGCACTAATTTTAAAGATAGAAGTTGGACCCAAGGATTCAGCCTTAATTGTAATTATTGAATCATTCGAACTCTTCTTGTAGAATGTAACTTGAGTATCATTCTAAATTCTCTGCGTTTGATCAGCCTCATCATTGTGTTTAAGTTCTTTTCCTTCCTTCAAATACAATCTGATGTCACCACTTATCATTTGGATACTGAATTGAACATTCCCATATGAATGAAAGTGGTATAGAGAAGTCTCTGACTCATTCAAGATTTCCCTCCATTGAAGACCTTCATGCAGAGTGGTATAATATTGATGACTGGTGAATTCAATCAAACCTTTGGTGTCACCTGAAATGGCAATGACTTCAACTACATAAAGACAACTAGCCTTCTCGCATGTCTTCACTTAAAATGATTTTTGTTTGGTAATTATTTCATCAATAATTAGAGTGTCATTACTAGTAATGGCACTAACATCATCGGAAGAACTCAACTTTTTGGCTCTGATTTATAATTTACCTTGAATTGCAAACACTATGATTTTAAATTCTTAATCACTTGGATTGTCTCTAAAAATATAACTATAAGGAATATCTTCAACAAATAGAACATCGAAAGGATGACCGAGGAAGGCATTATAAAATTTGGCGTCATCAACATTATAACTAATCTAGAATTCACTATCAATTTGACCATAAACACCAATAATATAATCATCCTTAGCCAAATAGCGATTACTCAATTCTTATAGAATGTAGGTTGACCCAACTTAATCTGTCCAATATATATCAAATTCATATAAACTAGGTCTTCTGTCTTTCCCCTTAGAAATTCTGGGAGTCAGAGCATCTCCACCTCCTTAGACATGAACATTAACCTCAATCGATTTAACATCCTGTGTTAAACTTAGTTTGTAAAATTTGGTTTAACCTTTCTGAACCTTGTCGATTATCGGATCTGATAGAGTCAATAATTGGACTTCTTCATAGACACCAATAGTGTACGTATCATCTTGATAATGAGGTTGAACAGGTGTAACCTGAATGTACAACTTTGAATATTTCTCGGATTCTGGGATTATGATGCTTTGAAATTAAGTGAAATAAGAGTGAGCCTTGAAGGTTTCAAACTTCAAATCAGGATTTTCCTTATCACCAAAATAGGCCTCGACAATGGCTTGGCTTCCTCCATAGGAATACCATTGTACTGAGATCTCCTTTTAATTAAGGATGTAATAGAATAGAGTATTTTGATCGAAAGTGACAGTCTGGGGATATCCTTCATGCAATTGGATTCTGCTATTATCATACTTGGTGAATATTGTATAAAAGATAGTTCCTGATGAAGAGGATACCGATATGTAAATATAACAGGGATTCCTTTCATATATTTTGGTCGTGTTCTATTGACATTGCAAGTCAGACTCAGGAATGGTCAAATTCTTACCAGTCAAATAGACGTTATGGTTTTTCAGATTCGGATGGGTGTTCTTTTGATCAAAAGAGATGTACATATCTAGATCAACCACATCATTGCCAGAGTAAATATCTTTGGTTATAGTGATGTTTCTGGATTCCATAGGCAATTTATAGTATCTAAACTTTTTCTTAGCAACAGTGCCTACAATCTATTATCCTACTTGATAAAACTCAATGTCTCCATGCATACTATATTGGATTATGAATTCTCCTTGATCATTTAATCTCTAGACTCCTATGTAATATTGAGTTGCATAATTGACATCGTCAATATTTATTTCAATCTACTTGGTATCCTTCCACTCGTAACTATTGCTATCTGGTATTTCATTATTCCCTAGATTGGACTTAACATACATAATGAAGTTGCCTTCAAGATTTTATAATGTAATTGTGAAGTTCTATTTCTAAGTTAATTGAATATAAAAGAAACTGTATTGATCACTTGATAAGTATTTTTGGGGCACTCCACTTTGGAGTTGTATGAAGTGAGTTTAATTGACTGTTTAATGTCTTTCAACCTAAGTGTAAATACCATACTAACAATGAGTATAGCCATATACACTCAAATAGACTGTTTGAGTATTACTCGCCTTCAATTATGAAGATCCCTTCATCTAAAAATTAGTAGCATTTGGATATTGATCTGATGAACTACCGAACATCATGCATGTTCCATTGTATTGAGTGATTTGGAATTTGACACTTTTTATATTGGTATCATTTGGGATGTTGTACAAATAATAAATATAGAATCCTTCTTCCACATGAAATTGCTCTTATTCTCCCTCTCTTAAAATGATGTGTTGTTCTTTGCGTTTGGCCAATATGCGAAATTGAGTCTTGGCATCACTTTTTAATCCTATCAAATAAAAGCAATCTTAACAATTTGCGTGTACAAATGTAAGCGATGATTAAGTGAGATGAACAGCTGTATCAGTGTCACTACCTTCGTAATCACTTAATGTGATTGTGCAATCTTCACTTGTGCATTGCTTTAAGAACTTTTCTACTTAATTTGCTGTAATCTGTAAAGTAATTTATTCCGTCTACTAGATTGGCTTCAGTTTAAACTGGAGGATCTCTTTCTCAACTAATTCGCCACTATTATGTATATTAACTTTACCTTAGTGGAATGTTGTAATCCAATTATTGGATGCCATCCCAAACATATGTTACCAATTAATAGCCAGATACTACCTCACTCGAAACACCAATATAGAATTCTTTATCTGTACAATTCAGTGCTTGTCTTTCTTAGTATGAAATTGTGAGTTATTGCATGAACCAAGATCCTGTTTACCACTCGTAATAATCTAACAATTTTGGTTCACTATTATTCATTATTCATAATTACGTGTCACACTCCACAGCTACTTTTGGATTTCCAATCTATGGTAGCAACTATACTATCAAAGTACGGTTCTATAATTTCTCTGCATTTTTCACTTATAATCTATATACTTTATAATCGTAGGCTTCGATTGCATCATCTAGTACTTCGTTCAAACCGATATATCTCACTCAAACCATAGCTCAATTATATTACCTGCTTAATTTGTCAGAGCTATACAAACCATCAATAAGAATACATACATATTATTAATTAATTAATATAGTAATAATTCGACAAATGCTTGGATCTCTGAATTCCTATTAATCCATTTCTCATATTCTTCTTGATTTAATCATAATCAACCATCTATCTCATCATGGAGTTGCAACCTAAAATCTTTATCAATATGAAACTTATATCTCAAATTTATACCTAAAATAATAAGATCAATTCAGATCTAATGAATTTCAGATTCATTTTTAATTGAAATAGATATATGAATGAATGATGTTTTTTGAAATTAAAAAGGAAAAGAATATAAACCAATTAGAATTGTTTATCTGATATTAAAATTGCAAAAAAAGAGGAAAATGATAATATTTAATTGATATGGAATAAAAATAGATTTGATATTTATAAGGTTTCTTTATTAAAGAAGAGAAAATTAGGAAAAATCTTATTCTCAATATTTTCAATTAGAAAATTCTATTACTTTTCTATTAAATCTTATTGCTGTAGAGATTATGAGAGAACTGTGTATAAGTTTCTTTTTATTATGCCTTAAAAAATATATTAAAATACATTAGATTCCGTCTATTCAAATCTGTTCATTTTTTCTAGATTACTTTGAAATATACAAAAAATAATGTATTAGTTTAATATTAAGAAATAAGTATAATTATTAATATAAATATTTTATTATCACCTCTTTATCCTTGAATGATAATAAACTGATAAATATGGCAAATTTAACATGTGATAAGAATTGTTAATACTTAGATTTCAATCTATTAATTATTTAATCATTACAAATAATCATTATAAATGCGAAAAGATTAAAGAGATTGAGGAATAAAGCTATATATGCATTTTATTGAATGTCTAGTATTCTGAATAAATATGCAACCCAATCCAGTTGTTATAATCATCTTCTAGTTTTGTTTGATTCTTTTAAACTTTACAAATTATAAATTTTAATGGATAGATAATTATATTCCATATGTATAACAATCTTTATTTTATTGCTGATTTGAAATTCTAAACAAAACCATTAACCCTTATATTTCTATTAAAGTGATTTAATCCAACAAAAGTAGTTTTCCAATTTACTGGTATGGTTGATTATTCCATTCTGAATTTTTATCTTAAAAATAAATAACCTCACACAGATAGAGTGTTTTATTGTTGATTAAAGACTTTTATATACAACAGATGCTTAAAGTTTAAGAAAAAAACCTTAAAATCATAGGCATAATCTAATATCTCTGTAATTTCTATTCATTTTTTGCTTCTTTCACGACCTAAACTCTTTAGCTGAAATTATCATTTCATCATTTTTTACTTCTCTCTTTCCAAATAGTGAGTCAAGGATTTTAAAATAAATATAACTTAAAAGCTAAAACAGTGACTTCTGCGTTAATTTCAGAAATCTTAGAATACACTTGAAACAATTTTAATCTAGTTTCTCACTTCGCTTAATCTATTATCAACCTGACATAATATTAATGCTTTTCTATTTTCTAATACAAATTCCCATTATAGTATAAATCAGCCAATAATGACTCAAGATGCTGAAAAGGAATATCAATATCATAGGCTATTTTCAATTGAATGATTATTAAATATGTTATTTCGCAGCATGCCTGAGATTGGATATCTAATATGAGAAGAACTTTGGTTCATGTGCACCGCTTTAACTTAACTTAATCCCATTAAATTATAAATATTATTTTTAATATGGGAAATAATTGTACCTGTTGGAAACATGACCCAATAAATTAAATTGAGGTTAGGGGGATTTAAAAACCAAGATGGCAGAGTTTGGAACTGTTAAAGAGTTAGGAACGAAAGATCATAAGGATGTAGTCCTGGATCCGTGGCTGGTAAGCTCGTTAAAGGGTTTGGAAAATGCAATTACAAAAATACAACGATAGTGTTAATGAATAGTTAAGAACGTAGCCTCTGTTTTTTAGGTAGGTATTCCACAAGTGTGATTAATGTGGGTTAGAGGCAGCTACCTCCATTTGAATTTGGAATTGACGATATAAATGATTAACTAGTTCATTAGAAAGTTCTGAAGGCACCGAGCAAGTTGGAAAATGGGGCAATGTATTTTGGGGAATGGATAAATGATCTAAGACATGGCAAAGGCATTCTGATATGCGAGGTACATTAAGCAAAATATATTCAAAGGATGGATCAAAATATGAGGGTTACTTTTATTAGGGCAATGCACATGGAAGAGGGAGATTGATACATTCAAATGGAGAGGTATACGAAGGGTAATGGGAGAACGACGAAGCACATGGATTGGGCACATACATTCATGAAGATGGAGCCACTTATACTGGTTAATGGGAACACGATTTGCAGCATGGCAAAGGAAGTGAAAAATGGCCAGATGGAAGGTATGATGATATGTATAAAGTAGTTATTTTGAAGGGTTCTATAAGCATGGGAAGAAGGAAGGCTTGGGCAAATTTGTGTGGATTGACGGAGCTATCTACGAGGGGGAGTTTAGAGGTAATAATATAGATGGATATGGGAAATACACTTGGCCAGATAGCAAATATTATCAAGGGTATTGGAAAAACAATAAGAAGTACATGATAGAAATATTAGAGTAGAAATGGGAAGGGAAAGTATGTATGGCCAGATGGAAAAGTATATGAAGGAGATTTTGTGAATGATCAAAAGCAGGGATAGGGCATTTTGAAGTTTCCAGATGGCAGAGTATATGAAGGAGAGTGGTAGAATGACAAACAACATGGGAAGGCCTAACTAAGATTACCAAACGGTAAGATATCGAATGGAGAATGGAAAAATGGAATTCGTATCAATTGATATACTTTTAATCATTTATTAAGAATTATTCCCAAGTCTGTCTCCTTAGTTATTAAATATTTGGTCGGAATGAATTTGTTAGTCTTTATTAAGTTTGAGGTCTATAATCTTCTTCTTTATATAATTGTAAGTAGACTTGCTTTTTGTTCCTGATAACATCTTAAGCTATCTGCAATGGACTTCGAATACTAAAGGTATTTCTTTTAGCGGATCGCACACTTTTCACTTGATAAGTTAGATTTCTTTATTTAACGTATTTCATATCAATGAAATAGTTATCATCCTGAGTCAGTTGTCTGGATTTCCTCTCCAATCTTACTTATTCTCTCTATAAACAAGCATTTCGCAACTAATCATATAAGTGCATCTAATTCGTAGATTGCAGTCTTTAAATTAAACTACTAAGTTGAATTTTTAAGACAACCCCATTTTCAGAATTGCAGATAACATTTTATTGACGTTTTTCAATATTTTAAAAGCATTCGTGGTCTCCAAAGAATTGGCCTTTTTGTAATAATGCCACAGATGAAACACATTTCTTAGGACTGGATAAGTTGTCATTGCATTCTGTAATTAGGAACTCCCCACTTTTGATCAAATATACTTCTTATTTGCTCTATTGACCTTGAAAATAAACAGTTTATCTGAATTAATAGTGGAAACTCTGAAAAGCAGTAAAGAGGATATCCAATAGTTTCGTGGAAACATTGTACTATTTCATACAGCCATGGAACTCTTTCAATTGTTGATTGACTCTATTTTCATGGGCTTTTTATAATATTTCCTTATAATCCTTTTTGCTTAGAACTCCAAAGATGCATTTACTATCACAAATAATACTTGCTGATCTTAAGTTATCATTTAATAATGCCATTTCTCCAAAACTCTCCCCTGAAATGAGTTTATTTGTATTGAATGATCTCTCTAATATTTCTAATCGACATACCTTTTTTTAATTAGAGTGGCTTTATCTAAATCCTCTTCTCGCACCTCAACTTTTGGATCTCTGTACACATAAACCGAAACATTCCCACTCAAAATGATAAAAAATTAATGAGCCCTTTCTCCCTACTCTAAAACTACTTAATTCTTTATATCAATATCATCTATACTTCATCATAAAACTCAATGAGCATTCTTTTGTAACATTCCCTTAAGGTCCCTTCTCCTTCCTCCTCTTGAATCTATTTTAGAAATTTGTTCTTGCTTGTAAATGCTTAAATAATCTTGTTATAATATTCATTTTACTTGCAGATCCTCAGGTCTACGATATTCTGGATTCTTTTCCAAAATTTCAACACATAGAGAAATCTTTTAATCCATTGTTAACTCATTGAGTAATGATGATATTTCTGATTTTTTCCTTTTGTTTTCTGGAATTTAAATCTATCTGTCTGTAAATTAAAACATAATAAATTACTATTAATTTTATTTACAGATTGTCCAAATATGGTAGATTGTGTAGATAAAAAGTATATTGTAAAATAAATAATAAACTCAATCTATAGTTCCTCTACCATTGATAGTCTTATAACTTTAAACTAAAGATTTCAACTTATCATACTTCTCTGATGGAGCCAATCTCATAAATCCTCCCATCTATTTTGGCATTTCCCCATACCTCCTCAAGTGAGTCCCATTTAAAATATAATTCAGATCCCTTTGCAATTGTAATTTTGAGTTGTTCATGGTGTTTATGACTGATTTGCACCCTTGTTCCTCTTGAATCCTCCTTTCCAACACTTCACATAATCTCTACCTATCATAATTTGGACTATCAATCAAATCAAAAATATCATCAATTAACTATTATTTTATCAATTCATCCAAAATATAATCCCTGGCTAAAGAGGGTGAGGCATTAACTTCCAATAGCCAACATTTTTAATTCGTATCTATTATAATATCATACCCAAATAACTCAAAGCTATTAGGATTATTTGGTATTTCAGATTAACAGGCAACCAAAGATTTTAATACTATATCTTAAACTTACTCCCAAATCTTATTCCAATCTATATTTCTATCAATTAGCTTCTCTCTCAATTGTCGTAAAGATATCTTACAACCTCCCAATTACGACTCCAAATCTTGTATTTACACATGAGTCTTCTGCACTGCAAAATTAGTCAAATGAACCAACTGATTTTTGAGATCATTGATATCAAGAGTAAACGGTTGTGTAGTTAAACGAGCAAAGCCCTCTTTGTAAAGGAACACTTCCAAAGGATTAAATGAAGTTACTAGCACATATATTCTCATATCAAATTTATGTCCCTTCAATAAAAGAGGATTCTTAAGATATTTCTGTAACACCACTGGCTCAGCATACATGACATCTGATATATCATTTAGTACTGTTATTCCTCTGCCTCTTGATTTCCCTGTAGGTTTCATAATCCAAATATTCTATTGTCCTTCTGATTCTGAGTCTTTATAAAACTTTTCCATAAATTACACATATTCCTTGGGCAACAAAAACGTTGATGGAATTATATCAAAAATTTATTATGCTTTTGTTCCTAGTTTTTAACATCTTTCGATGTTTTTCTTTAGTAGATCCTTCCTCCCTAGATTCTTGTTAAAAGGGAAATGATTGACTTTCTAAAAGAAAAGCAATTTATTTAAATCGATCTATGGTTTTGACCAAGTCCACAATACATTCCAAGATGTTCTGAGTCCAATCCCATGAGGTAACTCTGTCCATCCTTACTTTCTCATAAATGACCTAGTTATTATATCTATTGTTATTATATTTATTACCATATACCTCTTCTTTGGTTTTCACTACTCTAAAATATCTTTCTTACTTTCCTAAATTCGTTGAATCATTTTAAAGTCGCTTATTAAAAACCATCTGTCTCTAGATGTATTATTGTATATCAACTCCAGTTCTTGTGGAGTATTGAATCAATCTATGAGGGTCATTAATATAGACTAGTTCATTTGGATTGATTGCCAAAGGATTTGATTTGTACTTACCTAAGAGAGAATCAACATTATCAACCTTGTCGATGTGTTATGAGAAAATACTAAATATTTCCCTCATTACATCTAAGTGATTATAATGAGGCTAATTATTAAAGAACCCACTAAACAGGTGCTAAAATGTTGGGACAATATCAGAATAATCCTCTAATTTTGAATCATCAATGCATTAAAGCATTTTCTAAATATATTTAGATTATGGGTTTTTTGGTCTGTTGTTAGCACTTGGAGTTATTGCTTTGATTATTTATGTCGGATTAGAAGCAGATTACTATTACTTTGCCTTGAATTCATCCAATCCCATTTCTTTACAAATGTTGTTTATTTCATCCATCTTCTCTTTATCAGTAAGTATAACCTTTTATTTACTATCAACTACTGCTTTCTATTTGGATTAGTCAACCTTTCCAAGTTGTTTAATCCCGAATTCTTTATTTGGTTTTTATTTGGCCACATTAATTTGATCATGATCACTCTCTACCTCATGGAAATCATCAGCTATTTATAATAATTAATAATTATACATTTTCTAGATTCCATTGTTAATTATTTTTACACATTCCCTTTCTGTCCTACTGATGGTCTATTTTTCAAATCCTACTTTCTTTATGATTATTGGCTTACGCTTTGCTTTACAATAATTTAGTTTTTAGTTGTATTTCTTTATTCTTAATGTGACTTAAGTTAAATCATATTTTCATTATCGTTTTTCTTTTATTTGTTTGGCTATTGTAGCTTTGATTGCTATTGGGTAAACTCTTCATTTTCATTCTCATTTTCAACTTCATCATTCATATTATCTTCATATTCTTCTTATTCTATTTGTTTATTTTGCAATAGTTAAATTTATTTTAAATAATCATCTTTTGAATTTGAATTCCCAATGAGTTCATCATTATTTATATATTCATTGATGACCTTATTATAATGATTTTACAATAATTGATTTCTCATCTTGAGCTATTCCAACTCTTCGCTTTACATCTTATTCTATTTCTATTCTACGATTTAATTCATTTCCAATTCTTCATTAGAATTTTATTAATTTTTCTGAAGGAATTCATTTTGGTAATCTTAATCTACATTATTAGTATTGATTTAAAATTAATTAGAATCTTAAGTTTATCTTTATTATGAACTAAATTGATGTTCCCCTAACCCCTTTTAAATTATGTTTCTTTGTTGATCTCCTAAATCCTATTATTTTAATTCAAAATTCTGTTAACTTTTTATTTAACTATTGTTATTTTCATTAGTTAATCTATAAGATTCAACTTAATTATTAGATGCTTTTAACTGCTATTAAAAATTAGTTTCATTATTTCTAACATGACATTCCTCATATTAATCAATGTTGCTTTTAACATTTTGTTCCATGATAATTTTAGTGCTCTCATTATCTTTTATCTTTTCTTTAGGGTCATTTTGATCCAATTAATTAGTGATAACAACTAAATTGTTTGATTGCGTTTAAGAATTGATGATACATTTCTCACTTAATTCCTCCTTATTTTCTTGGTTGTTAATATTGAAGTCTAATGATTTTTGTTTCAATTCAAAATTCTATTTCGTAGCACTGCTTTGAGAATGAACATTTGATTATTCCATTTTGGACTATGTTTTAACAACAGATGCTGATTTTCCAATGGCTGGAAGATGTTCAACAGCCTTTCCTTAACTCTCTGTTCTTACTTTTTTCTTCTTCTTCTTTCTCATGAGTTTCTCCTATTTAATTTTTTCAACGGTATTTAATTGAGGTTTGGGAGGCGGTGGAATATACCTGTGATTAATCGCAGCTCCTATTATAAACTATTAATTCGAAACATCAGTTTTCTTTAAGACATCTTTCATGAAATCTTAGAGCTAATTTGGTTTTTTTGGTTGCACTTTACTCTGGGGATGACTGCTTCTGGTCATGGTGCTTGTTGACATGGCATCTGATTAACTTTACTATTGTGAAATCTTTTAAGTGCTCTATTAGGGTTATTAATTTAATGGTGGGTGTTGCTATTGATTTGTTTGCTGATCTGGTTTCTATTGTATTGGTTGTTCATGTTTTTATAAAGGAGGTTTTGAAATTTGCACATCTAAATAATTAGCAGGCCGATTTTTGATATCATTCAAAATGGCTTAAAGAGCATTGTTTTAATAGATGGGCTATTGAATGAAATCTTCGATTTGAATATTAAAAGCAAAATTTTCTATGGCCTATCTTTCTTTAAGTTCCAACTCTATCAGATCCAAAATCTTTTTGGCCTTCTTATTCCATTAAGCATCATCAGTAACACAGGATTTTATCGTAGTTTACATATCTTCTAATTGAAATGCATCCAAATCGTAAATCTCTTCGCATGGGATTAATAATGGAAGTTATGCCATTTTTAATTAAATAAACTATAAAACTTAATTATAATAATGTAAATTGTATTGCTTCCAACTCATCAGTACTATGTGGAAAGTCTGGTTTCTTACGCTGCATGAATCCAACAATTAAATTTAAACAGATGCATGTATATTATTAAAAATCTAAGAATAGAAATAGTAAACTCATATTTAATCAAAAAAAATTTGTCAAATATTTATTTAAAATAAATTTAAGCCTCCACTGATCAATAGGTTTTGGTAATGTATCCGAAAATATGGACAAGTCCTCTTTTGTCGAATCATAAGCAGAACTGGCTATGATAACTGGAGGTTTTACATTTATTGAGTTGAAGAACGATATTATCTTATTCTAAATGTTATTTATACCTTTTAGGCTGCTTATAAACCATTTAGTAATGGCATTTCTATATCCATAACTATCAATTAATAGAAAGGATGACACTTTTTTTAGTGATACTTATTGATAACTAAATCTATTGCCTCAATTCCATTATAGGCAGAATCTGTTGTTATTTTTTGCTGCATCAAAATAGTCTTTAAAGCTTGGATATTAAATGGCACATCGTCTACAAGTAAAATAGCTGAACAATTGCATGATTTTAGATTGATATTTTGAATCAATTTATAGTCAAGACTCTTATGTATTGAAATAAAAAGTGCGTCATCGCATTAAGCATTCGAAATTGACTCGTTATCTTCTCGTAAGATAATCATATCAGAAATGTAAAAAGATATTTATGTATATTGCTAGAGTGCAGATTTAATTGAGAAGGAATTCTTTTTGTGTTCATTAAATGCCAATCCTTAAATTAGACGATTAGACATTTTCAATCCAATCCCTGAAGACAATTGATTCTGAGTCATCCAGTATACACTTTCTTCGGATGACACAGAGTGCAATTCACGAAAGATGAAACTTAATTTTTGTTCTGAAATCCCAAATCCTTAATCTTTGACTTTAATTTTAATATATTGATTTGAGGATTTGAATTTGTTTTTGAATTGAACTCTAATGTGTGTATTTGGAGGAGAGAACTTGATTGAATTGTTTAGCAAATTAATCAGTACTTAGATGATTCTCTATTTATCATTGGTCACAATTTAATTAGTTAGATGAATTTTACAAGTTAAATTTATACCTTTTTTTTCACAAACCTGAGTATATAATTATTTTATGTAATCTACAACCTCCTTAATATTGAATTACGAATATTTGTGTACGAATTAATTCGATTACATAGCTGCATAGTCGAGTATATCATTGATTTAAAATAGTAACAATTTATTAGAATTTAATGCAGGCTAAATGTACTCTTGATTCATTGAATGACTTAATTTCGTGGATACTGCTTCAAGTAATTATAAAGAACAGTTTAATGGTGTTTTTAATTCATGAGAAAATGAATTTAGTATACTATTTTGAAATTTTATAAATTGTGTTAATTCCTTCTTTCTTTCTTTGCTTGATACATTTTAAATGATCACTACTGTAATTTATTCAGATTTTAAAAATTACTGTATCAATGATATTTTTATAAATTTTATCTTAGAAATTCCATTTTTGCTTAGCTCCTTAAATTTGAAAACGAGATTAAATTGCTCCTCCTTTTAATTTAATATAGTTGAGATAGGATCGTCTATTTTGATACTAGATAAAAAAGGTCGATTTGATGTTTAATTATCAGTTTGAATATTTAAATCTTCAGGTCCTCCAATATGATCAAGTAACATTCTATTTGTATTTCAATTTATTACTTTATCAATTATTGTTTTAACAATATCAGTATATCTTCATTTCTCTCACAATCAAAGTTCTTAAAATATTATTTTGCAAATGAATTTAAATACTTAATATTTTATTACATATCCAGTACAATCATTCCAATTGGCAGATTGTCAAGAATAACTAATTCACTATCCAACTATTTTAAGGATACTATTAGATTTGTCGGAGAATTGAATTATAAATGATTATTAGAGTTATGGGAATTTTAAATAATGCTTTTTTTCTTCTTGCGAGATTATAAATATGATTTCAACCATAAAATAACAGAAAAAATTACTGAAATAATGATTTGAGTACTTTCAAAAAAAGGATTTCCCCAAAAAAATATGACTCTAAAGACTTGAGAGATTAGGAGTAATATTCTAAAAGCCTTATTCAATTCAATTTCAAGCTCCAATTCGCAACTTAAAATCTATGTTAACACAATAAATAAGAATGTGAAATTCGTCTATTGTAAAATTTATTGGGCATTCATAAAAGAGATTAGATATATTAGTTTTCTCCTTTGCTAAGGTGTGATTAACAAAATAACACTAGCAATTATTTAACCAATTGTTATTATCAATTGTAATCTATTTATTTCTGAGTTGAAAACTATTACTTGTATTGCAATAAGAATCCCGCTTATCAGTAAAGCCATTGACATCAAGAATGAATTATCCATAATTTAATTAAACTGTATATTATTATTTAATAAATACATAAATAGGAATCTTTCAGTCAAACTTAAGTATGTTTCAGCTAACATTCATCTGAGATATTTCTCGATGATATACTATAAACTCATTTTTGTAATAGGTTTTGGCAACACATCGCTCATTAAACAATTCTAACACATTTTGATACACTCTTAATTATCATATGCTGAACACATTACAATTGTAGTTTAATCACTTTAATCCCCAAGTATCTACTTAATTTTTAGGGATGCTTCAAATCCATTTTACTTAGGCATCTCTATATCCATCAAAATTAATGAATAAAACGGATGACACTTATTGTTCTTAATTCTTTATTAAACAAAATCTATAGCTTACTGACCATCATAAACACTGTCAGCCTGATAATTTAATTCTTGTAGGATCATTTTCAAAGCATGGTGATTAAAAGGTATATCATCTGCAATCAAAATTTTATTACATTTACAAATTATTTATTTGATAAATTTAAACTCTCTTGTTGTAAGTTGACTCAATTATCTACTCAATTAAACATCTTTCATTATTGTTTCTGATCCTGATCCTTAACTATTGTTATCCTCCAAGAAATCTTCAATGGTGAATGATATAATTGTGCCTTTATTCAAAGTTGAATCTATATTTAACCCGTTTTATAACGATGACATGCCTCTAATCAATCTGTTAGCAACCTTTAATCCCAACCCTACATGGAATTGATGATATTCACTTTGCAAATTGTCCTATTCAATATTCATTTGCAATTGCCAAAGCTACTCGGATGATAAACCTAGTCCAGTGTCGATTACTTAAATTAAATACAGATTATTTTATGCCTCTTATACTTTTAGGACTATTTCACCTTGCTATTATGTGAATTTGATTGAGTTGTTTAAAAGATTTACAATTACCTATTTCATCCTTTTATAGTCATTATTCACCATATGTTTATCTTATGAATTCTTTTCTAATTTTAGATCTATATCTTTTTATTTGCAAGCCTAATAATATATTGAAATGCATTCTTGTAACAAATCCTCTAAAAAAAACAATGAAAAATCCCAACGAAAATCATTGATCTCAAAAGATGCATAGTCAAGTATATCATTGATTTAAAAAAGCAATAAATCAGTTTGCCATTTTATTGGTTTCAATATATTTTCTTATAGATCCGTATTCACTTTCAACATAACAACTTCCACCAGTTATTAAATACAATTTAAAGGTGTTTTTAGTTCATGTGAAAATGAGTTTAGCAATTAATTCTGAAAAATGTGCTTACTCTTCTAATCTAATTTCCCTATTCTAGATGTCTCATCTAATAAATTGATTATAATCTAATCATGGAGTCTCATAAAATGAAATCTAAAGCATCTTTTTTTGCCTTTATAATTGAATTGAATTCTATATTTGTTCTATAAATATATATTATAATACATCCATAAATTATTAAGAATTTGGAGCAAAATCATTAAACTAATTCAATATACTATTGATAGGATCAATTTATTTTATGAAGTTATCATCAAGATTTGGCATGCTCACTCTTTGTTTTTGATTGAATTTGGTTATTAATTAATTAATTCTAGTTTAACTAGGACGAAATAGATTTCCAAGGCTTGTTATTTTTTCATTGAAGCATCTTTAAAATATTTTTGATTTCATACTTCATTAGTAGTTCTTTGATGATGATTACAACATTGTCCTCTGTTATTTGAGTATTTGAAGCTCTCTCCAATAAGATTTTTGCTCTTTTATTCATGTATTAAAAATTATGATCTAATGTTAAGACAACTAACCCAATTGGTAAATGGTCCAATATTTATATTTCATTGCTTCTTGTGGTCTATGCTTTGTTTATCAATATTCGCTAGAATTCATTCATTTTTGGAGTCATTAGTTCTAGGTCTAATGATTTAATGTATTATTCCTTTCTTTTTTAATACTAGTACACAATGATGATGAGAGTATATATAATTGTAGTCGACAAACTCAAATAAAATGTAGAATTGTAAGCCTCGAAGGAAATTATCATCTAAATTACTGACGAAAATAGCAATTCCAACAAAATAAGTAATTCAAAGTTAGGATTATTTTGAATTAGCTAATAAGCCAAATAAATCCAACTCAATTAAAATTGAAAATGTTAATATTCCTTTTGGTTATACCTAGAGTTTTCCTAAATTAGAAGTATTAGTATAAATTAAATGACCTGTTAGAGCTTTGATTATTTCATGATACAAAATAGTATTGTAAATAATAATATGGAACCATAAATTGATATGGATATGTATTCTTCGAAAATTGCACTGATTATTATTGCAGCTGAAGAATTGCATATAATCTAATATATTATTAATTTTAGTTTAATCATTATTAATTTAATTAATTTAGAAATAGATATGATCAAATGCTTTATTTATTATAAAATTTAGAAAATATCAAGATACAATTTCATCTGATAAGTATATTTAGAAAAAAAAATAAAATTACTCATCAAAATTATTGTTATTAAATTATAATATATAATGCCCTATATGATACTTATTATCTTCCAAAAGTTCTGCAATTTTTATGCAAAAATTAGATCATTCGTTTCTGAATTTTGACTATCTATTAAAATTTATTAATAATATTGCTTCAATTATTGATTTACATAAAGTCTTAATTAGCAACTACTCAAACTATCCATGGCATAATTCAAATAATTAATTATAGGAATATACTCATTAATTAAAATCTTAGTAAACTTCAAATTAAGGTTTTATATAATTTTATATTCTGAATTTGATTTTGTAAACATATTGTGCTTGTTATTTGTGATCACCAATATAGATCTTTTTTAGATAATATATATCTTCTTTGTAAATGAAACATGTGGTTTATTAATTTTTAAGTAGATGACTTCTTAAATTTTTGATTATGTATTTTATTAATTTTTTAGTTACTTTAATAAGAATAGAAAGTTAATGATTTTAATTGAGTTCTTAATATTATCTTTCGCATTAGATGTATAACTAATATTATTATCTTTCATTTTTATAAGGATGAATTATTTGTTTAATGAATTAATTTATTTATTGATTTAACTACTTTTTCTAATACTCACATTTTAAGTTCATCAATTTGGTTTAATCGCAATAAAACTTTAGATTCAGGCTATGTTATTTTATTTTATTTGTTGGAATTCATAATTGAAATCATTATAATTATATTATTAAAGAGGAATGATATCCAATATATATTGAAGATCTAGTAATTAATAAATTCGGATATGCTTATGACGTGTATATATAGGACAAAACAGTTGTATTAATAAAAATTAGTTTCTTCATGGTTCTTCAATGAAGTGGTATTTTTGAGAATCATTAACATTATTTTTTTCAATCTTGAGGTTAAAAACAAATTTCCTATATCAATAAACCATAGTTGAGGCTAATAATGTATGAAGGAAGTAGAAGAATCTTATTAGTTATTATGTATTCAATTGTTTATTTTAAATATTATAAAGTTTAGTCAATTAGTTAAAAGAATGATATTAGCCTTCTGATATGTTAAATTTAAAGTAGTTAGTACAGTATAGAATCTCTGGATTTCTGATAATCAATTGAGAGTATTCTATTTTAATTATTATTAAATTGGATGTAACTCGGTTCCAAGACGGTAGCTATAGTAACAGGGGGAGCGTCAGGATTGGGTTTGGCCACAGTTGAATTGTTACTCTAAAAGCAATGCAAAGTTGTGGCAGCAGATTTTAATGAGGTTGAAATATAAATGAATTTGCAAGGAGAAAGGTGCAGAATTAATCAAGGCATTCGAGAACGGCAATCTTAGATACTTTAAGTGTGATGTCTAAAACGAAGAAGAGATAAGAAATTTGATTGAATTTACAGTCAAAGAATTTGGATAAATCAATTTAGTAGTGAATTCAGCTGGGATTCCATCAGCCTAGATGACAGCAACTAGATCAAGTGTTGCTTCAACATCTGAAATGAATATATTATTGTAGATCAATGTTATAGGCACATTCAATGTTTGCAAATATGCTGCTTAGCACATGATAAACTCTAAGGTTAAGGGAGTGATTGTGAATGTAGCAAGCTTGGCTGGCATAGAAGGCCAAAGAGGTCAAGTGATATATTCAGCCTCAAAGGGAGCTGTGATTGCAATGACATTACCTATGGCACGAGACCTAGGAAAACATGGAATCCGAGTAGTCACAATTGCACCAGGAGTAAAACCTTATTATAAAAACTAAATTAGATCATATACACACCAATGTTTGAAATGATTTAACCTAAAATTAAAGAACAATTAGAATCTCAAGTGGCTTTGGGAAGATTAGGAGCAGCAAAAGAATTTGCCTAGCTAGTCGAAATGATATATTAATCAGAGTATTTAACGGGGTGTGTTTTGCGTTTAGATGGAGGATTACGTGTGCCTCATTTATGATTAATATTATTAATAAATCAGACGTCATTATTTATGAAATTAGATCAGAATACAGTTTGCTTAGTTACAGGAGGAGCTTCAGGTTTGGGATTGGCTACAGTTTTAGCCTTTTTGGCAAAAGGATGCAAAGTAGTCATTGCAGATTTCAATTAAGTAATAGTCTAGTAATACAAATAGGAAGCTGGCGATAAAATTTTATCAGAGTAGAATACCCCTAATTTGAAATTCTTTAAGACTGATGTTTCAAATGAAGAAAATGTTATCTAATTGATTAAATACACAGTAAGTGAATTTGGTGGAATTCACATCGTTGTAAATTCAGCTGGTGTCATTTCTGCTGGATACTTAGTCACATCCAAAGGAACTATTCCAGTCGATGAAATGATGAGAGTCTTGAAAATCAATGTTGTTGGAACTTTCAATGTATCAAAACATGCAGCCGTAGAAATGATAAAATAAGAACCACAAGGAGAATTCAAAGAGAGAGGAGTCATAATTAATGTGGCCAGTCTTGCAGGCATAGAAGGATAAAAAGGTCAAACTGTTTATTCTGCAAGCAAGGGAGCCGTAATTGGAATGACATTACCAATGGCAAGAGATTTAGGAAAGTATGGAATCAGAGTTATGACTTTGGCACCTGGAGTATTATGACATGTCATTATTTTAAGGTTTTCTAAACTCCAATGGGACATAATTTATCAGAAAAAGTACTGGCTCCATTGAGAAAATCAGCTGCTTTGGAGAGATTTGGTTAACCTTCTGAATTTGCGGATTCTGTTATTGGAATTTGCTAATGCTCATACCTAACAGGAGAAGTCATTAGACTAGATGGCGGAAGCAGATTACCAAACTTTTGAGTATCTTAAGCAATAAACATTTATTTTAACATTGTTTATTATATAATTTATTCATAAACTCCATGTATCTTTCTCTCTTGCATCCAATTCAAATCCAAATTGAATAGAATCAACAACTTTGGGTCCACAAAAGATACACTCACTAGCAACAATTTTGTCAAACTTTTCTTTGGTTTCTCTCAATAGCTTCTCTTCATCTGGAGTTAATGTGGATTATGGTCTCTATTCCTATTTTGCTCCTCCAAATATGTTCATTATTTAAAAGAAGGATTGACCATCTAATAGAAAATAGAGTCATTTGTTACCTTATTATTTTTTACTAGCATTCTGATTGGGATTGGATTTGACTAAAATAGATTACATTGTCATATCATATGTCTCTATCTATGGAATATTGGCTTGATGTTGAGGCAAGGATTTGATCTTAGTGACTATGCAATCCTAGATTATATTGTTTAATTATACTTTATGAAATCCATGATTACATGGGAATATGTAGAATGTATCATTGAACAGTTATTTAGCACAATGATCACATTTTTATTATGTATCAATAATTAAGAACTTATTTTTTGTCATCTTCAATTCATTCTTTAATTAATCTGAATTTGCTGATAGCTTTTTCATCTCATCTTTTAATTTCTCAATCTCTTCATTATACTTCTTAAGTGAATTACAGATTTCATCCTTGAATTATTCAATCTTGATGTTTTCATTAAAGTGAGGCAAAAGATCTTCAATCTTAATTTGCTAACTATTCTTCGTAAGTTCAATGACCTTATCAATATCTTAATTTTAAGATAGCAATCTTTCAGCAATCATCATCCATAATTTCTTCTTTTTCTCATCATCATCCTCTGGTTTTTAAGCATACTCCTTAGCCTTCTCAATCATTCCATAATCTAAAGCCAAAGTAACTGATTCGGTATAAAGAGACATCATTCCATAAATAGTGATTTGAGCATCAATACAACTTGCCTATTTGAATAGTCTTAAAGCAAAATCTAAGTCAAAGTTTACCTTCTCAGTCTTTTTCAAGATCGCTTCTTATTCCTATAAGTAATAATTAAGTTTCTCTTTCTGCAATGGTTAAGTTAAAAAGAATATTAAGATATTATGTATACTTTTATCAGCACAATCTAGTTTATTGATTGAATGTTCTAAGAATCTAATTCCAAATTCTCTTTTTTCTACAGGAATATTCATGAGACCACCAATGATCTTAGTTTAATCAAATTTCTTAATATTCTTTTATAGAATATCTAATGTTTATTCTGGTTCATGTCTCATAAGAATAAATGAATATTTTTAGATGATTTCCATTGAACTCTTTTCCTTTACATTATTCAAGTTTTTAATGGCTTCTTTATAATTTTCTTCATTAATGTAATGTTAAATGATCATCTCATAATTGTTATTGAGTTTAGCATATTCAACACAATTTTACAATCGACCATGACTTACCATAATTTGATACACTAGATTCTAATCTAATTCCAACTTATAAGTTTTCAAGAATTGATCTAGATCTTCATTTAATTGGTTTAATTATTATTTCTTTTCTTTGATATCTTTGTCTCTCTAAGCTTCATTCTCATAAGTCTTAGTTTCATGTATTAACTTCTCTTATTCGTTTAATCTATAAATCAATAGTTCTGCAAGCCATCCCAATACAAGAGTCCTTTCAATTTCTCCCTTCAAGTTATTTATTAAATGTTTGAGATACTATTCTAATCCAATTCTAGCTTTCATGTCATCGCAATTCAAAAACTTCAAGAAGATCTCTTCGAAATGTTTCGAAGACTTTTCATAATATGTCGCAGCTTCATTATATCTTTTCTATTAGAATAGTTGATCTCCACATAATCCAGCAATGTATTTAGTGTATTCTGAATTATATTTGTTTGATATCTCATAAGCTTCAACGTACATTTTTTAATCCATCAACAATTTCCATGCTTCCTTGTCTTCATCTTCGGTCTCTATCTTACAAAATGTCCTTTCAGAATAAATCCAAAATACTTAGCCATCCCTCTCATATTACATACCCATTATTCGACCCATACCTCTGAGCTCGTATTTTTGGACTTCCTATTAAGTAATTTTGCTGAATATGGTCAATGAATCAGCACTTAAAATAAAGTAATGGAAGTCTGTTAATCCAATTTGGACTGGCATCTCTGAATAATTGTTAACTGATTTCAATTGCTTTGCCTATTGCAATATTGATTCATTCAAATCCTTCTCAGGTAGAGTGAATAAATTTAATGATTTGCCATTTGTAAATAGAAATGAGTTTTTCCTTTGAGATACAGCCAATAAACTCGTGTGATAACGAGATGGCTATGACTCTGCTCTAGCAACACTTTGAGGATCTTTGTATTTGGTAAATAAAATGCTTAAACTGTTTAATCCATAAAAGAAGAACAAACTAAAGTTGGTTGAAACAACAACACAAGCGTATTTATTATTATCGTACATCACTGTGAATTGTTCTATCTGATTGATTTACCTCTCATTGGGAATGGTGACCATCAATTTGGCTTCTTCTTCTCTTACCTCTGCTTGTCTACAATCGATTCTATAAATGTAGATTTTTGAATCTTTCGTCGCTAGAAGTATTTCATGAGTGTCAGTTTCATCACATTGATCATCCCAACCTACGCATTTGATCTGTTTCCCCTTCAATTGTTCCATTGATCGGATCCTGTCTGATCTTACATTGATATAAAAGCTTTCCCCGTTGTCTGACACGATCAAAGCATGTGGTCCAAATAAAAATAGTTTCTCTAAGATAATATCCTTCCTCTCATTCTTCTTTCCTCCCAGCAATTTCCCTGTCAGACCACTTTATTGAACCTCTGGCAATTCCATCTACACACAATGATCGTCTCTCTCTGGCCTCCATCGATATATGTTATTCTGTCTTGTTATTATCACAAACATATGTGAGGAGATCCCTGCCTACTTTATCTGCTCATTCTTTGGAAAATTGGGAATATCAAATGGCTTATTGACAAACAATTCCACTCTTTATATCTCTTCCTTGTCAAACCCAACATCCTCAGGCTTTGATTTAACATATACTCATACCTAATCCATGTGATCATCATTAATCCATTGATTATCATCCATTCTACCTTGAAGCATCTTATTTATAATTAATATTAATCAATAAATTTCATGTAATAACAAATCAATTTAATCACTCATCATTCGGAATTATAACACTAAAACGATAAGATTTTCTGGGGGTCTCCCATTTTCTTACTAAATCATTTATTTTCGATGGCTTCTATTTCAAGTTCTTAAAGGATCTTTTCTTGTAAAAATTGAGCAATTTCAATCTCTGTGTCTTTATTTTTTAAAATTTCATTATGAATTCATATGGATAATACATAAATCGTATTAGCTAAGTGATGGGCTTCAACAGCAAGGTATGATATTTCTACTCTATTTATAATATAATATTCTCGATGTTATGATTGACCATATAAGAGCTGAAGTTTTTGACAACCTCAAATTGCTCTATACCTTATTGCGCTTTAAGTGAAAAGTACAAAATTTGTAAATCGTATATCGATCTATCCACAGGAATTATTGCTTCTTCGTTGAAAATCTTATTGTACAATAATTCTATATTTTAATAAATACAATCCTACATATCAATCTTCAATGATTCATCAGTATCAATCAAAGGAATTCTTTGATTTTATTGAGAACACATCTTTTTGTATTTTGATAATTTAGCAGTCATAAATTTATTAGTAGTAAGCATGCATTATTATCTGGTAGACAATTTTAAATTCTATATTGAAGTATTTTCACTCGAAACAATAGAATCATTAATATTTATTTACTTCTAAATCGATATTGCTTCTCCACTTTACAAAGAGCACCTTGGCAATTGTATAGATTCCTATCTTTTAAAATGAAATGTTTTATTTATTGGAGATTAATCATTTATATCAGATTTGCCATCATCGAAATCTTGTTCTTGTGTCAATTATTTTGATAACTAATTCTAAACTAATTTAGGTTGCTCATTTTAAAAATATATTGCGAATTATTCTATGATTTCTCTATCACATCTAGTCGAAAAAGATGTCTTTCCTCTCTTTTTAGATCTCCTCTTATATTTCCTTTGTTGATCGTATGAATATTGATATCTCTTGACAATCAATTCTCTGTCAATACTGAGAGATAAATTTGGACACTCTTTTAATCCATGAGTGTTGATATTGCAAGCTGCACAATATTATCCAAATAGTAAATGTTTAGGATTTACTTGGAGTACAAATTAATCTTTTAAATTACAATACTTTTAATAATCTTTGGGATATTAGCGTATAACTGACATGAAATCTGACTAGAAATCTAAGAATATTAAATACCTTGCTCAATACAAGTAAACTCACATATCCTATTGCTTTAAAGGTTTATGCATTATCATTTTCTTCAATGAATTCCGATACTTCCAAGAACTAACCTTGATTCTATACAGTTTTCAAGGACACATTGAGTATATTTTGATATTGCAATTAGCCTTATTCTACAAAACACAAATGAGGTTAATACACCTCACTTAAAGTGTAAATGGAGAATGTATTCTAAGGCTAAATTATTTTTCTTTTTATAAAAGGTGAAAGAGAATTCTGTAGTTCCAAACTGAAGTTTTTAAAAAGAAAATCGCAATGTTTGAAAAATACATTATTGGCTTACTTTTTGAGATCCTGTTTCAACTCTTCAGATAATTCATTCAATAGGGTTTCTTCCTATTACAAATCAATTTCTGCTTCCTCCTTCCATCTAAAGGTCAAGTATTCTCTGATTCTATACTGCAAAGAAAATGGGATATTTCTTTGATGCATATATCTGTTGATGACTCTAATCTTTCTGCTTCTTTCCATAAAATGTAAGTTGATTTCTTTTATTATTGTGCCAATGGCATTAATACTGTACGAAAACCATAAGCAGGCACTTAAGATGAAGAATATTGCAACGATTTTTTCATTCCACGTTTTTGGTACATTATCACCATACCCAATAGTGAGCATAGTGACTATAGCAAAGTAGAATGCTTCCAAATATTAGAGTTGCCACTATTAATGATCCAATTCTTTTAAGATGATCCAGGAATTCCCTTAGTTTAATGAACTATTGAAAAACCATATACAGGAAAATAAATGGAGAACATAAATCAAATAGATTATCAATTTAAATAAATTGATGAATGCTTTTTGCTTTTTGGTGAAGTATTGGGATTCTTCACTTTTTTATAAGGTTTAGTTAATTTGATAGTGTTGAGTCAGAGATATTAGTAGCACCAAGTATTTAAATTAATTTCCTTCATTTTTGCTAAAGTAGATTAATAAAAATATTAATGCGAAGTCTGAAATTGTCTATAGATTTAAATTCACTTAGATAATTTTCCATCTATCATATACTGCCTATCCACTCAAGTAACAAATAGTATTCAATCTCAATATATTATCAATTATTAATATGATGATAATAGTATAAGTGAGACCCAGCAATTTCTCAAATAAAATTTGAGGGTTATATGCAATTTCTAATGGAATTAATATTAATAAAAGCAACCTAAAAACAATAGTCCAGTAGTCCCAAATGATCTTTTTAAAGGATTCAGGATGCACTTATGGGATTTTAGATAGAATCTCATATATAGACTTTCTGCTTTATTAATATTTTTCTCTAATCCAAATGATGAATGGATGTTCATGCGATGACAGAGTGCTATCACGAAATAATTTGGTGACATTGCGTATTTGAAAATGCTAATGATTATTTAATTTAAGAATCTAAATCATCACTTAACTAAATAATATTGATGATACCTATCACTTGAATTATCGTTTATTAATTTGATGTGATTTTCATTGACATTTGATAACTTAGTTCTATTGTTCCGAATACGTTAGATGAATCGTTTCAGATAAAAATATTTCATAAAATTAGTGCCTGTCTTTTTGTAAGTATTCCTTTTAATATCCTCATCCTAATTGATTAATGGCTTCTTAATGTGTAAACAATTACCTCACAATTTCTGCGAGTGTCTATATTTGTTGTTGATTTTATTGTGAAATTGTTGGTGCTTGGATTTCTTGTCCGTATTCTTGAAACCAAATCCGCTTCCAAATATTCCTTTTCATATTCATTTTGTTGTTCTGCCTATAATTCTATCTGAAGATTCTCAGGTTATGAACTTAAGGCTGAAAATATTATATCAGTGCCATTCATTTATAAAATTATATACTCATTTAAAATCTATTTTTTTCTTGTTGTTCTCCATAGAATTGTTTTCTTATTCTCAAATTCCTCTAAAACCTCTCTCCTCTTTAATCTTATCATCATATTCTCTCTCCTCTTTATCACCTAATTAGAATTGTTTTCACAAATCGCAACATCTGTCTCCCACTTGATTTTTCACTTCACTTCTCTTTTTAGATTTCAAAAAGATGGTTCCTAAACGACTGATAATATTAGTTCAAAAATATTAGAGATTTCTATTCTACCACTCAATATAAATGGCATTTTAATCCTTTCTTTGAATAAGAAGATCTAGTAAGACTTACTAAAATAAATTCTTTTCTCTTTATATAATCCAGCTTATTTATAATGCCATCTCTATTATAATATGCTTTGATGATATCATCCAATTTTTCAAACCTTTCTCCCCTATTTTCTAATTCTCCTTTTACCAGTTTCAGTCTGATTTATTTAACTTTTTGTTGAATACAAGCTTATTTAATCTATTCTCATTTTATAAAAATTTAAATTTCCTTATATATGTGGAAATATAAACATCCACGTAGATGGATCTATTCTTTTAGTATGCTTATTAATAAATAATATATTATTGTAATATGTTAAAACAAATCAAGGATAAGTCACTTTCATAACTAATAGTAGAGTTATAATAGAAATATTAAGATGAGAACGACCAATCGAATTTATTCTAGAAACTTTATCAATAATAAGTGGAATAAGAAAGTTCTACAGAATCATCCAATATTGTTCCTCCTATTTTTTCAGGATCTACTGGTTCATAATCCTCCAATTCATAGGAAGGTATAAAACTTCTTGTATAAAGGAGTGGAAAAAAAAATAAAGAAAGCAAAAAAAAGTCTAAATCCGAATAAAGGATCTCAGGATGAGAAACAGCTTTAAACGGAGGCAAAAGATAAAAAAACTCTATTAATGATCCGTAATAGAATATCAGCTTAAAATTCTAGAGATAGGAAGAAAGCCTATCTCCAAAAATTGGAAAGTGATTTTTAAAAATAATCTCATTATCTTCAAGAATTAACAGAATAGGTTAGTCAATTACAATAGTAATTGGACGATGCACAGAAACTTAATTAAAATTTACAATCCTATTAGTAGAATCTACTTTGTATGAATTGTGGTAGTAAACAATTTGTCTTTGAAGAGGAAGCACCTATATCTGTTTCTAAGAATAGAAGTTTGGGCAATTTGGGATTTTCATTTATAGTTATATTAACTATATTTGCTTGTCTCACTCTTAACTTTGATACTACCCCTTAAAACTTGAATATCTCTCCATAAATCTAACCAGAGAAGCCATTCATCAAAGAGATAAACAACACTGATCAGCATTATGAAATCTTGAAGTAAGTTGAAAATAACAGGATTAAAGGGGTAACATAACTAATGGATTATAAAACAGAATACAATTACAAATTATATGATACTACTTATGAGGCCAACTTAAATACAAAAGTAAGTTTTGTCAATGAAATGATAAATTATAATAAAGAGAAGGCCAAGTTAAATAATGGTTAGGCATTAGCCCCCCTAAACTATCATAAACCATAAGTAGATTCATTTTATTGTCCAACCGTTTATAAGTATGACAACCAAACTTAAAAGTAATTCAATAGATTAAGTTAGTAAAATACAGGTCAAATACTAGGATGAATAATGGATTCATTTAGTAATTCCAAAGAATAATGTCAACATATTTTATTAAAATTAAGATAAATCAATCATATTGANATTTAACTTTTTGTTGAATACAAGCTTATTTAATCTATTCTCATTTTATAAAAATTTAAATTTCCTTATATATGTGGAAATATAAACATCCACGTAGATGGATCTATTCTTTTAGTATGCTTATTAATAAATAATATATTATTGTAATATGTTAAAACAAATCAAGGATAAGTCACTTTCATAACTAATAGTAGAGTTATAATAGAAATATTAAGATGAGAACGACCAATCGAATTTATTCTAGAAACTTTATCAATAATAAGTGGAATAAGAAAGTTCTACAGAATCATCCAATATTGTTCCTCCTATTTTTTCAGGATCTACTGGTTCATAATCCTCCAATTCATAGGAAGGTATAAAACTTCTTGTATAAAGGAGTGGAAAAAAAAATAAAGAAAGCAAAAAAAAGTCTAAATCCGAATAAAGGATCTCAGGATGAGAAACAGCTTTAAACGGAGGCAAAAGATAAAAAAACTCTATTAATGATCCGTAATAGAATATCAGCTTAAAATTCTAGAGATAGGAAGAAAGCCTATCTCCAAAAATTGGAAAGTGATTTTTAAAAATAATCTCATTATCTTCAAGAATTAACAGAATAGGTTAGTCAATTACAATAGTAATTGGACGATGCACAGAAACTTAATTAAAATTTACAATCCTATTAGTAGAATCTACTTTGTATGAATTGTGGTAGTAAACAATTTGTCTTTGAAGAGGAAGCACCTATATCTGTTTCTAAGAATAGAAGTTTGGGCAATTTGGGATTTTCATTTATAGTTATATTAACTATATTTGCTTGTCTCACTCTTAACTTTGATACTACCCCTTAAAACTTGAATATCTCTCCATAAATCTAACCAGAGAAGCCATTCATCAAAGAGATAAACAACACTGATCAGCATTATGAAATCTTGAAGTAAGTTGAAAATAACAGGATTAAAGGGGTAACATAACTAATGGATTATAAAACAGAATACAATTACAAATTATATGATACTACTTATGAGGCCAACTTAAATACAAAAGTAAGTTTTGTCAATGAAATGATAAATTATAATAAAGAGAAGGCCAAGTTAAATAATGGTTAGGCATTAGCCCCCCTAAACTATCATAAACCATAAGTAGATTCATTTTATTGTCCAACCGTTTATAAGTATGACAACCAAACTTAAAAGTAATTCAATAGATTAAGTTAGTAAAATACAGGTCAAATACTAGGATGAATAATGGATTCATTTAGTAATTCCAAAGAATAATGTCAACATATTTTATTAAAATTAAGATAAATCAATCATATTGAAAGAAAAATATGCAGACTAAGATGGTGATATGAGTGAGAAATATTAAGAAATTTGGTGTTAAGTAAAAAGTAAAGATGACTTTTATCTTGAAACATTGATTTGATGAGGTAGACGTCTACTATCAATTATTATAAATAATTTATAAAAATTTTTAATTCATTTTATTCAAAAGCAAAGTAATCAAATTTAATTCATTTTCCTCTATCTTTTGCTCATCATTCTTCTCGTTTTCAGCTTTATTTTGAATGAATTTATTTATAAAGTTACCGTCTTATCAATAGCTTATATTTGTATTTTTTAATTTTGAGAATTGGGGTGTTAGATGATTAATAAAATCAAACTTTAACTTTCTATATATTTTATTCTATGGATTTTCTTGACCATTTAAGGAATTTAAAAGTTTAAGATTTTATCAAGTTTATCAGCAATTCCAATTTTTTGTATTCATAACTTATTTTCAGAATAGCCGCATTTATTTGTATTAAATTGCATTTAGACTATAAGAATAATTTATTTAAAAATTTATTATGTAATATTTTAGAATCTATGTTAAATAAAAGTTTGTTGTTTTGTTTTGGTTGAGAAATAGGGAAAATAAAATATGAAACTTCACTTTTATACAGGACTATAAAGGCTGGGTTTAATCTTTGATTTTCTTATAATACTTTGGATATGATCTGATCTCAATGTTTTTTTTGGTTTTTTAAGTTTTTATAGAACCTTATCGAGATTGGAATTGGTAAAGTAATAAGTAGTGATAAAATATCTGTCTAATTCAAAATCAATTCTTTGATATTGGTTATCACCTTACTTAGAAGTGACTACCTCATCCAATTAATTAATCATATTACTGCCCACAACCTCTAATTTTGATTAGGTTTTAGTTTGTAATTCTAAATCCATATTAGAATATGAATTCGAATTATTCTTGCGCAATTTTGGAATACTTGAATTTTGGACAGAAATTGATTGATTTTAATAATTTTATTCTTGAGAAATTTAAGAGATATTAGTAAATCTATTGTTTGATATTCTGGTTAATCTTTAAAAGGTTCTGTGTCTGTTATCTGCCTTTCTTTTGAATGAATTTTATGCTCTTAAGACTTTAGGTTCAGGTTCAGAGATCTCTTAAAATTTGACCTTCTTTTGTTCTATACTTTATAGATGATTATATCTAGATGATTTGGGAGTTTTGGTTTTATTTAATTAGATTTCTGAATCACGATCACTTTCAGAGGAGTCACTACTAAATTATTCAAAGCCTGTAAGTCCTCTATGTATAGATTTAGTAGATTTTTGACTCTTAATGGTTTTAATTATCCTTTCATTTTCATCATCATCCATATTGAAACCTAATGTATCTAAATACTAATCTGTTAAATCATCTATTGAAATCATATTATCATTCACAATCAATGCCAGAGCATGTTCTCGTATTATGTTTCTTTAAAACAATTTTTTTGTAAATATTCTTTCATATTATTTTCTATTCATGTCTTCTGATATCATAAACTTTTTTCTTATTCTATCCAAATTGAAATGAACAAAAACTAAGGGACATCTAGAATTAATTTATTCAATTTACTTTTTAAATTAATGTGTCCATTTACAAATATAACAAACTTCGCCATAGTTTTATTTTTCTTCTGTAAACAACATTTAATCTCTGAGCATACAATAATTTTCTTCTTCCAGAGAATCTTCTCTAATAATTCTTAGGAAATCATCATAACTAGATCATTTATATAATTGATTACTTTATAAAGGCAATTTGACAAAATTTAACTGATCTGATTGTATATTCATATCGAGCTTAAGTAATGAATTCTTTCTCTCCAACAAATCTGCCTTTCTCTATTTTACTCAAAATGGTTTCTCTCAATTTTTAATCACCTATGCGTTAAAGATTGTATATTTACAAATCAAGCTTAACTCTCCACTTTAGAGGAAAATTAATTTATTTGCTTATTCATTTTAATACGCAATAATCTCTTCAGGGGGCACTTTCAATTCATGTACAAAAGAGCATAACTTTTATACACTTTTTAAAGATAAAGTTTATTTGATGAGTCTTGATTTCTTTAACATTTCACAATACATGTCGATTGCAACCTATTCTTTTAATTTCTTATCTAGATTTAGCATCATTTTTTCGCCAAATTCATTATACTCCTATTCCATCTTTAGAAAATATTCGAAATACTTTCTAACTTGTAACATTAACTATTTATTAATTTTCTTTTTCTTTAAAAAGCTATTGATATGCATCATTTATTATTTGAATAATTCCTCCTTTTCAGTAAGCTATTTTAATATATTTCCAATACTAGAAATTGTATATCCAAACAATCCACAAATGACCATAGCCATTATTATAACATAAATTCTTTCTAGATCTGTCTGAGGAACAATGTCTCCATAACCAATTGTTAAGGTTGTTATTGTACTAAAATAAAAGGCGTGGATATATTTAGTTGACCATTCTGCTTCAGTAATGTTTTTAGCAACCAACCAAGAATTTTATTTTGACTCTAATTCCATTTCTCCTATCAGATTCCATAAACAGGCACAAAAATGAGATACGAACAAAACTAAGAAGATGGATTTGAATAATTCTAGAATTGTTTACACATTATTAGATGGGTTTGTAACTTCTTCAATAGTTTCAATCATAGACTTAACTTTTGTTACTCTCAGCAACAATATATATTCCGTATAAGGCACTTTATAAGAGGATAAGATAAACGGTATAACAATCATTAAATCCCATAATAATGTAGTATTAGCATAATGCTTAAGAATTTATTATTTATCTCTATGAATTTGTCCTTAACTATAATATGCTGTGAAGAATGTCAAAATTATATCAATTACAAATGTCCAAGAAGGCAAAGTTTCTAAAAATATCCCAGACAATATATCTTCTCTTTCAAAGTCAAATCCCAATTTCATCGGAATGTAAAAAATATTGATGATGATTTGGGTTAAGACAAAAATATCCCAAAGTACTTTAATGGCAGAGTCTGGATCAAGCACAGGTATTTGATTTATAAACCACTTAAAGGATTTCATTACTTATTCGACTTTATTTAATTTATGGAGTAATATATCTGCGTCGCTAGCTGCATCAGAGATTAATGAGACGATTTGGTTTGTTAATGACTTAAACTTTACTTCTGTGGAGTAGGTTTTCATTTGCTTACTAAATTTGGTAATGTAGAACATGATTCTTAATCCACCATGAACCCAGAGATTCACTTTTTATTTTGTTTCCACATGTAGCATGCTTCTGCTTTCTTCGTCTTGATCTGGATCTGGACTTAAGCAGTCAGCTTTAAAGGACTATTTTTCCGGTAATTATAATTCGATTTTTCTATTTGAACAGAGATTGGGCTCAAAGGATGCGTCTTCGCTGTTGTTATCACAGTGTGGCATTGTAAAGTCTTAACGAAATTTCAAAATCCCTTTGACTGTTTGACTCTTAATATAAAGAAACACTTACTTCCTCGGTTTTTATTGCCTTAAAACTGAATCCAATAATTATGACATTAAACAAAAAATATAATATTTACAATTATTAAGAAGAAAGTTAAATAAAATTAAATACTATAGGAGATAAGGAATCAATTCAATAACTGATAATATTTTGAATAGATATTGCTCCATTTTTAAATTATCTGAAATTCAGAACAATTTGAAAAATAATATTTTATTGTTAAATGTCATAATTTATTGAAAATGAATTTTCATACTTGAAAATCAATAATATATTTTAAAATTTGTTGTTATCTATTTAAATAACAACTCATAAACATTTCTAGTCCATAACAGTTGAAATTTACAAATAATTATAACATTTAACAAGCAGTTAGCAATCATTGTGTTTTTCCAATATTAGATTTTTCTCGTAGTTTCTGTCAATTCAAGATTTATAAATAAATGTAAAAAATTGATCAAAATCACAAATACAACTTCGAATTGGATTTGGAACTCAAAGCTGTATAAAATGAAGATTTTGAGTAAGAATATTTAGAACATTGCCTAAGAGACACTCGCAGATAATTATCAATGAGCAATAATCAATATGTTCATAATCATACAAAAAGTGACAAAAGCAACGATGGTTACGATTTCAGAACACCGAAATTAACAACTCACACAAATCTCAATAACGTTGTCACTTCTGAAGCCCAATAGAGTCACGTAATAACGCCTAAATAGGTAAATCAAGAGAAACCAAAAAGTACAGGGTCAAGCATTATGCAATTCTTTTTTATAAGACGTTTTTTGGAAAAACTTACCTTTCAAAGTAAAAGATTGTAGAATTTAAACCTCACCCATTTAAATCTTATTGATGACAAAGCCTCAGATAAGTAATGATATTCTAATAATTCTATAGAGCTAGCCTGTTAGCTTATAAGTAAACAAAAATTTAAAAAGGATTAACAATCAATTAGTTAAATAGAATTGTGTAAACGAAGATAGCAATAAAAGAGAGAAAATGGGAAAGTTTTAAGCGGAATCTACAGGAAGGCAAACAAAAAGCAATAAGATAAATAACAAGCATTGCCAATAAAATACCACTAGTACAACCAGAGAATGATTTCAAGCTGTATTGGGACATTTTTGCTTCGTTATTTAGAGTGATCCTCGTTCTTCTGGTGCCATTGGAAATCTCATTCCATACTTAAATTCTATTTCAGAATTAAGTAGGACTGACATTAACCATCCTGTTTATCTTGCAATTAGATTTGTTCATTAGGATCAACACTCTCTGTTATGAAAATGGAAAGGCAATAACTGATCGTTGGGAGATCATAATTCGTTAAATTAGTAAATCTTGGTTTACTGATTTCTCATTAATAATAATCATAGTGGTATTTCTATTCAATTCAAATGCCCAAGATGGCTATGATTTGTTTTTGCTCATTTTGTTAACTCAATACAAACATATCTTTGAGGCTCTGTCAAAAACAGATTAGATCTCCTATTTCACTCGACCTTAGAGAGGAATAATAGGATTGATCAAATTTATAACCAGTTTATTTTATATCATGCACATATTTAGTTGTATTTGGTTCTGGTTCAGTAGTATTGATAAATCTAATTCATGGATTGTAACTAAAGACTTGGATGGGTAGACTTGGCAACTCCAATATCTGGAATCGATATACTTTGCAATAGTGACAATGCTCACCATAGGTTATGGAGACAATGTGCCAAAAAATTCGATAGAGAAAATAGTTGCAATAATATTTATATTGGGTGCTTGTAACTAATTGAATTAATTATATAAGGTTTATGGTTCTCTTACAGTATTAACTTTATTGGTTCAATAATGAATGATATCACTCAGAATTAAGTGGAGAGGAGTTAAAAGATGAGAGTCATCAATAAATACATGACATAAAGGAAGATTCCATTTAGTCTTCAACATCAGTATTTGTTAATGATAATCAATTTAGAGTCAAGGAATACCTAACATACAGATGGAAAGAGGATGATGAAGTCGATTTACAAATGGAGCAACTCTTGTTAGAACAACTATCCGATGAACTAAAAGAAGAGTTGGAGAAACAAGCTTACAAAGTCTTTATTCAAAAATCAGAATTATTACAGAAACAATTTTCCTTGGAATTTCGAAATGCCTTATTTAAATCGATTAAGCGTAAGATTATTTAGCCATAACATACATTTTAAAGTGAAATCAATGGACAATAACACCTTTGTTTCGTAGAGTAAGGTGTTTTGCTATATCAACATAAGGATAGAAAACAGAGATCTAAAATGAATGCCTCTGTTCATTAAGGGTAATTCTTCTGCGTAAGAGAATTCCTTATGCAAACCCCAGAATATGAAACCTTCAAAGCTCAAAGTTATGTCAGTCTACTTATCCTATCAAAATAAGATTTCTTAGAAACATTGCGAGATTTCCCAGATGATTTTCAAAAGTATTGTTAATTAAGAGATTCCTATTAACTGGAGAATGAACTTTGCTAAATTCAATTCAGCAGTTTCTGTCCTGCTTGTAATAACTTTGATCATTCTTTGAAAAGTTGTTGCCAAATCTAAATGATTCCCAATAAAGAAGTCATCATTAAAAAACATTAAATGAGTAGGGATTAAAAAAGAGAAGTCTACTTACGTAAAACCTTCGATAAACCAATTCAAACTAGAGCCGAATTAACATATGTTTAAGAATGTGCCCTCTACTTTTAAACCGAGAATCAAAATCAAATCAACGAGTAGTCAAAACTCTAATTGGTGTACGATCAAGAAACTGAATCCTATCAAGGCAACTCAGAAATACATAATGTCTATGATCCTATGCCTTCTCTCAATATCTTCTAGATCAACGAGATATAAAGTCCTCTCAAACCTGTATAAAGCAAGACTTTTCCTAAAGTGGAATTTGAAGAAGAGAAACAAAAGGAAAAAAGTGAAAATTACAAAACCACTTTGCTCATGGCTCAGAGTTAAAGAATGAATAGAAAAGGTTCAGTACCTTCAAAACAACTTTAAAGAAGGAATACAAAATCACCGTCCATACTATTCTCAATGAATGAGATTGCTGAAGAAGCTAATGAAACTACATTAATTGTGCACGAGAGTGATCGCCTCAAAAATGTGAATAACTTTAACTATTATATGAAAGAGAACATCAAAATGTTGTACAATAAACTACAAAAGTTTTCAGATGATAAATGCCCTTCAATCCATCAAGCTATAAATGCACTCCAATATATTTATTGGAAGTATAATGCAGTTACAGTTGAAGATTTTGAATCCATATTCAATTATGATCATTACTTTTCTCAATAAAATTCCATCAACACCATAGATATGGCTAATAAAAATCAGCATGCTTGGCAACAAGAAATTATTAGTAAATTTTCTAAATATCTATATTTTCCTTATTAATTTATCAACAAATTCTTGAAGCTTAAAAGACTTTAGTAATAAACTGCTGCCATAAATGCGGCATCAAAGTTCAAAAAAATTCAGAAAAAAATCTGGCTAATTCAATTAAGAAATAATTTATCTTCAAAAAAATTGATTTCATCTACTAAAAATATAAAATTAAACAAATCAAAGATGAATTCGATTGTTCCCTATTCTGGTGAGAGTTTGCAATCTATTTAAATAAGCTAAAGTTGATTAATTGATAAGATTTATAAGTACTTAAATTATTGTTATATATATATATATAATAAACATATTCATATTTAATCTATCTATATTTCAGATTCTTCTTGAATGACCACTACCTAATTTCTTAGGTATTTCTTAGGTGAAGACTGTGGTTCAAAATAGTTTAAAATCCTTTAACTCTTCGGCGTTGTTGCTTCTCCCGCTGTCGATTATCTTTTCCTAGGGGATCTTTGAAGGTACTATTTATTTGTTTCAGTTTTGCAATCATGTTGTATTAGTTGAGATTTATAGTACTCAAATTATTGTTAGGTCTATAAGGGAGACAAAAGACTTTCTTTTGGGTCATAAAGGTTTCGAAATTAATGATAGTATATCATTCTCTATTCAATGAAATTAATCTACTATATACATGCTTATTACTTCTCTTAAGAGTTCATACAATTCAACATTTTGGATCTTGGGGTTCTCGTTCAAGATTAGGATCATTGAATTTATTAAATTCTTTTAAAATCCTTGAATTTCTTAATACAAATTAAAGGATAATCTTTATAATAGTATATCATAGGGATAGTTTAATAAAGCTGTCTTCAAACTAGGTACAAGAGAGAGAGCCACATTGACAATATTAATGATTTTAAAACTGTCGATCATAATGCTAAAGAAATGTGTGTTTAACTTAAATACTTAGAATTTTGTTATTTTCTAAAAATGCAGGTTTTGTAACTTTTAATCTCTTTGTAGCTGATGGCCAATTTTTATAAGTAAGATAAAAATGGAATTTGTATATTAAAGAGTAACCAAGTTTCGTAATTTCTATGGCTGTGTTTGAGTAAACAAAAATTTGTTAATCGTAAAGTAGTAAATAATTTGGAGAACTCTTCATTTGAATGAATAAACTAATGAGTGATGATTAGCATTTTCATTTTAGTATTATAAGTCTACATGTCCAAATTAGAATAAAACTCAAAAAAATCCCTGAGATTTCTCTCTTTAATCATGTATTATAATAGAAACTCAAAGTCCTCTTAATGGTACACTTAATTGTCTTTGGTGAGACAACTCTGCTTTAAGAATTGAATGAATTCGGAATCTTATCTGAAGATATCCCTTAATTTTTATATCATTTATTAAATTTTCCAATCAACATTGTTTAAAGCTATACTATTCTTTATATTATTTAAAAACGAAAATCAAAAAAATTTATATAAATTCATATTAATTGCTAAATATATGAAAAAAACCATAAATTTACTGAATAATTAGGAGGGATTAGACGGGAACAAACCAAATTAAATTGGTTCATATGTGCTATATATAAAAAACCAAAAAAGAATTTGCAATAAAAACCGAATTAGAATTCGTAATTTTGATATCTATATATCCTGTTAGTTCGCTAAAAGTAGAATGAGATATTATTAGAAATATTAATATTTATTTCAAATTTATTTTTAACTAAAACCCAAACTATATCAAAGTAGTAAGAAAGAAATGATATTATGGTTATTATAATAGTTTGATACAATCAAAGTAGCAAATCTAATAATAAGTAAGTTAGAATTAATTGCATTTCTGTTTTTATTTATTGATAGAAATATTAATCAAGGAATATCACTTATATTAGATAATTAGACAGAAGTTCTTCTCTTGGTTACTTTAAACTCCAATTATCTTAATGAATTTTTGTAAATGCTATCTTACTATTTCTATAAAAGGTTGACTTTCAACATTACATCAACTTCATAACATCATATTATAGATGTTAAGTTGAAAGGTGAAGATAAATAGGATGAGAAATGGAGTGCTAAAATAAATATAAGAATTATAAAACAATTAAATTAATTTATACATGATATTGTGGCATTAATAAAGGGTAGTGTATTTAGAAAGGGGAAGTTATTGATGATTTGGGATGTATTTTTGATAATAATTAATGCATTATATATTTATCTTAATTTTCAATAATTAATTAAATGGATAATTATTTCACAATCATCAGTTTACTAGGATTGAGAAACTAAAATCTTCCTCCCTTCAGGTTTGAAATGATAAATATTATTACAGAGAAGCTCGTTTGAAGAGGTACAGATCAATCAAGAAGATGGTTGAGTTGATAGAAACTGCTGGTTGGACTTAGCCAAAAGTCCCATTCAATGCTTTTTGCTTGAGTTCTTAAGATCGTACATTTATAGTGTTATTTCTCCTTTAGCTGAATGGGAAGATGATATGACCTATCCAGTGATTGAATATAATAAGTTTGGCTATTAGGCTGTGGCTTTCGGAATAAATTTAGTATAGAGATGTCATTAATATTATGATAGTTCCTTTATGCCTACAATTACAATGTTATTACACAAAACATCAGATTCAGAACATTTAGATACTTGTTTCCAGTGGTCTAATGTGTGATATTTGGAAAAATATACTTTGAATATAAATCTGAATTGACAAAGGTGAATTTGTTTGATGAATATGTTCAATTGAGAGCTTAGGAATTAGTAAAGGAGAATGAATTCTTATTGGAACATGAAGGTATGAGTACAAGTGAATTACTTTTATAGACATCAAGAGATTCGTCTGGTGGTATGAAGATTACAAAGAGACCTTGTGCAGAGTTCATAGATAAGCTAATGATCATGCTGCAACAGATTTTAAAGATTCTGAATTGATTTTGTAAGATTTCATTAGAAGATATACAAATCCAAATTCAGCTAGACCACTTAATATCTAAGAGAAGGGTGTTTTATTCTGAAAATATTATTCATTAATACAAATACATAATGTATAGTATGTTTTATTATATGAATAAGTATGTATTGTCTCCTTAGTTGAATGAGTGTTCGATTGTTTGTTATCCATTATTATACATTTTATATGTTGTACAGATAAATATTCTCACAATCCCTTGATCTTATCTTCAACAAATTGTTTTTCAGCTTCGCTTACTTCGATTGCAAAATCTCTAACAGCAACAGATGAGCATTTTCTTGATTTGATTTTCTTAGTTTTGGTCAAAAACTTAGAAATTCCAATCCATTCACCTAGTAAGGCACCTTTTTCTACTTTCCAAACTGGAATTTAGAATTATTTAGCCAAAGCAACAACTAATTTTTTATAGGATTCCTCAGAGCAATCATCAGCCAAAACAACAAACTTAGCCTATAATGCATAGCATGATAATTCAAACTTATTTGCTTTCGATGGCTTTGCATACTTCATGTACACCCTTTGATAATTAACCTCTATGCAAAGATGTTTAAACGACTCTCTTTAAAGTAGTGAGTTCTTCTGATAATTATTCGACTTCTGCCATAATAATAAATATTTTAAATCTTTATTTTAAATTAAAAACAAAAAGAGCATTAACAATATATGAATAAAATTCAAAAAACAATGATTGTAACCAAGTTAATTAATTAAATGAAAAATTATCATTTTAAGATAATCTAACAGTTGTTATCCTCAGGAATGCCATCCTTAACTAACTTAAACTTTAGATCATCTGAATATTTGATCTTTACAGTCTTAATTATCTTAGGTTCTTGAGGATGGTTCAATTTCAATCTAATTTTTAGCAGTTTTTTCTCTTCCTCCTTTCTTTATTGCATTCTCAGAGCTAATTCCTTTTTGGCCTGATCCTATTTGAATTTTTGTATCTCTCTCTTTTGGAGATCTATGCATTATTCGATCTTTGTCTGTTGTTTCTGGTAATGAGATTAGAAGTGATCATAATCAGCTCTCACTCCATCAAAGACTGAGGCTCGATTGCGATCAACAAGCATCAATTTAACTTTCTTTTTGTTCTTTTTAGTCCGATCCTGTATAAATAGAGTACGGTCATTGGTAGTGTAGATCAGTTGTTTATTCTGCTAAAAAACTCCGATTTTAGTATAACTATTTAAATTCCAATCGGAAAGCACACTTGGATTTCTAGGCCACATGATCTGCTTGTCTTTAATTGTTTGATATTATTCATCCATAAATTCTATCACGGCTTGAGAGATCATTGGAGTACTGAATTAATAGGCACATTCAATGTCTTAACAGGAATCAAAGATTTTAGATCGATTGTCTTTAATTTCAGTAGGTTCTTCTTCCTTTAATGCTACTCGCAAATCTTTAAGAGTATTGAATATATCTGAGCAATTGTTGAAATTGCTAACAAAATGCTCTTCTTCTTATTTAATTAGTTTTAATTTTAATAGTTCACGCTGCTTAATTTATTAAATGAGATGAAGAGAAATGAGATTTTCATTGTAGATGATTTATCTAGAAATATCAAACTCAGGAAGCTGAATGTTGAGTCGTTTCAGTCTCTTTTATTTGTAAGTCTTACTGGGATGGAAAGCAACATTGAATCGACAACTAGTGACCAATATAAAAATGATTTTTACTCATCTTCCTGAGCTCTCATAAACACTCTCAACAAGGGTCTTTGCAATCTCTGGATCTTCGCATTATAATAATCAGCAGGGTAATTCAAGGAATTTAGCAATTCATATTGTCTCACATAGTTCCGAGTGTTTGATAGGTTATTCCTGATATCCAGTTATTAAATTGCATTTGAATCAATCCCAGCTATGCAATCCTCTTCGTCACAAGAATAATCATTCTCATCAGGATAAACTATATTTGTATGGATGTAGGTTAGAGGAATTTTATGTATTCTTTAAGCCTCATTCTCAACAATCATGTATTTTGGAATTTCTATCTATTTCTAGGGAACAGCCTTCAAATATAATGCACTATCCATACTTTTTGTAGTTCTATATCCCAGACCTCTGACTTCTAAAGTGGCATAGTAGGATCGACCTGCCTCATTAAATATAAAGATTTAATATTAGCAAATATTTTAAACCAAAACCAAATAAATCAAAGTATCAGTCAACACAAGCCCTCAACTGTTCACAGGACCTCAATATTATTTATAAAATTCATAACTCAATTGATTTATTTTTTTTTATTTTATTAATAATCCAATCATCATTTTTTATTACTTTACATTTCCATATACATTTCATGACTCTTCCCCATCCTCCCTTATCGTACTCCTTCTTTCCTTCTCCCCGCATCCACATTTTATCACATCTTGGCTCTTAACCATTAAATAATATGTATCCAAGAATATTGAATAGTTTCATCGACAAAGACGCTTAAAAAAAAAGCGGCCGAAGAAAATAGACCCAATAACATAAGGCAAGGACATACAACTTAGTGGCCAAGTTTTTATACGTCAAATAGGAGAGTTCAGAAATTAAATTTTTATATATATACCCATTTTTTATATATAAATTCATATTTAACAAAATAGAATGAAACTAACCATTTCTTAATTACAACCTCACCATCAAGTTAATTGAACCTATATTATAATGTTATCGAGTTGTCATACTTGATGAGTATTTAATAATTGTGATGCATCTAGTTTAATGCAGGATTTTCCATTTAAATAGGTTAAGAAGATTGAGAGGATTCATATTTCCTTCAATTTTAAACCCTTTTCAGAATTAGATAATGTGAAATTGTATTAATAATTCTGGAATTTCAATTGTTTATTATAAATTTATCCATATTAACTTATAGTTACATTTATTCAACTATGTTTAGATTGAAGAACTTAAGAACATATCGTATAATTAATTTAATAGTATACTCAATTTAATGTATGCAGTTCACAAAATAAACACAATGTAGATAAAAGCAAAAATAAACAAAATTAAAAAAACCTTTAATATTAAGCCTCTATTCGAACTTATTCGTTTGTGTGATTCTTATAATTCTTTGCGTCCTTTGCTAACATTCAATTAAGCCTCATCAGTGTATTTGTCAATTCTCTCAATCATGGTCTCTTAGAGTCTCACCATGGTTCCCACTCTTTGGAATACTCCAGCAATATCATTCAACATGGATTCGATCTTCTGCATGGAAACCAATTTCTCCTCATTCTGCTTTTATTCAAACATTTAAATCGTTTAATGATTGGCCTCCTCTTCAGTTTCATTCAATTTTTAGTATTTTTGATTAAATCCAACTCTCTTGATTACGCGATCCCTTTCTCCATTCAATCGATTCCTCTTCTCTTCCTATTATTTGATCCTTTATGTATGACTCTGCACCAACTACAAATTAAATCCGAAAATCAAATACCTTCTTGAAGGAATCAGAGGTTTTTAAGGCTTTTTGCTAAACAAAATCAAAGATTGATTAATGGAGATCATTATTTAATTGAGTTTTCAGTTGATTAATATGGATATGTATTTGACCAATATCGTCTTTCACTTAGGAGAGAATTGTGTTCAATTTGTAATCTTAGTCATTGAAGAGCCCGGTCGATTGAGATGCTTAAAGAATAGGATCGATTTGTACTAGTATGGAATTCCTGGAGTCTCTCATTGGCTGTATCTACTTTCTCTTTGGCAAGTTTGGCTGTAAGCAGAAATTCTAATTAAAATAAAGATCCTTGGTACAATTAGGTTATTCTCTTTTGATTGCAACAAGTTTAATGTGTACTTTAGATAGAAATTTCTGAGTGATATCTGTGTATTGGGAACTTGCAATTTCCATAACGTGGCAATTTATAATTTCTTACTTTTATTTAATTATAATTCTAAAAGAACTTTAATCGAATCAAAATTTTGTTACTTATAAATTAGAATTAAAGTAAACCTATTAGATACAACGAGAAGTCTAACTAAACTAAGAAAAACTAAAAAATATTAATGTGTTATTTATCTTTTCATAAATCAGTCATTCTACTTTGTTATCCTACTCTCTTAATATAGTGTTCCTTGTACTTATGTTTTCCTAAAGAATATTCAAAAATGGGCTTACTATTAAAACTGGCCATGTGCATAGTACGAGGATCATCAGGATGACTATAACCAGCCATGCATCGGCGTCTGTTATAGTGGAAATCATGGGGAGCCCAACCGAATTCGGCATATTGATTTCCGAACAATTCTTCTTGAACAGTCGAAGCTATGGCATCCTTCATTCTCAATCTTACGAATTCCTCATTTTTGGCTGGGAACAGGTTCCTAATTTATAACAAAAAAAAGATACGTCCAATAATAAGGAACCATATACGAGTACACAAAATGGCCGATATAAACCCCACACATTAAGTAAATCCACATGGCAAAGGCACCCTAGGTATTGGTTAAATGTTACATCAGAGTTCAAGGTGTGTTCTTGCCAATCTCTGTAGGCTTCGTATGTGGCCCAATGAAGGAATCCATGGGAAGTATCAATCTAATTATTTTAGATATCATTGTACTTTGGGGTAGATACCAATCATGTTGGCGAAGGCTGGCCAATCATAAAAGATATCAAACAAGACTTATTATCTTGCATAATAAAATTTATTGCCATAGATTCTTCGAGCCATCCTCATAGAATCCCATCTCTCTTCCCCTACTACTCTAGCAGCCATTTTTGTAAACCACCATACACCATTCTTGTAGTAACTTGTCTTAGCACTAAATATACTTAGACTCATTTAAAAAGATTTAATTTCACCTATAATTGTACATTATAAAAGTGCATTATAAAATGAGCCTTACAAGATCCTTTTCTTATAATTTTTCTCTTAGAACAAAAGAACAAAATAAGATACTGACCTAATTTTTTTTGGTTTTTGAACTGATAGACTTGTCTTAATAGAGTCCACAATTCCAATTCTATCATATTCCAATAAAATACTCCACAAAAATTAATATCTAAATAAATTTAATTCCTTCAAAATTGTATTAAATTGCTTTGACAATTTTAGAAGATTTTCATACACACAAACATAAATTTGATAGTTAGTAACTTTCTGATTTGATACTCACCCAGATCCCTTTTTGCATTAAAAAGTGACCTAAAGAGATGGGAAAATATTATCCCTAATTATAACAGCAAGATGTCTAACTATTCCAGAATGGGGATCAAAATAGAGTAATTACACTATTCTAAATGAACTTATGTTGAAGAATCTGAATTTTGAGTATTACTCCTGGACACCAAGTTTGCAATTATAATAAAAATATATAAAAGATTTTAAAATTGTTAGATGAATTCACAAATGTTTGTAATAATTAATTGGATGAATCCGAAACGCTTAAAATTGAATTAAGTGCAGTTAGATGACTCTCATTTCCTTAAAATTTAGGTGTTTTGTTGAAAGTAGTACCACTCAATAAAATACTTAAATAAAATAAGTAGCATTTTTTAATTATATATTATAAATGATAATATATAATGTATCAATTCAATCTCTCATCATAAATGCTGGAAGTTCCAAAGATAAGGTTGCTGATTGATTAAAATGCAATATCCAGATCTTCACTATAAACAGATTCAATTAGGAACCCTTTCTAACTAAGCCTACAAAGTTCATATAATTCATCTAGACAATCAGGCTTCAAACTCAAGCCTATGCCAATAACAATCAATGAGATCTAAGGTCTCTTGCTGGTAAACTTCTTCATCCTCTCATAGGTGATATTGCTCAAGTTATCCTCTCCATCACATAACACTACTATCCATTGTTGATTGTCCTTCTTTACTGCCTTCTCGTGAATCGAATAAGCATGCAATACAGCTGATAACATGGCAGTCATTCCCTCTGCCCTAATGTTCTTGGATCTCTCAATTGCACTTCTCAAATAGGCTGTATTTTCTGATTTAGAAGTTAAGTCAAAAATAACCTCAATATTTTGATTAAAACGCATATAACTGATTCTGTCTTGATCCTGAAGATAATTATCAAAGATTTTGAGAATGCCACTATGGATATGATGTAAGTTAGATACTTGATTGCCAATTCTTTCTTGATATTCTCCATGGATCCAGAGTGATCAATCACAAATACAATGTCATTGTTTTTCTTGATCTCATTTAATTCTAACAGTTACTCTATCTTTGGTACTTTATAGAGTAGATTCTGTGATTAGAATATTTCCTTTAATTATTTGAGACAATTAATTCTAATTTCTGGATCATAAAACTTACTAGTTTCTAAACATTCAGTAAAGATGAATGCTGCCTTTTTGATGCTATCGTACCTCTTAATAAACAACCCTTTCTCATACAGGATCCTCTATTTCAAAATACCTGGAGGAATGGGGAAAGAATCATTTACCTAAGCATCAGATCTGTCATATGAATTCTCATATTTGTCTGATAGTTACTCTGCATTAGAAATCTCGGCCAATGCAGAATTCGAATCCTCTAAATTGAGCAAGACTTTGCATTATAAGATGTGACTTATGATTTATCTGTATAATAAACCTTTATTGTCCTTTTGATCCAGAGACAATGTGATATTCAAACATTCCAAACTCTCCTTATACAATTATCTCTTCTCCTCAACACTCAAACTTTAGTTGTTATCTGCATATTCACTACGTATATATTCTCAATTACATCAGTACATTAGCTAATGAGAAATTCCTGCTTGAATAGATATCTTCTAATTGAGATGTCTGAATCTCTCTCTCTATCATTGAAACCCTTTTACTACCGGATTGTGAGAATCTGGACTCGCCTGAAATATCTATACTAATTCCCTTTTGTAATCGCTTTACTTCAAGTAATTTGACATCTCCTAAAAGCATCTATATATTATATATCTATACTCTTAAATCATCTTCACATAGCGCAATAGATTCTCTATAGCATTGTATTGCTTCGATGTACCTTTGTTGTCTTCTGTGAATGTTGCCAATATTGTTCAATATCATTCCCATCCCTTTGTTGCTTTTCATCTTTTGGAACAACGCTTTCCCTTGGGCATATTTGATCAATAAAGATGTATCGTCTCCTTCGAAGTACCGGTCATTAGAGAAGTTCAATACTGTCACTAATTAATCCAAGGCATCATATAGAAGATTGACTTCCAGAGAGCTTTATCTAAAGTTCGAGTAGATCTGGATGGCTAAAGTATCTTAGGCAATCTGTTGTTTTATTTTATCACACATACCAATTCGAGTTTATGAGTCAAATCATTAATGGGCTTTGAAACACTCTGGATTATTCTATAGGATATGTACCAGGCTATGACGCACATGATTACTGCTAAAGGGATGGCAATTGTCATAATGTTCACGAATGTCTCATTTTGTATTCCACTTGAAAACTATACAAAATATTGATTATTGATTTTACAAAATCCAGAAATTGTTTGTAGTAATTAATATCATACTGTATTAATATGCTACTCAATTAAAATAAGGGGTTTATTGAATCATTAATAAATGTTTCTTATTCATTTTACAATATTTGTTTCATAGTGGACACATTAGACTTGACTGAACTTACTAATTAAATATATTGGGCTTCTTAATTAGGATAAACTATATCATTAAATAATTGTAGAAATTAGGTTTAATTTTAGTTTGAGTTATTAAAAACAACATCTATCAAATTTGGAAATCCATAATTTTTTACAATAGATCCATTGACATATTAGGTGACGGTATTGGTAGTAAATATGTTTAAATTCTGATTACAAAAAAATGAGTAAATTTCCCCCTGATACTCAATATTTTAATAAAGATTATTAACAAACACCTACTGACCCAATGCGTTAATTCTTAAACAAACGATTCCCATAAAATTGTTATCACTCCCTAAAAGTGATACACAACTTTCCAGTTCAGTTTCAGAAATAGGTTCAATTAAGAAGGCTGTATGCATATTTGATTAGTTGAATGACTTTTTCATTTGCTGCAAGGGAGACTTAGAATAGAGGTTATCGTTTTCAACAAACGGATACTAAACAAACATTTGATTTGCAAAGTGAAAGTAAATATAATTCAATTAGAAATTACTATTATAAAGAATTTGTAAAATCTTAAAGGTCTAAGCAATTTATTACAATTACGAATATTGTTCTATGCTTAAATCACCCAATTATTGATTGAAGGTCATTAAATTATTTACATCCACTAATCCCCATCCTAAACAATATAAACATTAGTTTGTATTTTTATCGTAATTGGGTATAAATTAAGATGATGTTGAGAGTGGAATTACTTAAGGTACTTAAAGGGATTAGAGGTCTAGATATTAAGACTCTTATTACAGAGTCCAGAACGAATGAATAATCTATGTTCTAATAGTGGAAATAGTTTGAAATATAGATTGTTAAGAGTTTCCCAATAATGTGGTCAATGCTAGCTGCATAAATTAGTTGTACATGTTTAATAAATATATTGTTGTTAGGCTAAACTATTTGCTCCTTGATTTGCCCAATATTCAGAAAGCAACAAAATAATCAAAATGGAGAAGAGTGTTGTTAGTAGGATTCCAAACATCAAAGGTACTAATACTGTTATTAATATCTTATGAAGCTTATTTTATTTTTGTGATTTTCTTTTGAATTTGAATTTGTCTTCTTTCTTTGAATGAACTTTCCTTTTCATTACAATATAATTATTAAATTATTTATTCACACAAACATAAACAAGGATAATCAATCTTGTTAATCGATATTTGAAATAAAACTAATATCTTAATCAAGCATTTATTTCTTGCTCTTATTACCATCAATTTAAGAAACGTCAACACTGAATAAATCAAAATGCTCGGATTACTATTTCTTTTTGCAAGTCAATTGACCCAATAATTACTAGATTTCATTTTTGGTCTAAAAACTGGTAGAATAAATAATTACAATGGCCACAACTGATTATTTCGGGGGTTTGGTAAAATTAACCTAACTCTCATTTGAAAAATAGGAAAATGGATTACTGTAAGATCTTTTCTATCTTTTTATTTGGGACAGAGGGTCTTCCATCTATTTAATTAATTGTTTCTTCTTTATGTTACTTATCTATAAATTTAAGCGATATCATACATCAAAATGTTAAAAGAACTCCCTGGACATTGACATAATGAAATTAACGCATTCTTCTCTAGTCATATCATAGTATGAGGCTTTCTTCTGTAGCATTTGATTTCTAACAAGAGGTTTAGAGTCAGCTCTTGCTGTTTAACAATATGGAGCCTACTCAAAATTATTATCATCTGTATTAATCTCTAATTCTTTTAATTAGAGTTTCTTCATTTGAACTTGAGGAAGCACTTGTTAAATTTGTTTTTGATTTGAATTGTTTAATTAAACTGAGATATTTTCCTTTGGTTCTGTATCATCCAATTTAACATCGAAATTTGATAATTACTATGAGTGCCTGACGAAATAGGAGGGCTAAGTATTGACTCTTTCATTATTGATTCTAGGACTAAATATGCCAACAGCTATATCTTATTCTTGATTTAATTATATAGAGTTGAATTGTTTTCTAGTTTTGAGTTGCTCCATATAATTTTAATTTTGTTTCTTGTAAAATTGCAATTCTGCCATCAATTAGTCATTCCTTTAGTCTTTTAATTGATTTGAACGTATTAATAATTCATTGTTGTCTTGAATCTATTCATATTTCTTAACTAATTAATTATACAATTTGCTAATATTCATATAATTATTTTTTTCCTTTTCAAATAACTCTTTGAATCCTTTAACCATCATTTCCATCTTATGCAACTTCTCCTGATAAATCATTCTTTCATTTTTGCTCAGATATTTCAATTGTTATGGTTCTGGAGAGAATCCATAGCCTAAACTGCTGGTTCCATACAAGTCTTAATGCATTTGTTCTAGTCTACCTCTTTAATTTTGTAACTCCTTGTTCAATTCCAGATTGTTATCTGTTTTATCGAGAAATTCATTATACACAAAATCTAGAATATGAAGACTTGATACCCTTCATATTTTAATAGTTCACCTAACTTCTCAGTACAATTCTCATTTTGAATATTTCCCTTTTCAAATGATAATTGACCTCTCTCAAGGCATTGTTGCTTTCTGAAACACTCTGAGCTTCTGCTGTAATTTTCTGCAAGACTCCCCTCACACTTTCCAACTCTTCGTGCAATTTCAGATTCTATTCTGAAGGTGTCACTACCTCTATTAATTTAACTAATTGGCCTTCCTTCTCCTAAATTGGCTTCATGCGTTCCAACTCCTATATGGCATATTCCTTATCATGAATGTTACGCTTCAATTCAATTAGCTTATATTCTAAATCACTAATCAAATCTTTGTAATAATTTGATTGCTCTTCAGCTATCTACTCCTATAAAAGTGTTTTGGTTTGCGATTGACTACTCACCTTTTATTGCTTGGTCAAGGCCTCCATTAATTTCTTATTCTCCTCATTTAAGAGCTTGACCAATTCTGGAGTTGGACTTTACTCACTAGAAAGTGTGCTGCCGTCCTTAGATTGCTTTGTAGACATTAATTTAAAAGTGTTACCTTAGGCCGATTGCTGCCCAATGCCAAAGTCATTGCCTGCTTATTTAATTTCAATGCATTCTCCAAATCGGTAATGTACTCTTATAGAAGTTTATTCTCCTGAGAGAGGTAGTGTATTTTAGATTACTGACGATTCGTCACAAACTCGTTTACCTCTGTGCCCAATATCATTAATAAATAATATTGAGAAATTATTGTTATAAATTATAAATTGAATCAAAATACTTAAGTAAATATGATCACTCTTTTTTATGTATAAATTATAATTCAATTGTGAAGATTATGAATAATGAGAAAATTTATAAATATTTTTAACGAATAGAATATTAAAATTATGCCTCAAGAGTCTATCGAAATATAAATGTTAAAACAACAAGTTTAGTTATTACAATAAGAACTTCAATAAATTCATCAATATGGCAATATACGCATACTTTGGAATAATATATTCTCAAAGCTAGAAACAATCACATTCACATCTCAACAACCTCTCAAAATCTATTAACAGTTGATGTTTCGACAAAGCTTATCTCAAGATCAAATCAAACCAGAGTATCTCTCACAAGATGCAGAATGTCAGACTGAAGACGATTAAATTAAATTCAATGTACAAGACACAATCAAATCCTGCATTTCATCAATCAAAATCGATCTTAAAACACAACAAGAAAAGTACCTCCAGGATAATTTAAATTAAATTGAGTAATGCTTAGAAAATATTCTCAACTATTCAAAACACAAGTAAACCAAATCAAACCAAAAAATAAGATCATCCATTAATTCATCTCTTTCGATACCAACAACCATTATTAACTTGTCTACTAAAGAAAACTACATCGCAAAACCAATTAGCAACTTAGAATATGAACTTAAGGTATTAATGCAATATCATTCTTAGGATAGTTAAATTAATGATCTAAAAAAACAGAATCAAGCTCTAAAATAAGATATCCAAAAACTATAACTGATTTAAAATTAATTAAGCACCTAATTGGAGGAGAAGGAAGCAAAAGTGAAACTTTTAAATTTTATGGTCTTGAATAATCAACAATAAAAAACAGAATTTGGATTTCCATAATATGATCATTTTAGATTATGAATCTAATTTAACTAAACACATACAACATCATTCTTCAATTAAATTCAGTAACTATCAAATTATTAATTATTTCTAACTCTTTTTAATAATCCACCTATTATTTCTAACTATTACTGTTTTTATTTAATATTGTTAATATATCCAAATAATCTGTTTAACTAGAGCTTTTGATTAATCCACTTATGATTTTACAATTTTCCTTAAGTTGTGAGAATTCATATATTAAATTAATTAAACTCTTTTTTATACAAGACTGTCTTTTAGTTAAAATTCAGTTTGAAAATGTAATCATAATCACTAATTGTTTCGTAGTTTAGTTAAGTAAAATTCTAAAGCAAAAACACCCATCTGAATTCCAATTACTACTTCTTTCAGTCACAATAAGACTAAACTGCCCTATTTTGATTTAATATCTTCCTTTTATAAGCTAATTACTTAGATGATGAAACTCCTTTACATTTTGAATATATATATATATTTCTTTACTATTTCATAAACTGTAATGGCTAGAATTCAGTGATCAAGATTCAAGTGGTGGTAAGATTCTAGGCTGCTTTGTAACATAATTAAATTTATTTGAGTACGGAGATAAAAAAAGCATTGAATTGAAAAAGTTCTGTGTTTTATTATTTATTATAAAATCATTGCTACTTTTGCTAGAATTGAGGAACGATTTCATCTTCTGATGATGATAGAATTTGATTTTTGCTCATAGTTTCTGGGCCTGTGGAACTGTTGCTACTGGTTGATGAACAAGATTGAGTTTATTTATATTGCAAGTATAGTTTAAATGTAACGTTTTGGAACATCTTGTCAAAGTTGTCAAACAAAATCTTTAGAAACCTCACAGATTGACCAACCTGTTCTAAAGATGAAATGTCATTGGTTTGAGCTCTCATAAAGCAAGGGGCAAATACAATTGCCAAGTTGTTCATATTCATGTGATTAAACTCAGAATAATTGCCAACACATAATAGAAAGCTTACCATCACTGTCAATAACACTCTATTTAGACTTGGTAACTTGCCAAATACTTCTTCTAGTAGGACAATCTCAGTTTGAGGAGTTATTTCTAATAATATTTTAATAGCAACTTACATACTATCTAATTACAAATAAATTTTAAAGTGTTTTATGGAATTAACGGATCTGGCAGCGATGTAAAGAATCTCTTGATCATACTACAAACAATTCGGACATCCTCAACAACATTCAGACATTCATAATTCTCATTATTCAACAATGTGTAGAGTTGTTCCTCCTCATTTATTGACCCTTATTTTCTGAATATGTCTGGTTTTAGAAATCTATCTGCGTTCGTTACAAAGTAGGAGAGCAAACAATCAAGAATTACAGGGATTCCAAATTGATTTAATTTTTAGTTGGTCAAATTTGAACCGAAAGAACCTCCTGTTTATTTAACTAATTAGGCTGGCTCTATTTAATCAATGGACGAAGTTTGATTCGGGACCAGATTCATCCAACTGGCTTGAAAATTGGGTATTTCTAACAGATCTTCTACTCTTACAATAAGTTTAAGCATACTCATAAATATATTTGGTTTTCTTCTACCATAGACTCCATCTCTTTGAAGTTTGAAGCCATAGTCGAGTCCTGATTAACAAACTTGCCTGAAATAAGTAAAGGCATTTGAGGTGAGTGTAGTATTTGCTGGGAAGTTATTTCAAAATCTTGCGAAATCTTGACAACTCGTTGAGTCCATTATGTTTTGCCACTATATATACAATGGTATAAGTACTAATTATATTGCCATCAAATACTTTTGATCTATTTTATTATCTAAACAATTTATAGTGTGATAAGTGATCCTAGTATTGTCAAACTGATCTTAAATATTCCCATTAAATAGAAAGCATACATTTTATTATTCAATACCTACACTCCAGATCTAAAATACCTGAAATTTATAAAAAATTGCTTTTTTCGATATCAGACAAATTTGTGTATTTAGCTATTTGTAATTTGTTTTGGTAATCCTAATCCAATTATGGCTAATATTTTTATAGTGCTTATTTAACATCTTTCGCATTCATTATTATATATATATTTCTTGATTTACTTAATATATTTATAAATGATTAAATATTCATTCCCCCAACCTCATTGCAATCTTAAATCAACAAACCAACTTTTTAGACAACCCCACTATTTCGAAATTAATTTCTTCCTACACTGCTCCTACAGAACAAATATCAAATCATATGAATTTATAATATCTATCACTCTCTACTCTAAGCTTGCTCTGAGAATCCTTCTCTCCTAATTGCCAATTCCACACATAACACTCGCAAAATCCACATTTTTAACTAAACAAATCCAAATTATAATTTTTATTATTACGTCATTTGGGTCATCCTCATTTCTATTCGTAATTTATTTGTACATTCATATAGAGAATAATGCTACCACATTGCTATTGCTCATATTGTACAATAGGTGCAATATCAATTGGTTCAACTCTAAGAGTTATTATAAAAAATCAATAAATTGGATGATGCATATAAATATCATATTTACTTTCTTCCATTTACTTATAGTTCTGGCTACACTTTATTTCTTTTGAGTTGACTTTTTGTCACTCGTAGAAGCATCATTTTGTGCCTAGCTCTCTGGATGGTTTCAAATTTGTTTATTATTGAGACATATGCCTTGTTTCTCTTGTATTTCAAAAATTTCAGTATAAATTAAAAGGGGTAAAACATGTACATCTAAAATCTATTTAAAATTTATTATTGCCAGTTTGATTTATTTTTATTAATTTATTCTATTATTCTAGTGATATTGTGTGTAGGGAAATAGTAATCATAGTTGTAGATTTAATCTAGGTTAGTCTCGGATTAATTGAATAACTGAATATAGAGATAAGTGATTTCCTTTATTGGTTTGATGAGTTCAGGATCATCAATGCATTTTAACATCTGATTATAAACTATTTTAATGCTTTCCGCATGCATCTACTCAAAATTCTTAATCTTATTTCTAAAAGCATCGACTTCATTATTGAAGATGGCTTCATAAGTGGATTATTCTATAGATGGCTCATTTAAACTAGATAACAGAGAAGGACTCTTAGTATTCTACCTCAAGAATTTGTGATCATAAATAGATCCTACTTTGTAGATTCGTTTGGGATTGTACTTTTGACTGGGTTTGGGTTGCCTATCTATTCTTGCATCAGACTACACCTCTGGGTCAATATACTTCACTGCCCTTTGATGACCAGAAGTAATGAGGTATTCCTCTGACACATGGAAGACTTTGACAGAAGGTAGTTATTCTTCATTGCCACCAAGAAAGATTACATTGGCTTCAGGTTCTTGTTCTATTACATGCTGACATTTTTATTAATTTTAAATGAGTTAAGGATTATCTAATGCAAAGATTCTCGCACATTCTTAAACAAATAACATCTCCGCTCTTGTCATTATTGGTTTCTCAATTACTCTCCTTTAACGATACACTCTTTCTTAATTCTAATTATAGATGTGTCTCTTGACCACTAACTCTTTATTTGGAATCAATTACACTTAAGAACATTAATCCAATTAATGATCACTTCTATTGCAGACAGGACAAAACTAACCTTCCTTAATTAGATCCTAATCTAAATTGAGAATCAATTGATCTCTCAATTAACAGTATTTTTAGAAATCTTCAGGGAAATCTTTTAATGTTTCCAAGAAGTCGGATTTTGACAACATCAATAGACTCACATATCCAGCTGCTTTGAATAGTTCTCTTTCCTGACTCTATAATAAAAAGTCTTTGACACATATGAATCTTCCGTGACTGATATGAGAATTAATCTTTGATCTCTACTTCCCATCTCTATGTTAATATAACAATATTCCTTATTCAATATAACATAAGTGATATTCCCCATCAAACTCAATTGAAAATGTATTTTAAGGTTGTATGATCTTTCTTTTGATGGATTTAAATAGGGCATTGCGAAACTCAACGCTGAAATACTTCTTTAAAAACTCACATTTCAATATGAATATCTTATAGGCCTATTTATCTAATTCTTCCTTCAATTCATCTGACAACTACCCCAGCAATTCCTATTCCATTTCCAAATCTACTTCATCGTCTTCCTTCCATCGATATGTCAAGTACTCCTTGATTCTATTGTTTTATTAATGATTTCAATTACTGATATTATAGTGCAAATGGAATCTCGCGTTCCCTCATATACTTATTTATCACTCTCATCTTTTTATTTCTCTCCACTTAATTCTAAGTGATATCGTCGATTATCCCACCAATGAAGTTAACACTATAGGAGAACCACAAACAGGCACATAGAATAAAAATTATTGTAACTATTTTTTCTATCTAATTTTATGGCACATTGTCCCCGTATCCAATTGTCAACATTGTGACTATTGCAAAATAAAATGCTTCCAAATATTGTGATGACCATCCAAGATCTCCTAATCTCTTAGTGATAATCCACGAATCCTCCTTATCTATACTGCTGGACCAAAACCATATGCAACTGAACAAATGCGCTATATAAATTAAAGATGCCAAAAACTTTATTAAACTAATCCTACCCCTCTAAGGTCGAGTAAGATATGAGATCTGATCTACCTTCAAAAATGAGTCATAGATATATTTAAGTTGACTCAGAAGAAGAATCAAAATTAAATCATAATCTCCCTCAGGTAAATAGATATTGAATAGCAAAATAAAGGTTAGGCATTGATCAATTAAAATAGATCTGCTTGTTTACACCTTGATTATTTCCCAACGATCTGCTATGGCTTTACCCGTTTTATATGTGATGGTATTTATTTTAACAAAATAATCCAACTATAATACTATAAATATCAGTGTGGAAAATATCCTGTCTTCGGATGCTAAAATTCTTGAATTAAATGAAATTTCTAAAGGTACCAAAAATACCAGTATTCCTCTAATGAAAGTGACGAAGAAATCCCAGTACATCTTTAACATGCTTTCTGGTTAAATTAATGGTATGCAAGAGATAACCAATAATAAAAATTTGAAAAACTATCTTTGTATATGCTCAAAAGATTCCTTGAATTCCTCGAGTGTTCGTCGTTTAATTATTTATTAAGTCAATATTCTTTAAACAGTTATGAATGATAGTTCTTTGCGCTAAAACTATTTGGCATACGCTATCACATTTGAACTACATTTAGAGTATAACATTACTTTTCAGATGCTTTATCACTTATTAAATTTAAAATACTGTAATTTAAAGTCTCTAGTTTTCGTCTTTTTTATCCAACCTTCTCTAAAAATCTTCGAATAAAAAAAAAGGTCATGAGGCTTGACCCAGTATCCTTAGAGGTTTTATTGAATTGAGTCTGCATCTCTGATAACGAAATTACATCGTTCTAGAGAAAATCTTACTCCGGTTTTGGGGTATATGTGATATCTGGAGTTTTATCTATTCTACTCGAAGAGAACATACCATTTTGAAAAACGCTGCTGGGCCGAGATTCCTTCAGACAAAATTCCAAATACTATTGTTCAAAGTCATCATTTTGTTCAGCTCGCAATTCTCGATCTAAACTGTTGCTAAAGTTATCTTCGGGTTTCAGATTTTTCATTAAAATTAATTTAAACAATCACTTCCTACTTCAGAAGGAATTTATTTTTCAAGAAAAATGATACTATGAACAAAATAATAATCTGCCCTTTGAAGAAATTCAAAATAAAATTAATTAGAATTACATATATAATTAGTACATTAAATATTTGTACTCATGCCTCTCGAACGACTCACCCTAACTTTTCTATTGAAAGTCAGAACCGATATCTTTTACTTTCTCAAACCATTTTTATTTATGCTCAGCTCTTAGAGATTGGTTATACTTTATATTTAACCTTAAGATTGTCTTTTCTAATTGAAATTTTTTGCCAAATTAAGCAAGGAATAAATATACCTATTTTATCAGTTGACTAGAATTGAGAATTCTCCAAATGTAATCTTTAATCTTCATTATTTCAAGAATTCAAAATTTAACATGATTTAAAAGTCTTTGAAATCAAAGTCTGACTATTTGAATTATATATTCTATTAATGAATTAGTTTACTCTTTAATTTTCTAAATTGATTCAAAATTCTTTATTGAGTAATTCATAGGAGTGGTTAAACATAATGAAATTCTAACTTAAATCTCCCTTTTCCAATCTACGGAATCCTATATTTGTTCCATCTATTAAATAAACTATTAATCAAAGTGTTTGAGTATTATAACTAGAAACTTCAGGGGATTTATTTTGGATAGTTATTTCTATTNTAAAATTCTTGAATTAAATGAAATTTCTAAAGGTACCAAAAATACCAGTATTCCTCTAATGAAAGTGACGAAGAAATCCCAGTACATCTTTAACATGCTTTCTGGTTAAATTAATGGTATGCAAGAGATAACCAATAATAAAAATTTGAAAAACTATCTTTGTATATGCTCAAAAGATTCCTTGAATTCCTCGAGTGTTCGTCGTTTAATTATTTATTAAGTCAATATTCTTTAAACAGTTATGAATGATAGTTCTTTGCGCTAAAACTATTTGGCATACGCTATCACATTTGAACTACATTTAGAGTATAACATTACTTTTCAGATGCTTTATCACTTATTAAATTTAAAATACTGTAATTTAAAGTCTCTAGTTTTCGTCTTTTTTATCCAACCTTCTCTAAAAATCTTCGAATAAAAAAAAAGGTCATGAGGCTTGACCCAGTATCCTTAGAGGTTTTATTGAATTGAGTCTGCATCTCTGATAACGAAATTACATCGTTCTAGAGAAAATCTTACTCCGGTTTTGGGGTATATGTGATATCTGGAGTTTTATCTATTCTACTCGAAGAGAACATACCATTTTGAAAAACGCTGCTGGGCCGAGATTCCTTCAGACAAAATTCCAAATACTATTGTTCAAAGTCATCATTTTGTTCAGCTCGCAATTCTCGATCTAAACTGTTGCTAAAGTTATCTTCGGGTTTCAGATTTTTCATTAAAATTAATTTAAACAATCACTTCCTACTTCAGAAGGAATTTATTTTTCAAGAAAAATGATACTATGAACAAAATAATAATCTGCCCTTTGAAGAAATTCAAAATAAAATTAATTAGAATTACATATATAATTAGTACATTAAATATTTGTACTCATGCCTCTCGAACGACTCACCCTAACTTTTCTATTGAAAGTCAGAACCGATATCTTTTACTTTCTCAAACCATTTTTATTTATGCTCAGCTCTTAGAGATTGGTTATACTTTATATTTAACCTTAAGATTGTCTTTTCTAATTGAAATTTTTTGCCAAATTAAGCAAGGAATAAATATACCTATTTTATCAGTTGACTAGAATTGAGAATTCTCCAAATGTAATCTTTAATCTTCATTATTTCAAGAATTCAAAATTTAACATGATTTAAAAGTCTTTGAAATCAAAGTCTGACTATTTGAATTATATATTCTATTAATGAATTAGTTTACTCTTTAATTTTCTAAATTGATTCAAAATTCTTTATTGAGTAATTCATAGGAGTGGTTAAACATAATGAAATTCTAACTTAAATCTCCCTTTTCCAATCTACGGAATCCTATATTTGTTCCATCTATTAAATAAACTATTAATCAAAGTGTTTGAGTATTATAACTAGAAACTTCAGGGGATTTATTTTGGATAGTTATTTCTATTAGAATATTACTCAATAATTTACATTAATGATTGCTATTTTTGTTCTAGAATTTTTAAACAATGCTAAGATGGATCAGTACACGTAAATTAGAATAATACCAACATCTATTTTCTTTTATTGAGACACTTAAAAATATATGGAAGAAGTAAGCAAGGAAATAGACAACATTAGAATAAATACAAAAATAGAAGCAAATAAATCTCTAATGATTTCAAAAGATTATTCTGGTTTAGCTTTAGAATTCATATATTCGCAGAAATAATAATTTATTAGCATTTGTTAATTCCATTAAATAAATTAATAATATTTCAACAAATTAGGGAGATGGATTAGATGGAAGGTTTTTACAGATCGAGATTTATAAACTACAATTCAGATTGTTTCGATTGTTTAGTATGCTAACACGTCGCTCGTGACCCTATGGAATGTAATAGTTGTGGGCAAGTTTATTGTGCCTCTTGTTTGCCTAAGTAATGAAATTTAATTTGATTATAGAATCTGTATTAATTGTTCAACTCCTGGGTCTTTCGATAAATTGACAAGAGTTTAAAAAAAAATATACGATGATTTAGTTTTAAAATGTAATGTGCATATTTTTATTTTAAGGTTAATTCTGTGAACTTTTGGTAACAGTAAACTTAATTGAAAAACATGAAAAGGAGTGTAATAAATAATGCGTAAATTTTTAATTCTGCGGGAACTTTATAACTAAAGAAAATAATGAAAAAGTAATTAATGATAACCATCAAGCTATGTGATACCTTATGCCAATTATTGTCACTTGTGAAAAAATCAGTTAGCAAACAAGAGATCTATGATCACTTAAAAAGTGTTTCTTAATAAAATATTGTCATTTCCTCAAAAATACCGAGAAGCTTCGATTCCTCTAATATTTCAACCTTGACTATTTCCAATAGATGGGATAGCTAAAAGAAGGCCAACTGTATCAAATTCTCAGATGGAGATTAGAAAGCATTCAATGAAGAGTAAAATAACAACTTCAGAACAGTCGTAGCCAAACATGGTTATGAGTCAGGAATAGCGTATTGGGAAATTGAAACTGACGATAGAAATGAAAGTGAATTAAAAATTGGTGTTACTAAAAGCAAAGACTTTGATCTTAATAAGACATGCTTTTGTGATTATGATTTTGGTTGGGCTTTTTTTACACAAGGAAGTGTAAGTATTTCAGAATTAATATAGTTACGCCATAATCATCCAAATTCGGGTCCAGTATTTGCTAAGAGATTAAAATATGGAGTATTTGGAGTGTGTCTAAATATGAATTAAGGACAATTGATGTTCAGTTATAATGGAGAATTCTTGGGTTAGGCATTTAAAGATGAAAAATTAAAATCTGGACCTATTTATCCTGCAGTAGGATTGTTTAATACTGCAGGTTGTAAAATCACAAGTGGAAAACCTGTTCCATCGCTATTCCCAATATGATAAACATATTATTAGTAATTTTCAATTTAATAGCATGTACTGATCAAACATTTCTACAAAGGAACCTTCTTCATCATCTTCCTAAGCATTCTATTAATTCCATATTTATACTTTTAGTATCTATTAGTTAAGACAAAAAGGAGGTAACCATAACGAGCTCAAATTTTTAAAATAGCCTTAAAATTTTAACCAAAATAAAATTTTCTTTCATTATTCCGCCTTCTTTATATAATTTTGAAATTATCAAATATATAAATAATTTTGGTTAATTGTACCTTTGCTAGGAGTTTGTCATTTATCTACTAATCTTCAAATTATTTGTTATATTTATAACATTAATATTGAAAATTATATGTCCTATTATAGAAGTATTCATTTAATAATTATAAATAAAAGATCAATCATTTGAGGATGATTTCATCAGGAATATTCTGAGTATTCCTACAAATTTGATCCTAGTTTGAATTTGCTCTCAATCTCTTGATACCATCAAAATCTAACAATTTAGACAATTTGAAAATTGCCTATATTTCATCTCCAAGTTTCTTGATCAATTTTTAATTAACTTCATATTGAGGATTTTAATCCATACTCTATTGCAATACTAAATCATACGCCTAATATATTTATTCAAATACTCTATAGATTCTCTTGTAAATTCTATGATCCCTATCAAGACTTTGAGTGCGAAAAAGGTTTTTTAAACTCTATTATATTAATTGACTCCTGCGAATCTTTTTGTTTTTATACTATTCAATCCTTTTATATTATTGTAAAACAATACGTGTTTCTTGCTCTTTCTTCCAAGAAGGTTCGAGAAAAATGCATTTCTTTTTCCTCAATCAATGAAATAATGGGTTTTGCTGCGAAATCAAACAATAACTACTATGAATTTGTCAGTAGGATTTCTTTTAATTTATCAATCTCATTCAATTTATTCAAAATATTAAACACATCTAATTATTCATTGATTTTATCACTATTTTTATATTTATATGATGATACACTGCTTAATTATAAAACAATACGGAAAGTGAATTCTAGAAAGTTCTTCTAAAACACAATTAATTGAAAAATATCTTCAAATTAAACCTCAAGGGTTACGATCTATTTAAGATAAGATTGATTTATTTTTTGAAGTAATCCAATCCATTGACACAATTGAGTTTCTAAGCTAAAATATTATGATCCTTTATTGCCTACTATGTAATTTAATTACTCTTATCTTCATTTTCATTAGAACCTTGATTAACATATTCATTATTCTCAGTTGGTGGTCGATCAATCAACATTACATGTTTATCAGAATAATGCTTCCTGAAAAGTTGTAGAATTTTGCTTTTGTGTCTTATTTCACTATTTGGGATTTATTGTTATTGACCTTCCCTATTTACATAGTAATCTTATCTAAACTATTTATCTTCGTAGATATGATCAATCATTTTTAGATTTTATTAATGCTATTTGTTCTACGCTTCAATATCAGTACTAAACTCATAAACCTTATTCGATAATTCTACAAGCACTAATTAATTTAAAATAATGCTAACTTGTTATTTTATTATACGTTGCTATTATGAATCCCATAACAATAAAAGAAATCTAGAACAAGCCTCCCAATTTAGATAGCAAATCAATTATGCTTTAATTCTTTCTCTCAACCAAGGTTGTGATTGGACTTTTACGAAAATAGAACGCTGCATAAACTGCATCGGAATCTCTTCCCAAATCAGCAATTTCTTTAGTCTATGTATCATCTATAGAAATAAAATTGGAGTTTTGATCTTGACTTAAATTCATAAGGATTTTCTTACTTAAATGGATAAAGATCAAGACTATTTTAGAATTAATATTATCTAAAGAATATGTTTGCCTATTTATTAATTTGCTTCGGAACAAAAGATAAGTAGCTTCGATCATCCAGATATATAGATACAAAGTCGGATCCAATTTTATTAGGGTTTATTACCTATTTTCAATTAGAAATATAACTTTATTTATAATATACACCTAAACTTTGAAATTCCCATTCTCTTCCAATTGTTGTTTTAATTCATCCTCTTATGCACATGTTCTATCGGTATATTGACTTTAATTGCAGGATGTAACTTCAATTTTAAGAAAGTTGAAATTATTAGCTTTAGATATATGAATTTCATTATACATGTAAATGTTCCTCCAATATTCATATTTAATTAATTTCTATGATACTACATATAAATATTACTAAGGGCAAAGCAAGTTTTGGAGTTAGAGTCTCTCAAAGTCCTCCGAGAAGTTTTTCCCATAACGCTGGAAAATTGAGTGGAACCGATCCAACGTACATGGAACCAAAGGGAGTTAAGTAATATTTTTAATAATTGTTCCATTTGAAAGTCTCTCATATTGTCTGTATAATCCCTAAATATGATTACCTCTATTATAGATTAAGAGTAAAATATGGTTGGCTTATAAAGTTATTTTGTTCTATCCCCAATGCCATTATAAAATCTTGATCATCCAATTGCAGATTTGAGAGTTAGTCATCATAAACCTAAGTTTGCTTGGTGATGATATTTTTTCCAGCCAAATAGTCGATGAAGTTGGTTGAAAAAAATAGAAACACGAGAAAGATTGTTACTATGGAAGTAAAACCACCAAACGACGATTAAAAGGTAGATTTGTGATTCATTCCAAGGCTTGGGGACTAAGCAAAAATATCACAAATTCTTAAGACTCATTCTACTAGCAATCTATGTTTACATTAATTTATTTTGTCCATTGTTGTTTTTAATATTATTTTCAAAACAGATTTACAATAAAAAAACTAATTAAAAGTTTTCTGTAATCCTTTATCTATTAATATTAATTACAAGATTCGTTAAGGTTTAAGGTTAAGTCGTATTAGGAGATTTGAGAACCATCTAATTAATGAGTCCTATTTTTGATCACATTAGTAATTATAAATTTATATGCTATATTATTAACAATATCAGCTGAAAAATAATTATTAACTTTCACGAAAGAATATTTAATTTAAAATTTTATCAATGGAAAACTAAAGAATTTGGACAAACCGATCTAATTTTATTAAATAGATAAAGAATGATTATTAAGCTAACATTAAGGAATAAACATAATTTGAAGAATCATTGTGTGTACCAATATTATTTGACAACTCTTGTGCTTAATGCTTTAAAAGGTTTCGAAAAAGAAAGCTGGTGTCGACTGTCACTTAAATTGATCCGAATATCTCTGAGTTTTATTACAAGAACCAGCATGAATGTTTCTCCAAGCATATGTAATTAATATTTTTCAACTAGAATCTCAATTGAGAAAGATGGTGATTAATTGCAAATATTCTAACATTAAAAGTGCAAAGTTCATCAACTCAAAACTTCTGTAAGTTGTGTCATTTGTGAGAGTATCATTAGTAAAAGAAACTATTATAAATGTTAAAAATGTAAAGCATAATTTCACTTTTAAAACGAGTTCAATCCGATTTTAGAATGTCCTGAATGCAATTTCAAATTTTGTAAATTGTGTAAGAGACAGCACCATTTATTTAACTATTATGCATGCACTTGTTATTATGATTATGGTTATACAAATTCTTTTTACTTACTGTTATTGATAGTATTTTAAATCTTAATCTTTCCAATCCTAGTGTATGGGAAAAGCTTTTAAGTTGGAATGGAAATAGCCTCATTAATAATCCCCAAAGTGATTGAGCTTTATTTTTACACAGGGAAATATATATTTTTATTATTAATTCTACCCTTAATCGCAATTTACTTGTTAGTGTTTTTGGTTTTGTATTGGATCTACATAATACCAAAAAGTGTATACCTAAGTTTACTAGACATTTATGAACTTATGGCTTAGATTTATAGGAATTTTTATATAGAATGATTTATATTTTGTATAAAATCAATTGAATTCTCTACAATAGTTATAAATATTAATCCAATTTTTCCATATCAAGAATATAAGCTATAAATAGTGATATCATATATAATAGAAGGATTTGCAATGGTTTCAGAGAATGTTTGTAGAAATCTTCAGTTTTATTGTGATATTATGAGATGACAAATTAAATAAATAATGGTTTGAATGATTAAGAAGGATTGACAGAGTGATAAAATAAAGTTTATATATTTTAATTAAAACAAAATGAAGAAATAAGATTGGAAATTCATGTAGGTATTTGGCGATAAGGCATCTTCAGACAATGTTAGTGATGAGGATATCATTTCTGCAGTGTAATTTGAAAGGACTGGAAGATTGCTGGGATTAGGAGACAGAGCTGGTCGATTGATAATATTTGAAGTGCCATAGAGTAAGAAGAGAGACAAGGCTGAATATTAGTATTTATTTTAACGATTGCTTAGATATTTGACAGAATTACAATCGCATACAAGGGAATTCGATTTTCTAAAGAGTACTGATATAGAGGAGAAGATTAATCAACTTTAATGGTTGAGAGCACAAGGCAAAAATATGTATATTTTGTCAACAAATGATAAAACGGTGAAGTTGTGGAAGGTCAGTGAAAAAAACGTAACTAAAGTTATCAAACCAAGTGGGAAGGATTTGGCAATGCCAAAATTATAAGTTGTAGAGACTGGATTGATTCCAAGGTAAATAATAAATTAGATTAGAAAGTGTGAGAAAGGTATTTCCTAATCTGCATAATTATCATATAAATTCATTGACTGCTTCAAGCAACGAAGAATTTGTTTTAACATCAGATGACTTAAAAGTGTATTTATGGAGTATTGAATAACCATCCAAAGCATTCGTGGCTGTTGATTTGAAACCCGAGAACTTGGATGAATTAAGTGAAGTGATAACATCTTCAACATTTCATCCCACATTGGATAATCAATTTCTCTATACTACCAGCAAGGGAATCATTAAATTGTGTGATATGAGAAAATCAGGAATCTGCGACAATACGGCTATTACAATGGCAGAACCAGAAGATCCAGCCAAAAAGAATTTCTTTACTGAAATAGTTACTTCTATTTCAGATGCTTGTTTTAGTCGAAATGGAAAATATATATTTTCTAGAGATTTCTTGACTGTCAAAGTGTGGGACATTGCCATGACCAATAAACCTGTTGCCACTGTCCAAGTATTCGAACCTCTTAAGTCAAAATTATGTGACCTCTATGAAAACGAATGTATTTTTGATAAGTTTTCAATCCAATCTACACTTGATTCTAATAGTTTTGTTACTGGCAATTTCAATAGTACCTTCCACATTGTAGACAGATTAGGTATGATAGTTCATTAACATTACAATAGGTGAATGCAATTCCCAATATGAATTGAATTTCAATAAGAAGACTGCGGTGAGACAGATCCCACCTAAATATTTCGAGAATTTGGGATCATCTTATGATTTTAATCGTAAAGTCCAGAAAATCAGCATGTGCTAAACCCAAAACCTTGTTGCAGTAGCTTGCCTCAATTGTCTCTATTTCTATACAGCATGACAATTAATATATATATATCATATAGTATTATAGATATTGATTTCTTATATTATTGATATCAACCTCTTCTTGGGGCTTAAACAACAATATTTTTATCATTGTGGAATATTCTCACTCTGTTCATTCTGAAATCTCTGGTTGTGGGAGATCCTTCAGCCAACACTTGCACCATAATATCGGCATCGTCAGCTAAAATCAATTACTTAGCTTCATCCACTGTTTTACCAATTGCTTCTGGCCACTCTTTCTTATCTGCTTACATCTATCTTAAATACTGATAATAATTATTATTATAATGTTTATAAATAAGAAATTAGAAATTGCATCCAATTCACATTTATTAGAATGCAACTACTTAAATATCATTTAAAGTATAAACAACATTCTTAAATAGCAGTGTGAATATTGAAATATGGGCCATGTTTATTTATTATACTGTCAAATATACTATCATTTTTTTGTTTTGTATTTTGCTCCAAGAACAAGTTGCAATTTTCCTCCTGTTGATCTGCCTAATTGACTTGAGCATTTGCTAACATATTATTGACTTTCTTTACATGCAAGTGACAATGCCTCTAGCATGGGAAAATACAGTGTTATTGGTTGAACACTATGGGCATTTGACATCCATGAAATATGAATTAGGTGCTTAAATCAATCTCTTTAATTTGTGCTTTCTCTTTTCACTCTCGTATTAGGGTCTCAATAAATCTTGGTCCATTATTTAAATTTATTTTTAAATTAATTTATTTATTTCAATCATACTCTAATCAACAAGAAGGCATTCCCTAAGAAAAACCTCTCTCTAAAAGAAATGTCGAAGTTGGAACTATCTACTCAGAAATTGGTCCAGAAGGCTTCAAATTCTTTAAAAGTAATATTAAATGATCAGATGATGAACTTTTATACTAACCTCAACTAATTGATGCTTTTTATATTCAAATACTTAATAAAAATTTATGGGAAATGGCAGCAGAATTATAAACAAAGCCAATATATATGAATTTCAGTAGTAGAGTGGTTGATGTTTGTAAACGAGAGAAACGATAGCAATTAATTAAATAAAATAATTAAAATACTATTGCTTAGATAGTGAATTTTTTATTAATAGCCAATTCTATCTAAACATAAGTATCCATTTAAAATGAGTAAATTTATTTCCAAATCCAAGATGCATTAAATAATATAGTACAATTTTTTATTTTTAGAATTTAATTCTCTAATGGTATTATAATTTTATAAGACTTAATTATTTTCTGAATAGATATAATATTAACTCGTTTTTCGGAAAGCTCCAGCAGTTCAATTATTGAATACCTTATTTAATTCCGCTATGAAAATGATAATATCTTACTTAAGTGAGTCTAAAAATGAAGACATCAATATATACTATTACAATTATTAATATTTCAGTTAACATATATACTGAAAACTATTTATTGATATAAATAATAGAGGTTATAGAATACAAATTATACTCATTTTTGTTTTGAGAATGGATTTTGAATAGTTTAGAATAGCAATCTGGAGAGGTTTGATATATTGTTCTACAACGTACCAACTATGTTGTAAATGAGTTCTACAGTTGTAATGATGGTTTGATAGAGATTGATAACAATTGCAAAAGCAGTTGCAATTGCATACATATATATTTGAATCAGTTAAATGAATTTACAGAATAGATTCTCATGGGATAAAGCATATCTCACATATAAGTTATTGTAAGTGTATATTCTCATAAAGAGATCAGATATTAAAATAAAAGGAAAGAGCAATAGGCTAGTAAGTAATGCCAATGAAATGCCAACCATTAATTTAAGAACAGTGAGTCCGCAATCTCGAAGTCTAAAGTTAGATTTTTTGATGTTATTTGTATGTTCGCTATTAGTAGTTTTGATTTCTTTTGATTTCCTGTGTTTAATTCCTCTTTTTAGATTCAGAACAAAAATAACAATATTAATGCTAAATTTCCATTTTTACATAACTTCAGAATTCCAATTGTATTCCTTTATTGATTTCTATTTAAATTCATATTGTGGATTCCTAAACTGAATTCTCTTCTTCTGGTATTAAATTGTTTATGAGCCCAACATGCCCTTTTAAGTTTTAGAAATTTCTTCCTTATCCCCATGATCAGTAGTATTGATTTCAATTAGTTTATCTGATTCACTCTAATTTTAAATAACCAATTATATGCGTTTTGGATCATGGGATGAGTCATCTTTCAATTGTTATTTACAATGAATGCTGTTGGATGGGGAATAAATGTTTTGTGCTCCATATTTATTGTAGTCATTCATGGAATCTTTTAGAGTATCATTAATTCGATTTAAACTGGTATCATCAGTAATTTAGATCATTTAGGTATTATTAGGATCTTCATTGTCTCCTTCATGAGTTTGATACTCTCTATAAATTGGTTTATTCATTAATTATTATATATAACATAAAATAGACATACAGTAAGGATTATTCCATTGTATTTTAGACAGTAAAGGTTACTTCATTATTGTTGTTTGTACAAATATATTAGAAATCTAGAATTAATTAGTATTTATCAAGTAAATTTATTGTACTGTAAAGAGGGTTCTAATCAATTTGATAGGTAATTCTACTTTTATTTGCAGAATGGTTACACTTGTAATAAATGAGTTTACAAATCAGGGTAGTTGATGTTAAGATTGCGAACCATGAAAAACTGTCAAAAATTAATTATTATTTTAATAAAAATGGGTTGTGTTGCTTAGAAGAAAAAAGTGGAAAAGCAAATATATAGGATGGAAACTTAAATAAAGAAGTTGGTTTAGTAGAATGAAGAGATGACAAATCAGATCAATACTATGAGAGAGTAGGAATAATTGCTATCACAACTTTGTGAACAGAGATCTGAAAGATAGGTATTTACTTAATAATCTATAGAGAATAGATTTGACTGCTTTGACAGATGAATTAAATAGTCGATTTGAAAAGTTGAGAAATGATCTCAAATAAGTTGATATTCTTTGTGAGGAACAGAAACAAGCAAAGCTAAAAGAGATGCTGGAATGGAAGAATGTATGTGATGTATTAATAATGCTAGTTATTTGATAAATTGGATAATGTATCCAAGAATAATTTATCTCAAATATCAGAGGAAGACGAATATTGAACCTATTTTTGTATATAAATATATATTTATATAATAACAAAGTGAATTATATTATCATAAATACTACTACAATATTCTTTGGAGATCATTTAATTAGATTGGTTTGGTTAAGTAATCTTTCATACCTGCTTGTAAACATTCATTTTTCTATTCATTGCTTTCATATGCAGAACATCCTATTATTGTGATATTTATTCCGAATTTCTAGGATAATTCTAACAATTTCTTAGTTGTCTAAATTCCATTGATACTTGGCATTTCCAAATCCATAAAAATCAATTTATAAAACTCATGATTGATTTACCATTTTTTTTCACACTTCTCTATTGCAGAATACCCATTGCATGCTGAGTCTACTGAATCAAATCCTCTTATAATATTATTTTAAATTTACAATCTATCTAGTTTCAACTTCATCATTTCAATATTCATACAAGTGTCATCGACAATCAATATTTGAAAAGTCATAATAGCCTTTGTTGATCTTTTGAAAATTGAGATGTGGTTGTGCACATACACTTTATGGATGCTTTCCTCTTATTATTGTTGCATAATTATAGACTCTTCACTATCTTGATTACGTTCTTCCAAACTGTTCAAGGATTAAATTTCATTTAAGTCTTAGTATCCTATTTGAAAATAGAATATGGAGCCTAACTTAATTCGTACAAACTACCTTTCTTATATTAAGATTTAAATTTTAGACCGCTTTGCAAGTCCTAATTCAAATTCTAAAGTATCTGATTGCTGATTAACAATCCTAGGCCAACCCCAGATTTATTCATCTTTTTATGTTCTTCACTATTGCCTTTACCAAAAGCTTAGAATATTTTGGCTTGATCCTCCTCTGTGATACCTATGCCTGTATCAATGACTGATACATCTAATTTCTGATTGATTAATGAAACCTTGATGGTTACTGATCCATCATCTGTGAATTTGAATGCATTACCCAACAGATTGATCATAATCTATTTCAGTCTACTTGAATCAGAGTAAATGAACCTTGGAGCCTTGCTTTCATAATTTATAAATAATTTTATTTATTTTTTTTCAGCTGTAACCTGAAATAAATCTGCGCAACTTTCAAGTAATAAATTAAAATTAAATTTGGCTTTGTTGATCTTAAATTTACCAACTTTTATTTGAGCCAAATCCAATAAATCATCACTTAAATTTAGTAAATATTTGGCATTGTCCAAAGCAATTTTTATTTGTTTATTTATTTTTATAGGATAATTCGCCTTCATCACTCTCCTGCACTCTTTTTCCATGATTACTGTCTGTGATTAATGTTTTTATTCTTCATCTATTCCTAATTCCAACATCTCTATGATACAATTCAAAGGAGTTCTATATTCATGACTGACAAATGACAATGTTGTTGATTTCTGTTTGCTATATTCTTATAAGGCTTAAATGTAATCTCGATGAGTTATATCCCGTATCAACATCAAAATATAGGGCGTGTCACTGATTAAGGCATTGTACAATTTCACTTCAATTACTCTTTTTCTATTACCATCCTATGGTTTCTAGTATCCATAAATAACTATATGTTCCTGAATGAGTTCATTTGAATTTTTCATCTAGCTCTGAAATTCAGTTTTACTTAGTTGTTAAGCCAGCAATCTGATCTCTTGTTCCAAGATCTAATAATGTTCATATATATAAATATTACTGTTTCTTCACTCAAAGTATCACATTTTTTTAAGAAAACTCCTCTACTTTCTAGGGAACTGAACACTGAATTTTGTCTTAGTATTTCTATTTTCTGAGATGATTACAACTAATTGGTTTGGGATCTTCTTTGGTTACGAAAACCCTTATGAATGAAATTACATGGAATTGGGGTTTGTTAAAATGTAGAAAATGAGCTCATTGAATTTCTCTATTCTTATTGCTGCTTTTGTTAAATATCAGTTATTTATTGTTGTTCTAAGTGGAATAATTTCTATAGAATCTCATCAGATGACTCTGCAGTAGACAACTTCAACATATTTTCATTATGATATTCCAATTCTAGTTTCTTATCACAAACTTTGAATAACCCTATTCCTTGAGGGAAGATGCTTAGGATCTCCAATTTGTTGTCTCTTGGACTGTCATTGTTACTTGGCTTGTCTTGGAATTTGACTCTGGAATGATTATTCGTATGACCTGCACTATCAATCACAATTTTGTCAGGTATTTCTCCCTAGGTGTAACTATCGATGTTCCTCCTATGCTTTTTATGTTTGGAATTATAAAATAAAATTAGCCAATGAAGTAAAATCGCTACTATCGATAGGTGAACTTCTTTCACGCTGTTAATTGAGCATAATATAAATAGTATAACTTCAGAAACTATGTGATGCACAATCAATAGCTTCTTAAGTTATATCGTTTATAAATTTATTTTTGTATTAAAGAACTCTTTGGTATTGCATAATGCTAAGACTTACATAGAGCAATGGTTAGAGCCAAAATAAATGGCCAAAAGCAAACTCCATTGTTACATCAAATCAAAATATTGAATATACTCTTTGATTTAAGTGATGAAACATAATATAATTCTTAAAACCTAAACAAGTACTATCAATGCAGCTATTAATATTGTGCCGTTTCCAAAGATATTCTGAAACATCACCAATAGAGTCACAATCATCATCACCAAGTTATCTTTAAACACTCTTTTGAATCTATTCATATCACAAAAAATAATTAAATAATATAATCAATTAAGTTCTCATCAAATACTTAAGTGGATTCGATATTTAAATGAATACTTTTTCTATTATCCTCCAACTCACCCCAAATTCCACCCTTTGTTAAACTGGCAAATTGTGAACCATCCTTTTAAGAATAAATTCATAAAAGCCAGTTTATTCATTTTATTTCTAACTGTACAAACAAATAACAATACTTATTGTTTTCAACTAATCACATAAAATAATTTCATTTTATATTTATTACAAAAAGCCAAATTTGAATTCCTTTAAGAAAAAATAAAATCAACCTCCGAAACCCTTTATTATAAAAGTTAACAATGGATTCAAAAATCCTTAATATTAATGCCTAAGGATTAAATTTAAATAATCGGAATTTAAATTATTTCGAAGATAACCAAAAGTATATTGCTATATATTAAAAATTATAAAATTTTGAAAATTCAGTTGACTTAAAAGAACAAAATTTCTCAATAAACTAAATATATTTCTAATAAATTAATAATATATTATAAAATAGTATAGTTAAAAATCTATTTAAATAGAAATAAGAATATATTAATTAATAGGAATGTTAATTTTCATATGGCTTTAATTAAAATCTCTTTAAATTTTTAAATGATATAATTTAGAGTCTGATTTTTTACACTACGCAACAGAAATTATTGATATTAATCTCTAGCAAAACATTAAAACTGGAAATGAAAAAGACCTAATTCGGTTTAAAACATGCATAAAGAAACATTCTTGGTAATATTCTGCATTCCAAAAAAAATAAAAAAAATGTATTATAAATATAAATACTTGTTTTCTACATTGAAATTCAATCCTAATAAGAATTATTATCAAACCCTCAATCTCACAAACAAAGCAACTTAAGATGAAATTAAGAGTGCTTTCTACACTCTTGCTAAATTATATCATCCTGATAAGAATCCGAATTCAATTGATTAATTCAAGGCAATTAATGAGGCTTATGAAGTCCTTAAAAATCCTACCACAAAAAAGGACTACGATGAAATTTAAGTAAACCCTGCAAAGTATTAGAAGTAGCAATATGAGAGATAATATTATTAATAGAGTTGTAATAAAATATTGGAATTTTAGCTTATAAGTATTACAACCAAAATCAAGAATAATTTAGATAAGCATATGATGAATATCAAAAACAATAAGCGTATAAATAATATCACTCATATTAACGTTCAGGGTATGATTACTAAGATCCCTTCAGAGATTATTATAAGTATATGAGAGATGAACAATATGTAATTATTATTTTTTATCACTCTTTAGGACAATCATTCTGGTAGGAATTCAGGTACAAGATATTTAATAATATTTATGATGGCAGCATCAGCTTTTATATTTTTTGAGTTACTTGATCTATTTGCAAATAATAAGAAACTTATATTGACTGACTAAATTACAGGATAATAATATGTAACAACAAGGCAAGAGTTAAGAAGTAAAGCATACATTAGCAGAGAACAGTAAGAGTTTGAAAGAAGAAAAACGGAGTATAAAATCATGTAATAGGAAGAGATAAGAAGAATTCGATAAAGAAAACTTGAATAAATGATTGAGAAATGAATAAGTATTAAAAATTTATCTGAAAGTAATCTATTTATCATTTGACTTAATATTGATTCTTCCTTTTATCAAAAGGCATAATATGGTAGTAAAAGATTAAGAAATTTTGAAAAAATTCACCTTAAATTTTAATTCTATTACATTTTTAATTTTTTGTTTTATAATAGTTTAATTGATAGTAAAATGAAGATAGAATTTAGAGTTAAAGAAAAATAAATAATATATCATAGGTTATTAATTTTAACTAACCCCAAAGATTGTAATTTTACATGATTTTCAAAAAATAAATTTAAAGACTAAATTTTTACTTATGAAACATTAAATTAAGGACTTCAATATTTGCTTCATCTATTTCTAATATTATTTTCTTAATAAAAAAAACAATTTCTTATTAAATTATATTTAAAGTTATGATGATAGAATAAGGGAGTTCAATTAACAATTTCTATTATTAGAGCTAGGGATGTCTATAATTGATCAAAACATATTCTAAAAATGCTTGAATGATCAATTGAATTCAAATATTCAATTTGAATCAAACTGTAATCAACAAGTTATGATTGAAAATCAAGAATGGTAAGAGGGACAAATCAAAACATAATGATTTGGGTAGTATTTAATAGAAACCAAGCTTATTTTAAATAGAATAAGATAGTAATAATGAGAAAGAAGATTAAAAAATTTACCCAAATTTGAGATGGAATAATTTTGAAAAATTATCTGTTATTAAATGAAAGTTCAATTCTAAGCACATAAGGATTGGACAATTTTTTGTAATAGAAATTGAGTAGAAAATGTTCAAAAGATAAGTAGGTGTCAACAAAAATATCTGATTTGAGAGGAATTTATTAATCCGACTTGTAATCCAAGATTGCTTTTATAAAATCTATCAACAAGCAATTTATCATTGAATTGATAAGCAGTCCTTAAATCGAGTATCCCTTAGAGTATTTAAATGGAATTAGTACTTATTTTGCTACTGCTAACTAACCTGAGTATATGATTAGTAGTCATATAATAAAAAAAAAATAAGAATGTGATTAATTAGTGTTATATTCTAATAGAATTTGTATTTTTTCATTTAAACTCATCATTATTAGAACATTTTATTTTAATTATATTAAGAGATGTACTTTAGTTAGAAATTTGGAGAGGATGACTCTTCAAACTAATTTAATTTTTAGGAAAATCCATCATCAAGGATCTTTTCTTAATAAGATTATGAAATAGTAAGTATTATTAATATAGAATATTTAGAGAACAGACCCTTATGTAACATAAACTTAGATGATATCCAGCCTAATCAATCCGAAAAATGAAAAGTTTTGCTTTAAGAATTTTCCTAAGCTCTTGGGGAATAAATTGGTCAAGAAAATACGTAAAGAAGCTAAGGTTCCAAATGGAATCCAAACTCTCAAAGAAAAACGAGCTAAGACTCGATAATCAGAAATTAAAATACAAGATTTATAGTAAGTTTGTAAAACTGATGATGTTTCAAGATAGTATTTTCAAATCTTTGTTGGTTATGACATGTTTTTACATGTCTTAAATAGTAACAAAATTGAGGATCCTATCCGTCTTATACCTGTTATTAGTAATTATTGGGCAGCAGCCAATGAGCCTGATAAAATGATAAGCAACTCCTTAATGAATAAATACTTTTAATCCTAATGATATGATATATATCATATTTAATCAAAAAGTAATGAATTTAAATAAATTTTTCATTCAAATTTTTCTTATAATTATAAAATAAAAATTTAATACTCAAAGCATAGATTTAATAAATTTTGAATAGTAAATTTTAATTAATAAATCATACGTATTGAGTTTAAAGAGGAAGAAAATCAATCTAATCATAAGAGTCTAAGATTTGCAATTGGATATTAACAAAAGTGAGTACTTAGGATCAATGCTTAAGCATTTTAAACCTCACATGACTAAGGAAGAACAGTTTATATGGAACCTGATTACTTATAATACATATTGAATATGTTTTTATGTTTTATGTGATAATGAAATCATGCAAAGGTCTTTTTGGTCATAATATTGTAGAAATCTTCAAATGTTACTTAAGCATCTCCATCTGAGTCAGCTCTATCAATCATTTCTTACAATTCTGAATCATCCATGGTTTCTCCTAATTCTTTGGCTACCTTTCTTAAATCCTTTAAGGTAATAACTCCTGCTCTCTCTGAATCAAACAAATTAAAGACTTTCTATTATGATTTAAGAAATATTATACTTAGATATCAGCTTTTGAATCTCTCTCACTAATTCTGGCTGTCATCAATTTCAAGAATTCTGCAAAATCAATTTAACCACTTCCATCTGTATCTAAATCACTAATCATTTAGTAAATGGTTTGATTTTTTGCTTCAAATCCCAAAGAAGTCATTGCAGCTTTTAATTCCTTTGGGTCGATTGATTAGGTGCTTAATGATGATATAAACTAATACCCGTCTGTGTCGAATAAGTCAAATGCTTCCTTGATTTCCAAAACTTCCTCTTCGGTCAAACCAGGTTTAACAAATTCTGCTGGATTGAATTTTCCTGTTTGATTCTTTTAAGCAGGGGGAGCTTATTATGGTGGTGGTTACTATCCTCTTCGTGCCATTTATTAAGAAATATAATTATTTATTAAAAGATATTCACTAATTTATTTATGTATTTCTAATATTTATTTTGTTTTATATATTAAAAACCAAAATTGGTTTTCGAATTATCAGAAATTTATAATAAACAATCATAGAAAATAATAAAAAGCTGGAGAATTCTAATTAGAATTAAGATCCATCTGTCTATTCCATATGTAATTTCAATTAAATCAAATTACTACCTTCAAATTCATTATTATGTATATTATTTGTACAATAATCAAACATCTTTCTTTACAAACTTTGATAACATGGTCCATTCATAATTGAAAAATCAAAAACATAGTTTTATTTTTAAGATCTTTGGACTATTCCAATATAAAATGTAAAATTATTAAATGTTCTTAAAGATTAAATTTATGTCAAAGAGAAACTTGAATTATTTTATTCAAAATCTATGACTTTTGATATGTTTTATAGTTATTGATACTAGAATTAGCAGTTGAAATTGAAAAAATCTGGTATATCAGAATCGATAAAGGCCTGATTTGAATAATTAATAATACAATGCGATAAAATGTTTATAGAGATAGTCAATATTTAATGGAGTAAAAATGAAACTCAATTTGATTAAATATTTAAGCTGAAGGTTCTTTTGAGGTTCTATTTCTTATTTCTATAGTCATTATTATTATCTCCGTAGTAATCATTCTTTATCAATCCTTAATCGAGCAAGTTCTGTATTTTCAGAACATGTACTTTATTGTTTCTAGGATATTTAAATTGTTAAAGTATTTTACATTAAGGATTAATTGTCATTGTCTATGTCAAGACTCTATCAAACAATGAATCAAATTGAAATTTGAACTATTTTAATACATTACCTAATATGCTTATATAATTTATTACTATTGTAAGGTTCTGCTTGTTTTTTTAAGATTTGATTTTAGATTTAATTTTTAAACTCAAATGAATTTGCACTATTGCATTCCTAATCTCTTTTAAGAAACAAGGAGGATCGATCAATAACTTGATAAATAGGCAAAAATATGAGGTAAATCAATATAATGGAGATAAATATTAATAGAATGAAAATTGACAGTACAATTTAAGCAATCCATTAAATTTCTCTATAAAATATTTAATTTAGATTTTTCATTTAATCAGATATATCTTTCTCTATTTACAAATCATTAAAGAGAATTAAATAGTAGTTGATGTTTCTAAGCTTTTGTATGGTTATTACAACGTCTTTTTCATAAACTGTATTGTATCTACATAATACATTATGCGTTTTTAAATTGCAAGTAGACTATATTGTATTTTAGTTATAATAGCTAATGAGAGAATTCCAATCTTCAGCATTGAACCCAGTAATTTCTTAATCTGCGAAGTTTTTTAGTTCGGATGAATTAGTTATTTATTTATTTTTATAGTTTGTTAATAACAATTGCCCTTTTTGATCAGCTATCATAATATTGATTGCCTAAACTCTTATCATCTTATTTGAAAATACAATGTCAGAACAATATATCCCTTGAACATCCAATACTAAATTGAGCATCGATTACGTCATAGTCATCGAATAAGTAGATTCAGTTCCAAAATATTTGTAAACATCGCTTAACTGAGTATTATTGTATTTATCCTCTTTTAAATTTTCAAAATGCTATTGATACCACAGTCTCTCTTTAGGATGGTAACCATCTACTTTTACAATCTAAGGGTAAATGTAAGTGAATTCATTTTGGTCAATTGAGGAGGAGAAATAAAACTGGTTAGGAAAAAAAGGATCTTCTAAGCCCATCAAACCTAGAATAACCGAGCTTACTAAATAGGTATGATTTCTAAGGGTCTACTCAATTGGATCTTCCAAGGGTTCGACATCATTTTATTTAAGTGCCATATACGAATAACATGGTATAGAAATGAGATGATCAAGAGGCAAGACTGAAGAGTTATAGTCACAGAGGCGAGTGATTGGTTTATTGATCCAAATGTTATTTTTTAATTAAAGCCAATATAACTAATTCAGATTAGTCAGGGTAATTTATGCTTGAATGATTTATGAAATTATACTTCTTGTAAAAACAGAATTTAGTTATCCATTTATAGAATTGGCGGAATTGGTTAAATGATTAAACATTTCCTTGAGCATACTATCCTTCTCACAATCACTTAGGATCTCCTAAATGTAATACAAATTAATCGTCTAGGCCAATATTATCGAAGGGATGATTATAGCCAAAATTACACAATTGATAATTAAAATCTGCGTTCTCATTTTAAATTTTCCTAATTTAGCGCTAAAACACCGACTTAAAATAGAAGTCTAGGCCAATTAATTCATGAGTTGACTGATTAATAAATAATATAATAGATATCACTCAGATTATTATATAAAGACTTGATATATATATTTGTTAAAATTAGAAAAAAATACGTATACGTAATAATAATTTAAGGTTATTGTAAAATTACCTTCTTAAGATAGTAAATTAAATTAAAATATATTTTTTCAGAGTTTAGGGTAATTATCACTTCTTTGGAAAGGAATGCTCATATGAGTCAGCAAAGAATTTTACATAAAACTTCCTTATTTACAATAATCAATTAAGTTTAAATTTTACATAACCATTATTAAATTTATATATTTATAATACATTCTAATTTACATGCATTATTCCATATTACCAAAATATAAGAATTAATATTTTTAAGAAACTACCATCATAATTATGAATTACTATGATGATATAATAAATTATATAAGATTGTTTAATGTCACTTGGAAGAGCTTGAATCAACCTTCTTTATATGTTAAACTATATACACTTTATTATGGTTATCTGATAGAGAGTCATGATTGCAGAGGTGTTATGATTGATGGCGAATTTTAATACGAGATGTTGTGTTGTAATTCAAAATAGTTCATATTTAGAGATTACATGATATTATATACTTTTATTAATAATAATAATGAATCAATAGTTTTTTGGAAACGCAAGATTGGCAATCCAAAGAGCACAATAACTTCATTTATTCTTCACAGAATCAGTTCTATATGACCAATTCAAATACACAGCTAAAATGCCTCAATATCCAAAGATTGTATTTTTGCAATAGAATCCATTTGTAAGAAATTTAGTTGAGAAGTATTTGAATTACATATACGTTTAGACAATTTGTTCAATTTTCAATAATAGATGCTTCGAAGACAACTGGAGAGGTAAGTGATTTCTTAATGGCTAGGACAATGTTGCTAGATTGGCTGAATAGGTTCAATTATAATCGACTTAAACAAATGGTGCTTTGTTGTTTGGATTCCCCAATAATGCTGTTGAAGCTGAGAAGTAAATATTCAAATGAATATTGCTTAGACTCGATCGTTTATTGGATGGTGTTAATTTGGCCATTAGATTCAAATTATCTGAATCATTGGCATAGAAGATAGCAGGATCCTATCTATCTTGCTAATCATGCGGCAAAGTATTCAACACAAGTTTACCATTCGTCACACCCACTCACCCTGGATATCAGAATAATGTAAAGAAATCCAATATTATGTTTAGTGCTAAACTCCAAGCAAATGCGCTTTGGAATAGAGTTCTGCTCCAGCTGATTAAATAAATGCAGAGGTCGCCAATTATTATTAACAGAAAGTATGATTGATGTTGAATAGATTAGGGTGCATATCTTGAATATGAGATAAATGAAGAGCATTTGTTGTATGATTCATAGGAGTTCTTTGAAAAATTAGACAATGCAGTAGCTACCCATATCAAGGTTTGATATTTTTAAGCAAAAAATAAAAGAAATATAAAATTTATAATTACAATAATAAATTCTTATTTTCAGCTTTGAAATATATGAAATAATCAAAGGCCGAAAAAGTAAAATTAGTTTGATAATGATAAACTTCATTACTATTATTTGCTTTTTCTTTTTTACTATTACTTAATTAAAAATCTATTCTGAATATTGTGTTTATAGATTTGAATGCCTAAAGCCAGATTATCCATATGCGTTAATCTCTACTACTAAGATTGAAGCACATTTGATTGTTCTTTGCTTAGATCAGTCTACAGCGTATTGTTATACAATTACATTAATTCTTTCATTGGGTTGTGTTTGAATAGGTTTTTAAGTATCATTATAAGCATAAGTGCTAATCACTCTAGTTTTTCGATCATTTTTAATGTGTTAGCTACTTCTATTTTCAACACTCCTTTTTAAATAAGTGATTTCAGATCTCTAACTATTGCTACTATGGCGATCAGATCTTTCAGTGCTACCTTGTTTAAATTTCAAGTTGCTTTTGTGTCTGACATAAGTAGTGGAATCTCTACGGAATATTCATAGATTAGTACGTATTGCCTAATAATTTGGATTGTTTGACTGCGAGTAATTGTGCCAATTGATCCTTGGATTAAATTGAAGGTTTTTGGGAGATGGATTTTTGATTTTTGGATGGCAAGCCAGTTTTCTTGGGAGCAGAAGTATCTCTGTGAGGAACAGGATCTTAAGATTTGGTTTTACCTTTTCTAATTAAAATAATTAATAGATGTTTATACGTTTGTGATTTATTTTGATTTCTATCGGAAAAGGCTTTGTTTAAAAACATCTCCATGGATGATGAGCCTCCAGTTTCTGCTACTTTAGAGACTTGGGGCTATTTAACTTCCTTGGGTTGTGAAGCTTATTGTTGAATTAATAGTTGTTGTTGTTGTTATTGATTTTAAAGGAGATGCAATAGGATTTGTTATTGTACATCTTAACTATAAGGTTAGGTATGTTATTGTTGTGAGTAGAGTTTCTATTTGACTAGAGGGGAAGACTTCTGTTGTTCAATTTATTGGGTTTTATTAAATAAATTCTATTTTTCAATAGAAATTGATTTGGGAGCAACTTCAGGTTTGATCTACTTTTCTCTTTGTTGTTTGAGTTTGAGGAGATAGTAACAAGTGGTGATGCAATTGTGTTTGTTATTTTTGATCATTTGGACAGCCTCTTCTTCCGAGATGTTATATTGGAGCAACTATTGAAGGATAGTGTAATCAACGTCTATTTTGAAATTGTCCAATCTAGATACTCTATTGATAATACTTAGTGTTTACTCCTTCAGGGATGGTCATTTTGCCAGCGAATAGAATAAAATCATGTTATCTAATTTCAGGTATGGTGATTCTTTTGGAGGGGTCTTTCTGGAGAATTTTTCGAAGGAGATCAGCTGCTTAAGGAGATACACTTTTGGGTAGTTTGTAATCTGAGTGTTTGATCTTTTCGTAGAGTTATTTGGTATTTTGATCTTCGAATGGGACACAACTAAAGTTAAGGGGAAATAGAATACCCACAAATCATTGCGTACAAGATTATGCCACATGACCAGATATCAGTTTTCAATCCTTCATATGGCAAACCACTGACCATCTCAGGTGCAGCATAACAAGGACTGCCACAGGGAGTATGCAATTTTTAATTTGGTTGATAGAGATTCGATAATCCGAAATCGACTACCTTAACTTGCTTATTGGAATCCAATAGGATGTTCTCTGGTTTCAGATCTCTATGCACAATGCCCAATTGATGTATGTATTCTATGGCATTCAGAAGTTAAAAGAATATACGACCAGCTTCACGCTCTTCAAGTCGAGATTTCGAAACGATATGTTCAAATAACTCACCTCCTGGGGCATATTCAGTTATGAGATACAATTTTATTTCGCTCTCGATGATCTCTTATAACTCATTCAGATACCTCATATAATTAAATGATATTCGGGTGACGTATTTTCCGTAGGATGTGAATTTCACGTTGAATCCTCACGTAGTCAGCCTCATTTTCTATTTTCTCCTTCTCCAGAATCTTGATTGCTACCTTTGTAAATTGAAGTAAGTAAATACTTTCTCATTTGTGCATTTGTGAATACCCATCTTCACTTTTCCAAAGGTTCCTTATCCTAAAGTTTTATCCACCACATAATTCTAAAGAGGGTTGAAATTAGGGTCTTTGAATGTATAGAGTTTTGGCATAACAGAATTTATATTAAAATAATCAATCATCTAATTTTATGGTTATTCAATGTCTCCAATGCCAATAGCAATGCCTACGTTCCATTACGTGCTCCCCCTTGGGCAGCCAAAGCATGATACAACTGTTTCACCAAAGCCAACCCCGGTAAACTCAAGTTCAACCTATTGGCCTCATTGATTGCTATGCTTAAATCCTTAATGAAATGCTCAACATAAAATCCAGGCTCAAAGTCTCCCTTCACCATCCTCAATCCCAAAACACTCCAAGCTGTTGAATTGGCTGCTCCACTCTTTATTGTATTAATCAATTATTCCAAATTCAATCCGCATTTGTGTCCATACAACAAACCTTCCACTGTCCCTATCATATTCCCAGCCAACACTATCTAATTAACCATCTTAGTATGCTACCCTAAACCAGCACCTCCCATCAATTAAACATTTGCACTATACACTTTTAATATATCATTTATTCTATCCAACGCCTTCTATTATCCACCACACATCACCACCAATCTTCCCTCTCTGGCTCCTATGTCTCCTCCACTTACTGGAGCATCAATAGATTCTACTCCTTTCTCATTCGCCTACTTGAAAATTCTCTCAGCCAATTCAGGTGATGAAGTAGTGTGATCAACTAAAACAGTGCCCTTTTTCATGTGATTTAATATTCCTTGGTCTCCTAAAACTACCTATTCAACATCCTTAGGGTATCCCAACATTAAAAAAACAGCATCGGAATGTTATGCCAATTCTCTTGGTTGAACAAATTATGCTCCTGCTTCTACGAGAGGCTATGTCTTAGTAACTGTTCTGTTGTATATGCGCAATTTATGACCAGCTTTAAGAATATGTTTGCACATAGACACCCCCATTACACCTGTTCCAATCCAGCCAATATTCATTTTTATTATACAATCTAAATAAATGATATTCAACTCATATAACTATTTCTCCATTTGGATTTTTCGTATAATCAAATTCTGAAAAGGTTCTGCGCCAATTTCCAGGAAGGGTTAAGAATTTTATATTGCTCATTCTTCCCTCTGTCAAACAATTAAATCACCATAAAGATTCATTATATTAATCTATTAATTGTACATATCCCTGAGACCTATTAGTCATACAAATTAAAATAATATTTTTGTTGGTTATTATTATATAAAATATATTATCTACTAGAGAGATTGTTAAGATAGTGATATATTTATTTTAAAATGCTAATTTATACAAGTTACTTATATGTGCAATTTTCAATAAAAAACACTTTTGTTCTTGTGGGCATCATCATGAATGAGAATTACTCACTGCAATACACAATTATTAGTTCAATTTCTTTAGCAATTTCGGTTTTATTATTGGTTATGGAGACACTTAAAAAACAAAATATTTATGCGAACAATATAGGGGCGTCTCTGTTGTGCATACTAAATATAGAGTTCATCTACAATGATATCCCCTAGATAAATATGCTGCAGTTAGGGACTTTCATAGCAATTCTGATTACACAATTCGAGGATGCTCAAAAATGGCATAAATTTATGAAGCATTCAATCTTGGTGTACTTTTTTATCAGAACCTTCATACAATATAAGGAATAATTATACATAACCGAATTGTTGACGTGCTTTTTATGGTAACCTTTGAATCATTGGATGTTGCATTTGAAGAAAGAGGACGATCAAATTGAAATGAAGAAGCATCTGCAGGATATGACCAAATACAACATCGAGTAAATTCCATAACTAGTGAAGGATCAGTCTGAATAGGATGAATAGTGCAGCAACAGCATTTATGGAAGTTTAAACATCCAAAAGAATTTGAAAGAGTTGAAGCAATTGGATTTAAAGAATCCCTTTGTGCAAGACAAGGAGAATCTCATGAACAATCTTTCATTCAAAGGATCAGAATTGCAGAAATCAACTAATACTTTAGACCTCCCTCAGATATGGAATTTGTTGCCATTTGGCATAGGACTCATGAATAGTCTATGTGAAATGGTGATAAATAATTAAAAATTACTATAGTTTTTAAAAGTGTCGGATAATGATGGAAGAAACATCATTGTAAATTTAGATTCATTATTAGAAAGGTACTATCAATTTATGAAAATAGTTGTGAGTCGTGGGAGAGCAAATCCATCAAGTAAGTAGGTTCAAATCAGAGTAACCGTTAGAGCAAAAGGTTTCCCAAGTTTCCCTAGTTGTCGCTAATATCAAAAAGTTTAAATGAGCAAAACTCAGTTAATAATCCAGATGGAGGCACAAACACCAATTTAAATAATAATATACCTTTTTCGTCAAATCCTAACAACTAGATCAAGGATGAATTAATGACAACAAAGAGCAGATTCAAAAATTTGAATTAGTTATTCACTAAATTTGCCTAAAAGTCCTCTTCTCTTACAAACAATGTGGATAACTCTGTGTAATCCATAGGATAGAACATTCAGATAATTAAGATCGTTTAGGATGTTGGGACTATGAAATACTATTTAAGGATCAAAGTATATGAGATTGAGATTAATAATAAAATAAACTATCTCTTTTTGATTGAAAATATCACAAATAAGGAAGAATTACGGCAGTTGAACATTAGGTACAAGTACCAATAGGCACTTTTAAATTCCTTGTGCCATGAACTAAGGACTCCAATGAATAGCACATTGTCACAATTAAATGCATTGTCAACATTGATTGCACCCAATATAAGAGATAAGAATTTGTAGCCAGCCATTATATCAGCCAAAAAACTCATGTTTTAATTAAATGACATACTGG